TGGAAAAACATTGCCTAGCAGAAGGAGAAACAGCTGAACAGTTTGTTTTTTTTATGTTCTCTGATCTGGGTTAATGAGGGGACTGCACACAGGTGGAGGTGATGGGTGTTTGGTGAAGGACCCTGTGTGAGAGGCAGGGAAAGGAAGATTTCCCAAGATGGGAGGCCGGGAGAAGAAACAGAAGCTCCCAGGTAACAGCTGGGAGGGTTCACCTCTTTCTGTGCGGGACAAGAGCTAAGATCTACCTGTGAGAAATGAGATTAATCTGGCATGACTTGCTGTAGGATGCAGTGCCATGAGTAGAATTTCCCCCGATGAGCAAAGTGATCTTGCAGTCTTCCAGGCAACCTGGTCCCAAGTTGTACAGGGTTTTATTTGTTAACAAGACCCCGAATATAGCCCGGTAGCTGATCAGCAACCAGTGCAGTTCCCTCAGTGCACATGTATGTGTGTGCAGGTATTCCACTCAACCTCACTGCAGCACTGTGCACCAATAGCACAGAACGACTGAAATAGAGTGCATTACAGTAGTCCAGTTGTGAGGACTATTACATGAATCACAGTGACTAAGCTATCCCTGTTGAAGAAATGGTACAACTGGCATACCAGCCTAAGGGGATAATAGGCATTCCATGTCACAGAGGTCACCTGAGCATGGCAGGAGATCAATTTAGTAACACCATAGTATTATGGGCCTGTTCCTCCAGAGCGCATGCAACCCCATCCAAAACAGGTGAACTCCTTGGGCATGGGAACCGCTTACCCCCAGTGTCTCCATCTCACCAGGATTCAGCCTCAGTTTGTTGGCCCTCACAGTGTCTCACTGCATCCAGGCACTGGTTTAAAACAGTCACAGCCTCTCCCGATTCAGATGTTATGGAGAAACAGAGGTGGGTGTCATCAGCATACAGATGACACTGCACCCCAAATCTCCTAATGACTGCTTCCAACAGCTTCAAATCAATATTAAACAGAACAGGGCTTTGCCTCTGTGCATCAAGCATGTTCAGATGGGGGACAAGAGATAATCTCTCACTGCTACTGGGGTGCTTCTCCCTGTATCTGTTCTCATGCCCAATTGCCACCTGCTACCCAGGAAACTGCCACAGCTGCAGGGTTTGATATGCCTCAGCATCCACTTCCCACCCCACAAACTAGGGCAGGAAACTCACAGCTGCAGAGATGGGTTAGCAAAACTGGAGGTAGGTCAAGGAGGCCTCACCTCACCACTACCTGAGGCTCAGCTTAACCTTTTCTCTAGCCTTGCTCCTGTGTTTGTAACTGCTGTCTGACATTTAAAAGATGAGACTTTTTTCTAGCATGTATAGAGATAACTAGGGAGGAAAGCTTTGCCTACTGAAGCACTGTGTACCAGGTGCAGTAAAACAAAAATACAAAATTTAGCAACCTTTGAGGGCAATATGGCAATTCAGAAATGCTGTGTGGGTATGCACTGGGCAGCTGCACATGGATTCCTAATCTCTCTGTAAGACTCAGTGCCCAGCATTCTGTCACAGCATGACTATGAACCTTGAACCTCCACATGGGCCTATGCAGACACAAGCACCCCAGTGGCATTCTCCAGTGTGCCTTTTAGCTTTCTCCTATATAAAGGAACAATTGCCAATTTCTGCTATGAGGAAAGAGTAAGACACCCAAGGATACGATTGTTGTGAGAGCAAACACCTGCCCTCCAGCCCTGGCTCTCGGTGGCTTTGCCCTCATTTACAGAGACCTGCAGGAGGGACTGCACCCTCTCATGACTTTGCAGCAAACAAGCTCTTGGAACATCCTCACTCTTAACGCTCATTTTGCTAAGTACTGTGGTTTTTTAGCATCTGAAACTAGCAGGTGTTGAAACTGATTGAACTCCCCTTCTGCCTTTCTTGCTATTTCTTTTGTAATGGTTTTTAAACATACACTGGTACCTCAGGTTAAGTACTTAATTCGTTCCGGAGGTCCGTACTTAACCTGAAACTGTTCTTAATCTGAAGCACAACTTTAGCTAATGGGGCCTCCTGCTGCTGCCGGAGCACGATTTCTGTTCTCATCCTGAAGCAAAGTTCTTAACCTGAAGCACTAATTCTGCGTTAGCGGAGTCTGTAACCTGAAGCGTATGTAACCTGAAGCGTATGTAACCTGAGGTACCACTGTATATATATATCAGCAACTTTCCCCCCAGTTCAGGGCGAGCATTTAGTTTTAAACACAGGATTGACTGTTAATGTATTTGTTGTTGTTGTTGTTCTAGATTAGGAAGAACACCACAGAACCCATTGTGTATCACATTGGTTTTACTTTATTCGTAGCAATGATTGGATTTGGGTTGCATTCCTATGTCTGCTGAGAGTAAGCGCAACTGCACTCAAAGGGACCGATTTCTGAGCAGACATATATCGACCTGTGCTATGAATCAGATGCAGCTTCTTGTCATGCACTTTCAGTCTTCAAAATGCTCTGATTCCCACTTGCTCAACGATATATCCAAATCTACATTTATTTGGGGGGGGGGGGGGAGCAAGCGCTGCTTATTTGCATGAAATGCTCCTCACACTGCTACCTTCCTAAAATAGCATACTATGGCCACAAAACATATATGTACTCCCCCCCCAATATACTGCGCGTCGTGTTTGCTACAGAAACAAGCAAACCAGGCGGCTCCCTGCCTGAGCAAGCAAATGTAGGAGGGGAGGATAGTCACAAATGCAGCTAATTGTGGATACAACATTTCCCGCTCCACATTCCCCCCCCCCCAAAAAAAACCCTGCCGGCGACTTTTCGTAAGGGAGACAGCATCGAGGGACCCTTTATCAGTACTGTACAGTAGTATTATTTAAACCGAAACACGCCGCTTGCAGTCCTGGCCACCCCTACCGGGGCTTAAGCTTCATTGAACGCACTTACTTCCGTGTAAGGCTGGGGGGGGGGGCGGTGTCGGGAACCGAACTTTTATTTAGGAAAGATTTAAGAGGCTGCAGCGCACCCCCTCTGCGTATTTGCACGGAAGCATGCACAGGTTTGCAGCAGCAGAGGCCACGAGAGCAACCAAAGAGCAGAAAGGGTAGACTGTCTTTGGAGAGGGAAGCTCAATTCCTTGTACCAAATGGCGAGGCGCCGACAAGGAGGAAGGGCTGCCGGGCGGGAAGCCGCTTGAGCCGGCGCGCCGAGACGCGGCTGCCCTAATAATTTTTTCAAAATGCCCCCCGCCTCGGAGCTCCCCTCAGCCGCTCGGGCGCCCAAACGCTCGACTCGCGTTGCGCGTCTTCCACAAACTGGGCCGCGTGTTCCAATCGCGCGGATCTCGCGGTGCTCTGTATCCTAGCAACCGGAGGTGTCTCGGCGCCATCTTGAGTAGGCACATCCGGCCTTCAGACAGCGGCCATCTTGAGGGACGGTCGCCCTCCCTCGAGAGCTTTAGGACGCCATCTTGAAAAGCCCGTATTATAAGCCGCCAAAGGGACGATTAGTAACACGCCGTGTTTGTTCCCGCCTTCAGGATCCGAGCAATTTAGTACGTCAGCGCCATCTTGTTTGGCTTCTGATTCGAATGGTTCTCGCCATCTTGGATCCATTTTGAGAAGTGCCAGAGCTATCGCCATTTTGGGAGGACCCCCACCCCCACGCGCGCGCGTCATTGTACAGAGCAACTCGCAAGGAGCGGGAGCATCATGTAATTCAGCGCTGTGCCATGTTTATTCTTTCTCGACTACATCCGGGAACGTAGTACGGAGGCTTACTGGAACTAGGGTGAAGCCATTTTTGGCCAGTGTTCCGCCCATCCGGGTATCCCAAAAGCAGCCATCTTGGATGCGTATATGTCTGCAGAAGGCACATACGGGTATACGGCGGCGCCATATTGAATCCCAGAACGCGGGGAGAGCTGTATACGGGCATTTGAAAAAGACGCCATTTTGGTCTTGTGTTTGAAAAGGCGGAGGCACATCCGGGCAATTTGTGGCGCCATATGTGTTTTCTGTTTTGTGACAGAATAGCAAAGGGGTGGAACCAAGATGGCAGCTTCCAGGAAAGCATGAAACCTAAAGTTTTGATAATTTGTACTCAGTACATAAGCACCGCCGGATCGGGGGTCGAGTAATTAAATCCAGAATGAGGTTCAGAAACGGGCAAGATGCAGCGAAAGCAAGAGAAGCATTTTTAAAGCAAAAGGCAGTGTGCCGGGACCCGGGGCGCGACCAATGGTGGGTGGGTGCAGCAGGTGGTTGAGGGGACTGACATGGACCATTAGGCCTCAAAGGGCAGAGCCACGCCATGTATTCAAAGCACGCGACCTCCCCCCAAGGACTCCTGGGAGCTGTAGTTTTCCCGTCACGGGGCGGCTGTCCTCGGCCCCCTTAAACTATGAAGTGTTTGGGAGTTGCGGGGTGGAGGGAGTGCCACGCGCTTTATATGTGCACTGGAAGTGCTTTAGACGTCTGGCGCGGATCCGCTGCATCCGCCATTGGCACTGCGAGCAGAAATTTCTTTTCTCATGGAGGAGCGTTCACGTGCTTATGCAAGATAAGCCCTTCATCTTTATCGAAGATGGCGGCGCCCACAGGGTTGCTATAGGAGAGGGAAGCGTATGGAGCCTCCCTGCAGCATTCGTGGCCGGCGTAAGCAAGGCGGCCAATTGCAGGCAGGAGGAGGGGCAGTTGTTGTTTTCGCCCAAAAGAAGCAAAGAGGGCGGGGCTTCCTGTTCAAAATGGCGACGCCCACATAAACGTTTTATCTAGGTACACAACTTATTGTTAGAAGTGGCTCCGGCGACTCGCGTTAAATTCACAAATTATTATTTTTTTAAAAAGTGAGTAAGCGCGGTGAAAATGCGGCGCGCAGTCTCCCGCACAAACGAAGCGAAGCCCGCAAAAGAAAAGAGGCGGAGCCCGAATGTCCACCAAGATGGCGGTGTCCAGGCTGCCCCGCCCCCTCAACATGGCGGCGCCCTGGTGGGAGGGGTTCCGTACGGAGACCTCGCCGTGGCCCCGCCCATCGCCGCTGCCGAGGAAGAGAGACTCCTCACAGGCGCAAGATGGCGGCTCCCAGGGCGGCGTGAAGGCGCCTGGAGCCCGCAGCTTGCCCATCGGTGCCGTACAGCGGGGGTGGATCGAGCGGCCCGTTGCGCCTGGAAGGCGGAGGGAGGGAGGCCTGGCTTAGGGCTCCGGGTCGCGGGGGCAGGCAGGGTCGGAGGGGGAGACGCGGCGGGTGGGGGGGACGAGGGGGAGGCGGCTTCTCCCTCCCTGCGGCCGCCATTTTCCGTCCGGGCAACACAAGATGGCGGCTCCCAGGGCCGGGCTCTGAGCGGGGGCCGGAGGGGGGCGGCAGAGGGGCCCTGCTGCGGGCGGGGTGGAGTAACTGCCCCGCGCGGGGTAGTTCCCTCGGAAGGGCAATTGGTAATAGTTTTTCGAAAGTGGGGAGGCAACTAGGAGGCAGTTTTTGTTTCGGCCCCCACCCCTCTTCCTGCCACACGGGGAGGGCGTTTGCCCCATAGGGAGGCTGCATTCCGGGGGGGCCGCGCCAGGCGATCCGAACTCGAGGAGCGGAGGGTTAGCAGCTCCTCCGCAAAGGGGCGCCTCCGCTCGCTCTCGGGGCAGCAAGCTCCCTCCTCCCCCCACATAGGAAAGAAAAGAATAGGTATTTGCTTTTCCAATAGTTTCTTTTTTGTGGGGGTATACATTTCTCAGCATCTCATTTTCACAACTACTCCGAAGTAGTTTGTTGCAGCAAGGAAGTGACTCCGGCTTAGTTCCCGCGGTGAGGGTTGTTGTAGCAGTAGTAGTCAAGAGAGGACTTGGGGGGTGTTGTGCCCCATTTAAGGCGGGTGTTTTGACCAACCACCCTGGAAAAAAAGTGAAGCAGCCGTGTCTCCTACTCCCACTCTTACCTCGAAAGAGGTAGAGTGCATGTGGGTTGGAAGAGTGCCCCCTCCGCTCCTTTTTTTAAACCACCTCTAGATAAAAACTGATAGGATTGCCTCTTTGTTGCGCGCTTTTAGAGGACTGATCGCTAGGAAGGAGACTTACTTGGCTTTCCATGGCTGCCGCCTCTGCTATTGTCCCTAGTGGGGGCTCCCCAACAGGTGGCGGGACCACCCCAGGGCTGCTCCAGCCCCGCTGGAAGCGGGTGGTTGGGTGGTCAGGCCCCGTGCCACGGCCCCGACATGGGCACAGAGCTGTGGCCATCAAAGAGCTGATTGTGGTCTTCGGAGGGGGCAACGAGGGCATCGTGGATGAGTTGCATGTCTATAACACAGGTAAGGGGGGTGAATGGGCAACAGCGTCTAGGGTGTTCATAGGGTGAGGGCATTACCCCCATTTGTAGCCAAATCATGAAAAGCTTGCCTATAATAGATCCCAGAAAGCCTTGTAATTCTCCATGAAAGCATGAAGTAAAAACTCTGATATCTTGTGTAAATGTATGTATATATGTATGTATAACTCCCACTTTTGTTTTAGGTTTAGGCTGCTAAGATTGCTATATTGTTTAACTCTTGCTCCCCCAAAGCTGCAAGTTGATATAGTAGGATGTATGGTAATGGAGGTAGGAGAGCTAGTAGGGTGAAGTAGTTGTAAAGTCCCTCTTGTTCCTTCGCGGTTAAATTTCTTCCAGCCCTTTGGCTGTGATAATTGGCATGTGCTTGAGTCTTGTCGTTGTAGCCTTCCGTTAGGTGGAAGTCAAGGGACTTTACATTAGGAACTTTTCTTCCTCTGTGTTGGTGTCCGGAGAGGAGCAATTGAACTTTGGGGGTGCAGGAGGGCGTATCAGGGTATGTTGGCAGGGGAGCTCATCTCCTACTGGCAACATATCTTAAATGGATTATCTTGTTGCAGCCACATGAGCCCCAATCATCAGTCTCAGTGGCACTGGAGAGGTTGTGCGTGGTCTGGCAAAAACAGAGATGCGTCCCAGCTTGATTGAAAAAGACAAATTCCCGAGAATTGTCTATCACGAAGCCAGTGCACCCAGCTTAGAATGCAGCTCAGGGTACCCTGAGGACACAAGTGCTTGCCTACTTTCAAGTTAACCCTAGTGTGTTGGAGGTAGCTGTGAGATGTTTTCTGCCTCCTCCCAATGTCAACACCCTGGTTCCTACATGCATTCATGGGGGGGGGGGCACTGGCAGAGAAGCTTTTCTTCCCCCAAGGGCTTGGCGGGAAAAATTCAACTTTCAAATGCTGCAGCTTTTAACCCCTTGTTGTCTGGTATCTTTGCTCAAATATAGAGCGCGCACCAGTACAGTGCCTCTGAAAGTTGTGGTGGGTTCAGAGCAAATGCTGGAACATTCCACCCTGTAGCCATTTGGGAGGGGTCAAAGACCCTTATCTCCAGTGTCAAGAGTTGGAAACATTTACACCTCATAGTGTCAGTTGTAGATTGAAGTTTGCTGAAACCCTTCCCAGGGCTGGCTTTAATTCCCGCCGCTGCCCCCCCCCCCAGTGAGTGCTAACAGAAAAAGTCACTTTTTGCAAGCAGATTCCCACCCATGATCTACTGTTCCTGTTCTTTATTGGGAGTCTGGGCTCAGGGTGGAGTCTGTTGGCTTCTTTAAACTAAGCTGCATGTGAGCACGTTGTGATGTGGGTTCTGTTTTCCTGCCAAAATGTAAGGATGGGGCAGGTGGGCCTCTGTTGTTCAGAAGCCCCTACTACTCAGCTAAGGCATTATATACGCATTCTCGGAAGACACAGTTGGTGTTCACTCTTTTTTCCCTTTTTTTGCAAGGCAGCGGGGGGGGGGGGTGTTGTGAATTCATTTTCCCAGACCCATTGTTCCAGCAGGCTTTCAGCCCAGGTGATATACCAGGATTAGTTTAGGGACATCTAGCCTGCCAGTGTAAGCTTGCAGCGTGATCTGAGTTCTTTAAATTACAAAAATAACAGTAGATTAAGAGGTTAGCTCTAAAGATTACCAAATTGAGTATTAATTGGAAGGGTTTTCTAGATGTAATCTTCCCCAGTTTTTTGATTTTGAACAGTATTAAAGGTTATTTCCTTTTCTGGATCAGAAGGTCCCTATTTAGTCTGAAAGGGTTACCATACCATCATTGCATCTTCAGCCTAGTTGTTTCCTGCACTGTATGGTGATTCCTCTGTCCCTGATCTATGGGTAATGTGGACTTCCTAGCTTAGAATGCACAATTTGGGATTAGTATGAACATTTTCTCTGCTACAGTGAAGCAGATTTTGACATTTGTGCCTTCATTTGTGTTACTCATATGAAATAGAGAAGAGTCCTCATTTTAAACAAAAAGCAACTTTGGATATTTTGAAACACAGAGATCTGAGTGGAATCTATAACAAGGCTTAAGACATTTTTTTCCTCCTGAAGGAAGAATTCTTCAAGAAGCTCAGGAAATGCAAAGTGTTTTTCCTTAGCAGAAGTGTTAAATTTAATTTCAAACTTTTTTCAGTCCTAGTCATCTCATGCTACTGCTTCTTGTACTGCAAAATCAGTCTTTGCAGGCAAACAAAATGAAAGTGATGTTCGGACACCTTCCTGGAAGCATTGGCTAGTTGTCAAAGCGAGGTGTTAAGAGGGGTGAAGGTGCTGGGTTGGTGTTACCTTCTTTGGGTAGTTCTGGTAGGCCTTCCAGCATATTAAGGTTTTGGTCATTGAGACTAGTTAAGTAGGGTTGCAGCTTAAATTCACTGCAGGAATAAATGTGTGGCCTGAAGCTGCATTGGATTTGCAAGTGCATGTGGAAGGGAGTCTGTCTCTTCCTCCCCTAGAGCTGCTGTGACTGGAGTCTTGCAGTGTAAGGAGAGCTGGGCGGGAGGGGTGGGGGCAGCTTCCTGATTGGCAGTTGCCTCTTCTCTCTGATTTGCCTGATAGGCTGCTTCCTCCCGCTCTGCTCACTGTAAACAGTTCCTCTGGCTGGCAGAAGCCTTGTGCTGCTGAGTGCTGCATCCACCAGGAGCACCACTGGGAAGGAATGCCTCCTCCCTCATTTTGACTTCTTTGCTTTTGTGGCCAAGATGTTTAGCTAGTAGAGTACTTCCTTTATTTCATTCTCACCAGACAGAGGTGAAGCCTCTTTGCTGAGAGGTTTTCCTGTTTCTGGGGTGTTTAGTGTTGGGCTTAAATGCCAGTTGAGAGGGCAAGGAAAGGGGTTTTGTTACAAATCATGGCACCCTCAGTCTGGAGGCAAGGGAAGTCACTGCTGCAGTGAGTGCATGAAGACAGCTTAGGTCTTCAAACCAAGTGGTAATAGATATCTCATTACGTGGTGGATTGGCAGCCAAGAGGGTGGAGAGATGAGCCAGATTCACACATCTGTGCCTCCGTGGCTCAAGGTCTGAGCCCTGCTTGCATCTGAGCACAGAGTTTAAGGCAGCCCTTCTGACTCCCCTCTGCTTGTCTCTTAGCTACAAACCAGTGGTTCATCCCAGCTGTGCGGGGAGACATCCCTCCTGGTTGTGCGGCCTATGGCTTCGTTTGTGACGGAACCCGTCTGCTGGTATTTGGGGGGATGGTGGAGTATGGCAAGTACAGCAACGATCTCTATGAACTGCAGGTGAGTGGCTGCAGGACATAAGACTGTTCTCAGTTCAGGAAGGGGGGTGGTTTGAAAGTTAAGCAAGGGGCTTGCACAGTACTACTGACACAGTGCTAAGGTGTGGAAGTCAGACCCTGGTCTACCTTTTTGATTCACCCACATTATTTCCTGTAGCTACTGTATTGGGCCACTAGTCTCAGAAGCAGCAGAGGGCTACCAAGTTTTTAACTTCTAGAAGTTTCTCTCTGTGCTCCTTTCCTTCCCAGCCACTCTCCCTGCTGCTTAGATGTTCTGCTTTTAAAATAAATCCTGCGCTGCTCACTTGCTTTAACCACATGGCACTTTGTTTTAGGCCAGCCGTTGGGAGTGGAAGAGATTGAAAGCCAAGACTCCTAAGAATGGGCCCCCACCCTGCCCACGACTTGGCCATAGCTTCTCATTGGTGGGCAACAAATGCTACCTGTTTGGGGGCTTGGCCAATGACAGCGAAGACCCTAAGAATAACATTCCCAGGTATAGTGTTTGTGTCTTGCCCTGTGTCGTGATCAAGCTGTAGTGCTCCAGGTGCAACGACTTTGCTGCCAATTTGGACTGGAGCTTCTCACTTGTATTTCCATAACTGGGAACTATGCAAGGGAACCACTGGTCTTGGGGGTGTTGTTGAATTTGAGCGAATTATTCATTCCCACCTCACTTTTTTTTAATTCTTGAGAAAATATTGCTTGTGCTGTCTACAGGAACAGGGCTGTAAAGGCATGGGTAGTGTCTGTGGGTACACAGTTGGGAAGCAAAGAAGAGCGTGGCCTGGCTTTCATTTCTGTTTTTCTGTCTCCGCCCCCACCCCAATTACAGGTACCTGAATGACCTCTATATCTTGGAGCTACGACCAGGCTCTGGTGTGGTAGCCTGGGACATCCCCATCACTTATGGTGTACTGCCTCCGCCACGGGAGTCCCACACTGCTGTGGTGTACACAGAGAAGGACAACAAGAAGTCCAAACTAGTTATATACGGTGGCATGAGTGGTTGTCGTCTTGGTGACCTCTGGACCCTTGACATTGGTAACAGCATCAGGAATGGTTTATTTGCTTTGTTTTAGATTGAGGTGGTGTTTGTGGTACCGACTTAGAAGGGAGTGGGTCTTTTGAGCCCTGACAGGGATGCTAGTTCCAGCCTCAGCATCTTGAAAGGCTGGGAGGCAGGATCAAGCACTGCAGGTGGAGTGATCTCTTTGCTGTGTTTTTCTCCCCCAGAATCTCTAACATGGAACAAGCCCACCCTGAGTGGGGTGGCTCCCCTCCCACGCAGTCTGCATTCAGCCACAACTATTGGGAACAAGTAAGACTTGTCTCTGACATTCTTTAGCCTGATTTCTCACTGCTTTTGAAAGCCTAATTCCTAGTCCTGTCACAACTTCTGTTCACCATTTCTTCTCTTTGGGACAGGATGTATGTATTTGGAGGCTGGGTACCCCTTGTCATGGATGATGTCAAAGTGGCAACACATGAGAAGGAATGGAAATGCACAAATACCCTGGCCTGCCTCAACCTCGGTATGTGGGAGGATGTCCTACACATTCTTTCATTTCCCCCCACCCCCGCCTGTCTCCAGTCCTTTCCTGTCTGATCGCCTCTGTGTGTATTTCTGTCTTTGCACAGACTCCATGGCTTGGGAGCCCATTCTGATGGACACACTAGAGGACAATATTCCACGGGCCAGAGCTGGGCACTGTGCTGTGGCTATCAATACCCGCTTGTACATCTGGAGTGGCCGCGATGGGTACCGCAAAGCTTGGAATAACCAGGTTTGCTGCAAGGATCTATGGTACCTTGAGACAGGTAAGAGGGTTCAACGTAGGGGCAGGGGCATTATAGAACAGGTGGAGATTTTGAGACTGAAGTTCTATGCAAATTGGCAGAAGTAGACACTTTTGGGGGAATTTCATGTTTGAATGCTCTCCCCCTCTGCATGTTTACTGTGGGAAGCAGGATTTAATCTTGCCTTGTTCCCAAGAAGCTAACTTTACACATGCAAGGAGCTTCTAATGTAGGGACAACAAACAGGTGGTGTGTATTGTAGTGCCATCTTGCATTCTGGAGTAATAAACATAATTCATCTGCTTGAATTCCCTCCACATGATAAGTTCTTTGCCTGTGAACAGCTAGCTTTTTAGGAGAAGGTGACTATATTTTGACAAGCTAGTTTTCTGGCAGTAGGGGGCGGGGTGGAGAAGCATTCAGGCATTCTCTTCCTCTATTTGCAGTTGGGCATGATCTACAATATTACTTTTCTGAACATGTAGGTGTTGCCTACTATCAGCATCTCTCTTGATTGTTGAGAATGTGGTGGTTTGCCCTGGGTCCCTCTTGTACTGCTTTGCAGGGAGTTTGCAATATATTTAGTTTGTAGTAGACTGAAAAGACAATCTGAATTTGGCTTCTTACTCTAGCAAACTACATTTAATCTGTACCTAGCATCCAAACAGTGGGCATAGTGACTCCACTCTCACTATTTTCCAGACCCACTGGTAGGTGGGATGAAGGAAGCTTCTGGCAACCTCCCTCCCTGCAAAAGTAGGAATGGAACTCCTCCTTCTTCCTCGGTTGTATGCCATTCTGTTCAGCATGCACATGTCAGGGTTCAGATCTTCTCTTACACTGATGTCACACCTTCCCATACCATATCTTTCCCCCTGTAATCATTTCCTGAAGCGCCCCTCCAGCTTCCCCTCCTCTGTCCCTCAAAATCCCTACAGCAATAAAGAAGGCAGCAGCCCCTCCACACCCACTCCCTTGCACTTTCCTGAGTCTTTGCATGTCCCCTCCACCAGTGGATGCTCTGTGACTCAAGAGAGAATGTGCCATTCCCTTCAGGCACTGCTCCTATGGGGAAAGATCCAGATTACCACATCCCAGCCACTTCTGCCTAGGGGAGAGAGAGTTTTTTCCTCTGCTCTTAAACTAACTCCAATATTTGCCTGGCATTATGTCGGATGTTGTCAACAAATTGCCACCAATTGCTGCAGAAATGGGAAGGAGAGCTCCATTTCACTCAAAGGAACATTTTCCTGTATCCATAACTATCCACACAGTAGGAGAGGTACCTCTGGCTGGCATTGTTTTCTTTCAGCCTCCTGGTATATGCACTGTTATTCTCCCCCAACTTCCAAATATGTTCACCTGAAAAGGGTCTTAGAATGGGAAAAGGTGAACAAGATTTAGACCATCGAGAGAAACAAGCCGAGGCAATAATGCTGCTTACATGCTGGTGGCTTTTTTTCACCAGCACCTACGCTGCTGCAAAATGGTCTGGGAAGCTAAAAAGAAAATGTTGATGGGGCTGGACTGGTTTGCCCTTGCTTTTAGAGTAGTGTCCCGGAGTAAGTGTGTGAAATGGTATGGAATAGCTTTAGAGGAAAGGTTCTCTAAGGAATGTGATGGGATCGAGTTCCCTTTGCAGGGTACCTGCAGCGTCCTCTTCCAAATGCCATCTGTTCTTATTCTTCTGTTCCAGAGAAACCTCCGTCGCCTTCACGGGTACAGCTGGTTCGTGCCAACACCAATTCCCTGGAAGTGAGCTGGGGCTCTGTCCCAACAGCTGACACTTACCTGTTGCAGCTCCAGAAGTATGACATCCCAGCTGCCACCTCGCCAGCTGCCAATCCTGTGCCCTCAGTGCCTGTCAACCCCCCCAAGAGCCCCGCTCCAGCTGCAGCTGCCCCTGTCCCCACAGTGCAGCCCCTGGCGCAAATGGGCATTACCCTGCTGCCCCAGACCACAGCTGTTGCAGCTGCTGCTGGTGCCGTAGCTGCTGCCGCCGCCGCCCCACCTACCACGACCACCATCCAGGTGCTGCCTACTGTGCCTAGCAGCCCAATGCCTGTGCCTGCTGCTGCTGCTGCCGCTGCCACCGCCGCCACTCCTCGTCCTCAAGGTAAACGGGAAATCCTAGAGGGCAGCAGGGAGCACAGGACTCTTTATATTTTCAACTAAAACCCCATCCCATCCTTGCCGGGAAGCAGGCATCTTTGTGAGCACACACTTTCTTCCCACTAACATCTGCTGAAAGAGCCATGCAGCTCCACCCGCAGGGCCCTCTTTACAGTAGCCCCAGGTTTTAGAAAGACCTCCCAAAGAAGGAACAGCAGAACACCTTCAACAAAATTAAAATAACATTTATTTCTTAAGATTATTAGCATGTGCATCTTTGAGCGTAGGGTGTGTTGGTCTAAATATTTTAAATGAAATGCATAAGAGCCAAATCCTAGTCTGTATTTGGGGCTTTTAAGTCAATGTCTACCCCCACCCCCCCATGGGAGCTCTCAGAAAAATATCTGAGTGTGTTTGCCTAACAGTGAATCACATAAGGGGACATAAGTTGGAAGCGGGAAGGAACGGAGCTGCGTTGAACAGTGTGTGCTTTTAAGGCCCTCATTTTTGTTTTTAAAATAAGCTTCCAGTTCCATATTCTTCATTGATGCGTATATATTTCCTCACCAGTTCAAGGGGGAGGACGCTGTTCTTGGGATATTACTTACTGCACTTGGGGCAAGTGATCAAAGGAAAATGTACACTTTCCATGCCGACTGTCTGCTTTTTGCGAGGGCAGCCAGCTTGAGAACCATCACAGTAACTAGGAATCTAGGACACAAACATGTCTTTCGGTTTTTGTCCTCTTCCTTGGCAGCTGTCCCAGCTGTGCTGAAGGTGACAGGCCCACAAGCTACTACGGGGACTCCATTGGTGACGGTGCGTTCAGCAGGGCAGGCTGGGAAGGGGCCTGTGACAGTTACTTCACTGCCGGCCGGAGTGCGTATGGTGGTACCCACGCAGAACACTCAAGGGACAGTGAGTATCGCTTAAAAGAATGAGGGGGGGGCTGTGCTGGAAGGAACTAATTCTCTGTCCTAAGACAAGAACTTCAGGACATTAACTTCCTGACACTCTTCTCTATCCTTCCAGGTGATTGGCAGTAGCCCCCAGATGAGTGGCATGGCTGCTCTGGCAGCTGCTGCTGCTGCCACTCAAAAAATTCCACCATCTTCAGCCCCTACAATGCTGAGTGTGCCTGCTGGCACAACCCTAGTTAAAACTGTTGCTGTTTCACCGGGAACCACCACGCTACCCACCACAGTTAAAGTTGCCTCTTCTCCCGTCATGGTGAGTATCTGCACCATACTCTCTGTTAGGAGGCTGTTTGGCTCATTAGCCTGCAACCAGTTTTGCACACAGCAGGTGGCAAGAGGGCAACATCTCCTTGTGCTTTGTGAATGAAACCCTAGATTTCTGCCTCCTGGTTGCCCCTATTTAAAAAAGGGGGTGGGGGGCTTAAGGCAAGGGCAGAGGACCTTTGGTTCCTCCTGATGTTACTGCTGGTTCCTCCTGCTGTTACTGGATCATCCCTGTCGATTGACCCTGATGGGAGTTGTAGTCCAGCAGCATTGGGAGGGCCACAAGTTTCCCACCCCTGCTCTTAGGGATCTTTGCTTTTCTCATGTTGGCCATGTTGATGCAGGTGAGCAACCCAGCAACCCGCATGCTGAAGACAGCCGCCGCTCAGGTTGGCACCTCGGTATCTTCATCCACCACCAATACACCTACTCGGCCCATCATCACCGTGCACAAGTCTGGCACTGTCACTGTAGCACAGCAGGCCCAGGTGATGACTACTGTGGTGGGAGGGGTGACCAAGACCATCACATTGGTGAAAAGTCCCATCTCAGTACCTGGAGGCAGTGCATTGGTAAGTATCCAAGTTGCGGGGGGGGGGGCGGAGCTGAGAGCAGATATATCTTTCAGCTCACTAAACACTCCACTCTAGATGAAAGTAGGCAATTGTACAGGACAGTTCCTTCCTTTAGCATTTGTGAGCTGCTGCTCTCCCTCAGTATTCTCTACTGATGAAGGTTTACCAGCTACTTTATTAACCCAGCTTCTCCTCAATAAGGATGAGAAGAGTGATAAGAGAAAGTCCCTTCATTTTTGGACATGTCAGGGGCAAACCAATCTTGTTTTCTCCTGACAGATTTCCAATTTGGGTAAAGTGATGTCAGTTGTTCAGACTAAACCTGTTCAGACATCAGCTGTGACAGGCCAGGCATCAAGTGGCCCTGTGACCCAGATAATACAGGTAAGAACTTGCAACATAGGATTGGTTGCCATATATATCCCCAGCCCAAGAGCACTTTGCTGGACTGTTGATGCTACTTCCAACCACACTTTTAGATGTGCAAACTGAGGCTCACTCATTAATTTTCAACACACTTTTAGGCATATACTTGTAGGGACCGAAAGCAATATTAAGTTTTTCTGGTGGCCTTTGTTACTTGCTTCTTGTGAACAATTTAGATTCTTGCTCTTCTAGAGCTTCAGGTTTTTTTGTATGGCCTCCCTATTTGTTGAGTGTAAGCATATTGAGATGCTTGTTCTGTGCATCGTTTATTCCCTGTGTTTTCTCTCTTTCTCCAGACCAAAGGGCCCCTGCCTGCTGGCACTATCCTAAAGTTGGTGACCTCAGCAGATGGCAAGCCCACCACAATCATCACCAGCTCCCAGGCAGGCGGTACAGGCACCAAGCCCACCATTCTGGGCATCAGCAGTGTCTCTCCAAATACAACAAAGCCTGGCACCACAACCATCATCAAGACCATCCCCATGTCTGCTATTATTACCCAGTCAGGTGCCACAGGTAGGGAGTTGAGCGTGATTATAAGCAGTACTTCCATGGCACTGGCTGGGTGGTGGGTAGCGGAACTAGAAGATGCTGGGAAGTGCAGCAGCCATTGGGATCACTCTTAGGATGGCTTCAAGAGCACTTCAGTGTTTCTCTATCCCAAGGGGTTAAAGCTCCCTCCATGTTACAGCTCTGCCTCTTTTTTCCAGGTGTCACCAGTAGCCCTGGGATCAAGTCTCCCATCACCATCATCACCACAAAAGTGATGACTTCTGGCACTGGGACACCTGCCAAGATCATCACGGCTGTACCCAAGCTGACCACAAGTCACGGGCAGCAGGGTGTAACACAGGTGAATCAGCTAGTTAGATGAGAGGGCACTGAGTGCTGCGTTGTCCTGAGCTGCAACTCGAGTTCTTAACATGTCAAATGTGTGCCTTTCCAGGTGGTACTTAAAGGAGCCCCGGGTCAACCTGGCACTATCCTGCGAACAGTCCCTATGGGTGGAGTGCGGCTTGTCACCCCTGTCACGGTGTCTGCTGTCAAGCCTACTGTCACCACTTTGGTGGTGAAAGGAACTACAGGTGAGTGTGCTGGCCTGGGGGCAGGAGCAATAGGCTGGACACTTAGGCTAATGCATTTGCTTTTCATTATGAAGCCCCGCAGCTGTGAGGGTAAGTTGCCTGATAGGTAGAATGCTGGCTACACCTTGGCTTGTGCTTGCTGTAAATTTGGTTGCCAGCTTTGTTTTCTTGCTGCTATGCTGTCTATATGTCCCTAGAAAAGCAGCCTCATGGGACACTGACCAGGACCCTTGAAACCCATGTTTACTGCTAGGGGTACAGACTGGGTTTCTGACCCATTGAAACCAGCACACTGTGGAGGATACCAATCACAACCTTTCCGTCTTCTTTCAGGTGTCACAACCTTGGGCACTGTAACTGGCACAGTCTCAACCAGCCTAGCTGGGACTGGGGGACACAATACCAACGCCTCCTTGGCGACACCTATTACCACCTTGGGCACCATTGCCACACTTTCCAGCCAGGTCATCAACCCAGCTGCCATCACAGTCTCAGCAGCACAGACTACCTTGACAGCAGCAGGAGGGCTGAGCACTCCCACCATCACCATGCAGGTATGGAGTGGGTCAGAGGGAGCTTCTGGGGAGCTGTTTCCTGATAAATGTGAAGTCCTCATGGCTTCCCAGTAAATTGATGAGCCCAGGGATCCAGGGTGGGCAAAGTACTTCACGTAACACATAATTAACTTGTGGTGCTTACTATTGTAACAAGATGGTTGCTGGCTAAGGTGGCTTCAAAAGGGTAACAGACGGATTCATAGATTCTCTTGTTGGTTATTAGCTGTGATAGCCAAATGGAACCTTTGGGTGTCACTCAGTTGGTGATAAGGCTTCTGTCCGCAAAATGCGGATGGAAGCAATTATCAGTCCCTCAACTCTCTGGAGCATATTTATGGAGGTTGGAGAGGCGGGAGGGGGAGTTACTGGAAATTATTTTCTTCCCCATTGTGCTGAAAGAAGCCTTCCCTTAAGCTGAACAACACAGTAGGATACAGCCCACTGTGTTCAGTGCAATGTAGTCCTGTAAACCAGTTCCTGGGAACTAAGCAGGGGGGAAACGGTTCTCTTTGGTTTAGTGGCCCTGGGACGAAAGTTCCCTCTGTTCTCATGGCCCCAGTATTTTAATTTACAGCAGCTGTGGTCTAGCAAATACTTGTCCAAGATCTGAAACCCCAAGGTGAGCTTTATGTCAAGTGTGTATGTGTGCATGAGAGAGAGAGACATTATTCTTGTTTATAAAACCCAATAAAACCCTACTGCAGAATTCATTGTCTTTGGGTTATTATAGCCTCCCTGAACACTAGCCTGCTATTATATCTGCAAGGCCAAGCAAGAAGGAGGACAGACTTTAAGCTCTGCAGCACCTTAACTTGCTTATTTATGATGCTGCAGGAAAGATTTGCAGTCTGTCCTCTCCTGGTGGAGGCTTGCAGACCATTGGTTACCTGAACTAGCCTCTTAACATGTCTCATGTCCACATTCCCTATAAGCAAGATCAAGGCTGTTATACAAGTTACACAAAATGAGGTGATAGAACTATGGACTATAGTTCTTCAGATTCAAGATGAGTTGGGGAGGTTATATTTTTGACGACTCCCCACAAACTAATTTTTTCTATCTGTAGAGAAGAGTACTATGTTAAATAGTTCTCCGTTATATACTGAGAAACATTCAAAAACATAATTGCCAACTGCATCCTGAGCTGGTGTGGTTCCACCATCTCATTCTGAGTAATTTGTAAAATTGTTCTAAGACTTATTTTTTAATGGTGCAGAAAAAGTCCCTGGCCGAGGTGTTTATTCTAACGTGTGTGTATTGGTCTCTGCTTATTATCTCTAGCCTGTGTCCCAGCCTACTCAAGTCACCCTGATTACGACACCCAGTGGCGTGGAGGCCCAGCCAGTGCATGACTTGCCCGTCTCTATCTTGGCCTCGCCTACCACAGAGCAGCCCACAGCTACTGTTGCAATTGCTGAATCAGGGCAGGGAGACGCCCAGCCAGGCACCGTCACTTTGGTGTGCTCCAATCCACCATGCGAGACCCACGAAACGGGCACCACCAACACAGCCACGACAACTGTAGTGGGCACTTTGGGTGGGCCGACCCAGGTGCAGTTTGTGTGTGAGGGGCAAGAGGGTGGTGGGCTTCAGCCCAATGGGAGAGTCGTGCGGGTATGTTCAAATCCTCCTTGTGAGACCCACGAAACAGGCACCACCAACACTGCCACCACTGTGCGGAGTGCTGGGCAAAAGGTGTGCTCCAACCCACCCTGCGAAACGCATGAGACTGGAACTACCAATACAGCCACCACCTCCAGGATTGAGAAGACTGCAGATCCGCCATGCCAAACTTTCCAGACTAGTGCCACTAGCACTACCATGACAGTGAAACCCATTGTGGGCACAGGTCAGCTAGTGTGCTCCAACCCACCCTGTGAAACCCATGAGACGGGAACCACCAACACAGCCACCACTGCCACCTCTAACATGGGCCGAGGGCAACCTGATGGTGAGCAGAAAGAGCCAAACAACCCCCCATGCCAGACAAAGCAGACTAATACAACCAGCACCACCATGTCGGCAAAAGCAGATGTGCCCACTGAGCAACCATGTGCAGTCCGGATGGTGAGCTTTACTTCAGCTTCTGGTGTGCCCAGCGTTGCCTCTGGCACCACCAGTACAGTGCAGGCCAGCGAAAGACTACCAGCCCCCAAAAGCCTACAGTGTGAATCCCATCACACCCACACCACCAATACTGCCACTACGGCTCGGTCTCTGATGGGCCGAGGGCAGCCTGACGGTGAGTGGGTGGGATCCGCCAACCCTCCGTGCCAAACGCAGCAGACCTGTTCCACCAGCACCACCATGTCTGCCAAAGCAGATTTGCCTACAAAGCAGCTGTGCACAGTGCAGCCGGCATTGCCCGATTCAGGTTCAATGCTGCCCCCCTCAAGCACACCTTGCGAGACCAGCAAAACAGGCGCCAAGGATTCAGGCCCCCAGGTGTGCTCCAACCCACCTTGCGAGACTCACGAAACGGGCACCACTAACACAGCTACTGTATCCACATCAAACCAGGGTACTTCACAGCCACTTTGCTCCAACCCACCTTGCGAGACTCATGAGACTGGCACCACCAACACATCTACAACAGCCACTTCCAGCATGGGCGTAGGGCAGCAAGTGTGCTCCAACCCACCTTGCGAGACTCATGAGACTGGCACCACCAACACAGCAACCACCACAACATCAAACATGGGCGCAGGGCAGGGTGAAGGTGCTGGGCAAACTCCTGCTTCTCCACCCTGTGAAACACAGCAGACGAGCTCCACCAGTACTACTATGACGTCCAGCACCGGAGGTGATGGCACCCACATTTCCAGCTCAACCTCTTTGCCAGTGGGGGGCTCTGAATCAGGAAAAGCCCCTGAGGGAGAAAGTCCAGGTACTGAAGGATTACCACTTCAGAACCCAACCACCAGAGTGTGCTCAAATCCTCCTTGTGAGACCCACGAGACTGGAACGACTCACACAGCCACCACTGTCACCTCCTCCATGGGGTCCAATCAAGGTGAGATCAGGCAGGAGAGGAATCTGGAGAGTCACCTGCTCCCATCTTGCATTTGGATGCCTTGGGCCAGTGGCTTTCAGGCGGGGGGGCTTGCGGGGGGGACCCTGGGGATCTCTGGAAGCTTTATATTGTGACACCTTATGGTGTCACAGTAACCAGGAGCACTGCTTGGGTCCCTGTGTCATTTGTCCCAACTTTATACATTCAGTTTTCCTCAATCAAGTACCTCTTCCTGCTTGAGCAGGACTGGGCTTCCTGCACCACCTTTGGCATCCTTGTTTTCATGCAGTCATTGAAATAAGTACTGCATCTCTAAAGAGCAGGTGTTTTGAAAACTGTTTTGTCAGGGACTCAGGGGGGAAATAGTAATGGCAGGCGTCTCTTCTTCAGAAGAGTGTTGGGCTTACCCCAGGTGACATTCTCAGCTCACAGAATAATGCTGAGAGTCCACAGTGCCTTGGAGAAACAGCATATGTATTTTTCTAACTGCCCTGAAATCCTTTGCAACACACATAGAAATCATTGGCAGACAAGTTCATGGAAAATGTGTTTTCAGAATTCAGAGGTCTGCGAAAAATGCTCTTATAGGAACCTAAGTCTGGGTTTACTGCTGTCTGGAGAACATGAACAGGCAAATGGAATCTAAAGTTGTGGCTTTGTTCTCATTGCATAACCATTTCCTCTTTGCAGACCAGCCACCTGCCACCAATGGCCAACAGGGGGAACCTGAGTCAACTGTGACTGAGAGCCCAGCTGCCAGTAGCCCCAGTACTGTTACAACCACCGTTGCCTCCACACTGCCCAGGGCTGTCACCACCGTGACACAGTCAACACCCCCGCCAGGACCCTCAGTGCCGGTAAGAACCACAGAACCAGAACCGGGCTTGAAATAAAACTTGTTCTTCCACCCTCATCTGTTCCATGGGATATGCCAGAAGTTGAGGCTCTAAGGCCCACAGTGGGCTTTGAGGGAGGGAGGAACTTCCAACACTGAGCCACTCATTCTGGGCTCACAAGGGAGTGGTCACTGGGGTAGAGCGTGGAGGAGAGAATCGCCTTTTTATTCCTGCTTCTCCTCTCCCCATTGCTCATATGCTCACCTGCTAATACTTTATATGCAGCAATACAAAGGGAGTTTAGAGAAACATTTGTTTATTCGGCCTGTTGGCGGTGGCCATTGAGAAGCGCAGCAGTAGCAGCACAGTTCCTCCTTGGAGCCTTGCTTGAACCTTGTCTCCCAGGGCATCATTTTCTGATCCTAGAGTTGCCCCGAGGTGGCTTGCTGATCCAGTCCCTGATCTTTCTCTCAGTTTGAACTCAAAATGAAGAGGAATGTGGGGAACTAAGCTTTAATTCCTGCTGCTTCCTTTATTTTTTATCATTCTACATTCTACATTTGTGTGTGAACAACTTAATATCCTGCCAAGCTCCATTTCTGGCTCCTCATAACAATACACTCTACCCCAAATGCATGCCAAAAGATCCTTAAGGGGTACCAGCATTCATTCCTCAAAAGTAAGAGAAATAAAATGAGAAAGAAATACATTCCAGAGAACAGGGAGCTGAAATGCCTAGTCGTGACTGTTAAACAGAAATGCTGTGCTTGGGGCCTTTTAGGGACAAGTGATAGAATGGCTGGCTCCATCTTGCTCTGCTTCTAACCTTCCCAAAAGCATTTGGTTGACTAAGCTACAAAGTTCTGGGCCAGATGGACCTTCATTCTGATCCAGCATAAGCAATTCTGCCTTTATGTTGCAAGTTGCCTAAAAGCTGCTAGCAAACTTTGTGAGGCAGAGACATACTCAGTAAAGAAATTCGCCAAAGATGATGCCAAGTTTGCCTTTCCATCACCCAGCCTTCTGATGCCAGGTCCAGCATCCCCAGCATCTAGGCTACTAATACCATCTCCTACTTGTTGCAGAACATTTCTTCTTTGGCTGATACTCCTGCGGAGGAGGCCAGTCCCCCTGCTGAGACACCAGCTGCCACCAGTACAGATTCCCTTACAGGAGCCTCTGAACCACTGCAGCCTCCTGCGGAGATGCAGGCAGCAGCATCTGAGCCTCAGGAGCAAATCCACGCTGCACCGACAGCAGGCACCCCGCCAGCTGAAGCTGCTCCCCAGCCAGAGCTCCCAGCGCCTGTGGTGGAGGCACCAGCAGCACCAGCAGCTCCTGCCCGGGAGCCTGTCACCATGGTGGTGGTGCCTCAGGTGACCCCTGCTGCTGCTCCTGCTCCACCGCCACCTCCACCTCCAGCACCAGCACCACCTTCAGAAGTAGAACAGTTGGCACTGCCCCAGGAGTTGATGGCAGAGAGCCAGGCAGGCACCACCACACTCATGGTGACAGGCTTGACGCCGGAGGAGCTGGCAGTGACTGCAGCTGCAGAGGCAGCTGCCCAAGCTGCTGCTACCGAAGAGGCCCAAGCCCTGGCCATACAAGCAGTTTTGCAAGCTGCCCAGCAGGCTGTAATGGGTGAGTGATCTCATCTCTCTTCCGATTGGCCCTGGGGTTATTGGGCAGGGAGTGTCCCTACATATTTATTCACCCAGCTGAGGTGGGGCACAGCCTCCTGCCCCTCCCTTCTGCGTTAGCGGAGCATATATCTTTCCTGCAACCTTGTTCTGCCTCCAATTCCATCCTCTGGCATTTTTGCAGGTCCTGGAGAGGCCATGGATACATCTGAAGCAGCGGCAACACAAGCGGAGCTCGGCCACTTGGCCTCGGAGAGCCCTGAGGGCCAGGCCACCGCCATCCCCATTGTGCTCACCCAGCAAGAACTGGCTGCCCTCGTGCAGCAGCAGCACCAGCTTCAGGAAGCTCAGGCGGCGGCAGTAGCAGCAGCCGCGGCGGCAGCTCAGCAACAGCCACCTCAGCACCCGCTGCCTTCCCACTTGCCCACAGAAGCCCTGGCCCCTGCTGACAGCCTCAACGACCCTGCCAGTGAGAGCAACGGCCTCAACGAGTTGGCTAGTGCAGTTACGAGTACAGTTGGGCTATTACCCCCTACGCCCACAGAGAGTAAGTAGTGCCATATGTGTCCTGTAGAGTGGGGGCGCTCTGCCTTCTGGTGGCAGGAGGCTATGGACTGCTGCTTGATGCGGGGGGTGGTCTCACACCCAACCTTTCCCTAAGCTGATGGCCTCCAAAGATGTTGACCCATCAGGTCTCACCCTTGGCTGCAGTGGCTGGGGCTGGTGGGAATCCAGCTTCCTCTGGAGGGCACCAGGTGGGCGGAGACTAGTGTTTAGGACACCTTCCGCCCTTTTTCAGTCTCGGTGGTGTGGGTCTCTTGGTTAAGGTGGGGTTAGGTTTTGGAACTTGTGCTTTACTCTCCACCTCTAATGGTGGAGAGATGCTTTGGAGGACAAATGATCAAGGTCTGAAATTTTCATTATTGTCTTCTTTGAACATGATTTTCCTCTTCCAGGCCTTGCTCCCTCTAATACTTTTGTGGCACCACAGCCAGTGGTGGCGGCGGCCAGCCCAGCAAAGCTGCAGGCAGCAGCTGCTCTGACTGAGGTTGCCAATGGGATTGAAGCAGCGCCAGTGGTAAGCTAAGGAGGGTCTAGAGGGGGAGAGATTTGGGGGGGGGGGTAGAGAGATACTGGTTTCTCCATCTGAGGGTGATCAAGGCATCCAGTAGGATAGGATGGTTTATGTCCCCCATTGCCTGGGAAGGCTGGGAAGATGTGTGAAAGGCTTTGGGCTCAGCTGGTCCTGCAGTCACTTCATCAGTTCTTTTCCTGCCTTTGGCCAGGGCAGAAGGGTTTCTGAGCATCTCCTTCTCTGTTGTTGCTTTTTTCTCTCCTCCTGCTTTCACAGAATACTATGCTGTATGCTCCTAGTGGCATTTTGCAGCCTCCGCTTGCATTAACAGGTGGTGGCCCCACAACCTGTCAGATGTGGCCGGCGAATAATTGGCCACTTTTTCATTTGGCCCGCTGGACAAAAGTGGTTCCCTACCCCTGCATTTGCAAGATGGATTCCTTCGCCTTCACAGATGCATCTTTTGGCACAAGCATGCTATAAGTTCTACTGCAGCAGATGCCATCCACAGCTCAAATTTCTCCCCGATTCCCTCCTAGAATAGGATAACTTAGACAAATCCTATTTTATTGGATGCCTTCGTCATCCCAGGAAGAAAAGGGAACTTAGAGTGCTCACTGTGAAGTTTCTAGTCAGATTAATAAGGCATCCAAGCCATATTCTATATGAAATGCACTATACATTTTCAAACTCACAAGTCAATGTACCTTAGTCCTTCAGCTAGTGCCAGGGCCTTCCAGAAGTCCCTTTGCCCCTCCCCTTTTTTTTCTTTCTCTGATTTTTGCCTCAAAAGGGAGACAGTTTCAGCATTCTGCCTGTCTAAGGCTTGGCAGCAGATGGGAAGAGGAGCCTTCGGGATTGTTACTAAGCTAAAATCTAATTGTGCAGCTTCCCTGCCTTCCAAGGCAGTTGGGAGATATAACCCAATCCTTACCTCAATCACCCCAGACAAGAAAGAAGCCTCACAGAGAGTATTGAAAGTTATTTTTCAGCTTCCCAGAACTAACCCTCTGTTCTCCCACCCTGTTTAGAAACCAGAACCTCCCACTCAGCCTCCAAAGGTGGTTGTGAAGAAGGAGAATCAGTGGTTTGATGTGGGTGTTGTTAAAGCAACCAACATGATGGTGACACACTACTTCCTGCCTCCTGATGATGCGCCTGCCACAGAAGTAAGTGACCTTCACCTATCTTTTGCTTTCTTCTAATGATGCACATAGTTTGAAGATTCAAATCTTTGCTGCCATCATGTCTCTCATCCTTTGTTCCTACAACCATCAAGGTGGTCCTCAAGTCCCCTTCTCACTGCTCTTCTCCCTACAGGATGACTCGGGCACCATACCCGATTATTCTCAACTCAAGAAGCAGGAACTGCAGCCTGGTACTGCTTATAAATTCCGTGTGGCAGGAATCAATGCCTGTGGCCGGGGTCCTTTTAGTGAAATTTCAGCATTCAAGACGTGTCTGCCTGGCTTCCCTGGAGCACCATGCGCCATTAAAATCAGCAAGGTCAGTGCTCGTTCATTCTGCCAGTCACTTGCTATGTCAGCTTCTTGTTCTGGGGTAGCTGGGGCAACCTTTGTTGCTTCTCCTGTTTAGCTAATGCCTCTACCCCAGTGTGGCCGCTGGGAGCCAACTGTTCAAATCCTCAATCTATCTGGTGTGTGTGTGTATCTTTCTCAGAGTCCAGATGGAGCCCATTTGACTTGGGAGCCCCCTTCTGTCACCTCTGGGAAGATCACGGAGTACTCTGTGTACCTGGCCATTCAGAGTGCCCAGGCAGGCGAACCGAAGAGTGCAGCCCCCGCTCAGCTGGCCTTCATGCGAGTTTATTGTGGGCCCAGCCCCTCATGCCTGGTGCAATCAGCTAGTCTCTCCAATGCCCATATAGACTACACAACCAAGCCTGCCATCATCTTCCGCATTGCTGCCCGCAACGAGAAGGGCTACGGCCCTGCCACACAAGTCCGGTGGCTGCAAGGTGAGTGGTTGCTGCCATAGGAATTTGGGGAAGGGCTTCAGAAAGCATCTAGCCTGTTATCTTGTTTCTTCATGGAGAGGTGGCAAGGCAGTTTCTCTTAAATGTATCCCCATCTACAGAAGAAGGAACAATGAATTACCAGGACCCATTGGTCTCTTTCAGTGCTGTATACAGTTGTACCTTGGAAGTCAAACAGAATCCATTCTGGAAGTTTGTTCGACTGGAAATGTTCAACTTCCAAAGCACAGCTTCTGATTGGCTGCAGGAAGCACCTGCAGCCAACCGGAAGCTGTGGAAGCCCCACCAGACGTTCGGTTTCCAAAAGAACGTTCAAAAATCGGAACACTCGCTTCCAGTTTTCAATCATTCGGGAGTCGAAACGTTCGACTCCCAAGGCGTTTGGGAGCCAAGGTACGACTGTGTATATGTACTATTACATTTAAAATATTGAGCCCATTATGCAAATGAAATATATCTGCATAATTTTATCTCAGGTTGAGTATTTTTGCTGAGATGTTAGGGGGCATGAGAGTTGAGTGGTTAGTTTAAAAGGGACAGAAGGGTTTTGCAAAATTCCCACCACCACTGCACTGTATTGGCTTCAGTTGATTACCACCAGTGTGGCTGAGAGATATTCCTAAGGATGTGTGGGTGGATGTTAAAAAAAAATCCCAAAGTTCTCAGGTATATGGCCTATGTTCCACATTCTGTTGTAAATGCGTGACATATATAACCCAACAGTTTGCTCCTAGCTTGGGAGTCTTAAGGGCAGCTCAAGAAGTGCCACTTCAGGCTGGGAAATCTAAATTGTAAACTGCTTGAGGCAGGACCTGTTGTTTTGCCACTTACTATGTGAAAGCTCAGCGGTCGAGTCCCAGGTTCAGTGCTTGGCATCACCAGTTAAAAACAGGGTTTTGGGTAGCAGGTGGCTTGAAAGGCCTCTGCCTGAGACACTGGGAAGCCACTGCCAGGCAAAATAGACAAGACTGGCCTGGGTGGGCAGTCTGCTATGCGGGATATGTACAAAGTTAGACTCTATATAAAACATTATGTTGTGGAACACGTTCCACTACATTGGTTGAACTGAGGCCAAGAATACTCATCAGTTGAGAGGATGAGGGGGGGAAAATCAGTTGGGACCCGTAATGGAAAGGATTACTCACCATTGCATATTTCTGCCTATTGGGATGTCAAATTAGACCTTTCTGAGGTTAGGTGATTCTCGGGGTTGGCCAATTAAAGGGTTGCAGACCAACTCCAGCCTGCAATATAACCTTATTGGACCGCACTCTCCTGCCCCCAAGACACTGCCAACCCATGAATTGAGGTTTGGGCAGACATTTTTGTCCCCCATTTCTCTTGTAATTCATCACATGTTTTGAGAATGGTTAAGCATATTTGTTGGCAAGTCACACTGTGTGGTGTTCATAGTATTGGCCAAGACAGCTCACGCTTTATAACTGTATAAAGTCCCTTCTTCTTTGGTATGCTGCAACATGGCTATGGATAATGGTCAGTTGTGAGGAGGTCTATTGATGGCATAGCTAACCTCCAGCTTGTCTCAGGAGAATAGGGCTGCCCTCTGGACTATTAATCTCTGGCTATTTGCTGTGTGCAAGTACCTGAGCTGGAATCTGGTACCCAAGTTTGCTGTGTGCTCTGGCTCTCTGGATAGGGACTTGCACCTCCAGTATATGCAGCGCATTCTTTTCTTCACAGAATCCAGTAAGGATGGCTCCATGATAAAACCAACCAACAAGCGGCCGCTGTCCTCTCCCGACCTGTGAGTATTTCCTGGTGGAAAGTCATGCAGTGTTTGTGTTTCAGGTCAAAGTGGGAGAGGGGAAGGAATGCGTACAGAAAGGGACATCTGGAGTCACTGGGTCAAATCAAGTTCCTATTTCTTAATCCAGTTGGTCCAAGTTCCTTTTCTGTGTGCTGTGAATGGGCAGAGCCTGGGTGTATGGGGTGCTAGGGGAAGGGTCGTACCTCTGATAGGGGCCAAATCATGCTCCTTCCGAGGTAGTTTGTTCACCTTTGGTCCTCACTCTGCAATCAGCTCTCACCTGTGGTTTCTAGAAGCTGTCAGCATGAGACAGTGGCCACACCCCAGGAACTGCTTCGACTGGCCAACTAAAGCAGGTGACGGTAGCTGATGGGTCTCAAATTCTTAGTGAGTCAGGGACTTTCCCTGCTTGCGAAGACAGGCTCCGGTGGATTGAGCAGATGAGCAATAGTGGGTCCAACAGTCAAGAAGGCAGTTTCTGCACGTGCTGTAGAGGGACGTGAGGGGTAGACAGGGCTTGTCCACCTGGGAAGGGAGCCCATGTAGGAGAAGGAAAACTGATCCTAAACCTCTGCTGCTTTGTGGAATATATTTGGGAGAAGAAAAGGCTAAGGAGCAAACCCTGTACAAATCTGGAGTAGAGTCCCTAAGACGGTTGGATGGTGCTTGTACACTTCTTTCTGGCAATTCCTGCAGCCAAGCTGGTGCTCTGCTTTCCTTTGGACCATATCAGTGAGGCCAAGAGAGTAGTCTTGTCCTCTGGGCAGCCCAGGACCTCCGTACTTGATGACCAGGCTTGCACCCTGAGGAGGTCACTTTAGTGCTGCTATTTCAGTGGTGTGGCTTCACCCCTGGAGGCACACTCCATTGTCTTTCGAGACAGATGGACACCAGCAGCCACAAATGGACAGAGCATTTCATGAAGGATATTTTTAGGTGGGAGGGCACCACAAGATGGGATCCTTGCCAAGTGGAAATGCTTCTTCCTGGAACGGTTCTGCATAGGCAATCCAAGGTGAGAGAGATTCACTTTTGAGTGAGAGCGAGCACACATACCTATGCAGATGTGGATTTAGGAATTGATTTCTGAATCTGTGCATCAGGCCTAGCCTAGTATTTGGCTCATGAGCCCAACACATTTCTTTTCCTCTTTCAGGAAAACCGCTCCAAAGAAGCCCAAAGCAGATGGGCAGTGAAGGGCATCCCCTGCTGTCCCCTCTTCCTGCCTGCTCCACAGCCTCCACCTGAACCCCCAGCCAGTCAGCCGCCCCTTTGTGTGGAGGAAGATGGAACCGCTGAAAGCACATTTCATACACCACGGGGCTGGACTCTTGGGGCGGAGGACGCAGAGGCTCAAGTGAGGGAGCCCCAAGCAGGGGCCATCGCTGTGCCATGCCATGCTATGCCATGCCATGCCCCAGCCTAAGGAGGGGGAAGAAGGACTGGAGTTCCTCCCCTGCCCCCTGCTGCTGCCCCGTTTAACATGGACGCTGATGTTAGGGGTGGGTTTGGAGGGGGCAATTGTTATGGGGGGAGGGGGGCTGTTGGGTTTTTTACAAGTTGCAGTTACAGGAATGAAGTTCTTTTTGTATACCCCAGCATCCTGTGTCTTGGGGGTGGGAGGGTTATTCTCCCTGCCTCCATTTCTTGCCTCTGTACAGACCCTCTCCCTCAGTTTAGTTTTTAGTGTCTGCGTTGGTAATGGAGAGAGAGGAGTCTCTGCTGTTTGGGGAGGGAGGGGTGGGAGGTGGTTGGACCACCAATGCAGCTACTTTTGGGGGTGGGTGGGGGGATGCAGCTCATTCTACAACAGCTGTTCAAATGCTCAGCCCAGGGCGCTTGTGGCTTCAACCCACCCCTCTTCTCTACACATGCAGCAATTCCTCTAACAGCACAAGCTGATTTTTCCCTCTGCTCTTCCCTCTCCAGACCACAAGGCGGCATGTCTAGGCAAAAATGCCTTGCCATTCCTCTCCATCGTTTTATATAAAACCTTTTTTAGGGGGGAGGGGGAGACGTTTTGGAGGTATGGAGCCTGACTCCACAAGGTCAGGGTGATAAGCTAGGAACAAGACTGCGGGACAATACTGTTGCCTGTTGAAGTACAGCTTTCCCTCTGGTTGGGGCAGGGATCTAGGTTCCCTCCCACTCCAAAGGACTATGTACACCCCCTCCACTCGCTGCCTCTCTGGACATTCCACAGAGGGGAAGGGAGAAGAGCAGTCAGGGCTTATTCTTCAGAGATGGTGGGGAATAGGCTATAAAATGAAAAGCAAACAGCTGCACTGACTGCTATGTCCTACCTCTCCATTGTCAGAGAGATTTGGCAGGTAAAGCAGGCCCCCTCCAAAAAATAGCAAGCAAACCCAGGAGCAGACCCCCTTCCCCACCAACTTGCTCTGTGCCCTGGTCTTTTGTATTATAATGTATTTCGCTGTGTCCCCTTCCTGTTCAGACCCTAAGATCCTTCCCACCCTGCTCTCCTGCCCCATTTATTTTCCTTTGAGACAGGAACAGTCCTCCTAGGAGTTCCCCATGGCTGTCCACCCCTCCGCTCCCCCTCACCCTAGTGCTGCGTATCTGTCGTTTTTGTGCTATTTTGAACAATTAAAGACCTCCTTTTTTTGGAAACCAGGTTCTGTCTGTGAAACTAGATCTTTCCCTCATCCTCTTCTAGTACTAGGGCGTTTCTGGCTACCTTTTGGGAGAAGAGCCCTCTTACCCTCGTGGGAGGACTGGGACACAAGTGTTTTCACCATTGAAAAGCACAATATTGGCATTCAGCTTTATTTCCATGTGCTTGGGAAGAGTAGCCTGGGATATGATCCAGCTCTCCCAAGTGCTAGGCTGTGTCATCCAGAGAACAAAGGTCTACCTTGGGATCCAGCTCCAGAAGCCTTGCCAAATGTCCTTGGGGCTGTTCTGTGGGGTTGCACTTTCACCCTTCGGGATTGCAGAGCATGAAGAGCCCAGCCCCTTAGACAGAAGGAATCTTCCCATCTGTATTTGGTCAGATCAGCAGCTACACTTCTCTCTGGCTGCCCCTTCAGGTGGCCTGGTCTCCAGGTGAACTGAGTCCAGTTGTGGCTCTTCAGGTACCCTCCGCTGAGGTGAAACAGAAAGAAAAGTGGTGAGGGGGCAAGTGGTTGATGCAGATGGGCAGAGGGCATGAGGTGCAGGTTGTTGGGAAGGACTTTGTCTTATAAGAAAGTTGAAAGCTGGGAGAGGTGTTTTTGTTTTTAGGGATAAAAGCCATCTCAAAGGTATGTGGTCTGTCCGGGGCCTTATAAGGGCAGGGCTGAAAATGAGGTTTCTTACATTCTTTAGTACGGCCCGTATGGCCCACTCAAACACCTCCTGCACGTTGGTGGCTTCCTTGGCGCTGGTTTCAAAGTATTTGGCTTCATGAAGCTTGCTCCACATTTCTGCTTCCTCAGAAGACACCTGGACAAAAACAGGGCTTGGGCATACTCTGCTCTCTTCCCAATTCCATCTGCAGCTCTTAATCAAAAAGTTTGTCGTCTTTTTAGTGTACATAATGAGACCAAATCTTTAAGATAATATAATTTTTCCACAGATACCAAATTCTACACCTCTGCTCGACAATTATGCCAAAGTCCTCTGGTGAAGCTGTTCATTAGGATACAATATTCCCTGAACTTTCTGTCCACTCCCCGTCTCCTTGAGTCGTTGCAAAGAGTTCTTACAGCCCCCTAACAGAACCCCTAAAGAGTTCTGACCCCTAACTACTCCAACCCAATATGTCTGAGAGCCATACAGGATGTGGACTTGTGCCCTGCACCTGGCTTCATATGTAGCCCTACCTAGTGGCAGACTTTGGGCTTTAAAATTTCAGCAGTAAACTCTGCAATGCCAAACTTTGGGGGGGGGGGTGCCTCTCGCCTTTCGCTGTTTGCTATTGTTGCCGGGCCCCCTTAGCTTGGCAGCCAGTGTGGGTGAACCAGTGGCACTCCCCTAAATCCACCTCTGCCCCACCTCACGGTTCTCCAGGTCCATCTTGTTCCCAATGACAGCAGTGGGGAAAGTGGGCTCTTCCTCTGGCTCAATCTGCAACAGGAGCTGCTTGTGCCACTTATCCAGGGCTTGGAAAGAGCTGACGGATGTGACATCGAAGACGAGAAGGCAGCAGTCTGACCCCCGGTAGAGGGCAGTCCCCAGTGCTTGGAACCTTTCTGTACCAGCTGTGTCCCAAATCTAGGTGCAAGAAGGGATAGAAGCTGAGACCTTGATTTCAAGACATCCCTGGGTCCTTGGTGACTTACCTCCATTAATCTTGGTTCTCACAAAGTTAGCAAGCATAGGTTTTGTTGTCTGGGGGCATCAGGGGATACCATGCCAAATGATGGTGTGGACTAGAGTCTCCCGTTTCTTTATTCAATTGATGTTCTGGATTCTTCCACCATGTTTGACCAGGGTTGAGTGGCTGCCACAATTCTGCCAACAGCGAACTAGTCTACACATCAGAATGTATATAATACCAAATTGCTATAAAGAGATGGAGAGCTGAAGGGGAGCAGCTTTCTTGAACCCCATCTGCCCAGCTACGTTGCTGGGAGTGCAGAAGAATGATCCATACTTCTACATTTCAGGTGCCAGCTGTCCATTGTGACTGGCGCCCAGAAAACGAGTGCGGTTATGTACTGTTTTGCCATAAAAGTTGGCAATCTTGGATTAAACCAGCAGCCAGAAAAAGTACTGAATTAGATGGGGACTGCAGCCCTGTCATGTTGAATGTTGCTTCCTATGATTAGTGGAAACTGACAGTTGTGCAAAATGAGAAACCACAGGAATATGCTTACCACAAGCTGCTGAATTCAGCTTTGTCACGGAACTTGGGTGTGTGTGGTGCAGTACTGTACACGGACACAACCAGTTTGCTATATGGGTTAGAAGCCTTTCCTCAAGCCAAATTGGCTGCTAGCATTGTAAAGGATCTTTGGGGTGGGGTGGGGGCTATCTTGGTACATGCACTTTGATCAGGAGTGTTTGCTGTAAAGGTGCCTTTTCTGCCATGCTCTTGATTTTTTTTTCTTTTGCTTTTTTGAATGGATGGTGTTTAATTTTGCCCTGTTGGTATGGCACTGGCCATCATTATTGTCTATGAATTGATAAAACTTTGCATGGAACAATTGATAACATGATCCCAAAGAATGATCTGACCACATGTGGGGTAAATTCTGCTCAGCTTGAGGCTAACCTGGTCTAGCTTTGTAAGTTTTTGCATAGATAGAAGATCACTTTGGAAGCCATATGGTAAGCTGCTTACAGGAAGGGCCAAGTGTAGGTGCGTTTCGTTGATCTTGCAGCCCAAGGGAGAATTGTGTTAGTTCATGAGAGTTGGGCCATTGCATATTTGGGACTGCAGCAATATTGAAATTTCAGTTTTTTAGTTGTGCATATTGCTTCTGTACAAATTGGGGAACAAGAAATGGAAATAAGAATTCAGCATTGCCATTAACATTAATTCTAGAAGGGAAAGGGTGTTTGCTTTAACTAAGAACTGATTTTTAGCAAATAGCTAGAGTCCACATTGTAATATGCTCGTGGCACCCCACCCGGGGCCTGTCTCATGGGGATAGGCTTTAGGCCACAAATGCCTGTATCTTATTGACTCTCTTAAGGCTGCCACAATAAAGCTAAAACAAGGCACTTGTAGCAAAACATAGCAGATTTGGGGTGCTCATATTGAGGGGGCCAGAGGACCCCTTTTCTAGAACATTCTGTTCCATTTTCCTGTATTTTATTTGCCACCACAATTGTCACCGAGCACAACCGTCAATTCACTTGCCCATTTTAGATTCTCTTCCTTACACACAAACCTTTAAATATTTTCCTGAAATAGGTGCTTGTACAGAAATTGGATCCCTGCTACTGCTCCCTCCATCTTGTGCACGAAGGGTGCCATTCTGGCTACATAAGGCACATATAGGATAATTTTAGACCTGGCGTGGGGAACTTGTGGCCTCCAGGTGGTGTTAAGGCTCCCTCCAGTCTTAGCCAGCATGGCCAATGGCTTAGGGATTATGGGAGCTGGAAATGAAGTATGTTGCTAAAATTGCCCTAGGCTGGAGCACAGGGTTTTTTTAATGGGTAACTCTGCTGAGCCTACCTGCACGGTCAGTTTGCGTCCATCAATGTTTACTTCCTTGCTGAGGAAATCTGCTCCAATGGTGGCTCTGTAGCGACTGCTGAAGCGGTTGTTAACATACTGGTTCATCAGGGCAGATTTGCCCGCCCTGCGGGGAACGGAGAAGGGTTGACATTTTAAATCTGGAGGTCTAGTCAGTAACCTCCCCCCCCACCCTGCCGCCTCATCAACCAGCACAGGGCTGCAGAGGTGGAGCTGGTTCTCTGCTCCTGAACTGCCTCTTGCACACATGCACACAGCCTTGTGATAAAGCCTTTTTGGTGGCAGCAGTGGGGAATCCCACGGTAAGATGGCGAAGGCCTTTTGAGCAGCAGTCACTGGGGCACAGCAGCAGGACAGGAAGGTCTGATGATTTGCTTGTCCCCTTCCGAGGAATATCTAGTTGGCTACTGTAGGAAACGCACTGCATGAGGCTCAATTGGCCTTTTGAGTACAAAGGTTTGAAAAAGGCATAAGGAATGCCTGATGCAACTCCAAAGGCAGAATAAGTCATCTTGGTAAAACGTGCTTAAAATCAAACAATGGCAAAAGCATATCTTGCATCAAAATGCTTTGGCATTGCATGTACAAAGTCTCCAGAAGCCTTTTCTGATGGTGCCCTTTTTTTACTTGGGTCACTTTTGTACAAAGCTTTGTGTTTGACTGATTTTTGTCTTAATCATTTCAAACAACTGACATGGTTTCAAAATGATATTCAGTGCTTTGCATGCACTGTGTCTGGCAGCGTTTGAGCCCTACTCTTCTTGTGTGTTTTTCTTCACATTTGGTGGATAAAGGTTAATCCTAACTATTTTACTTTTTGGCATAAAAGGTAAATGAGAAATCTTAAATCCTCATCGAATTGGACAGTTGTATGCATTCATAATATCTTAAACACATACTAAGGCCCCTTTTGAGTTTAGATACAGATAATGGAAATAACCAAATTATTTTACTCAATACATAAAAACTACACTATGTTTAAATAATGGTTATAAAAAGTTGAAGGTGAGTGTTAATTATAATTATACAGTAAGGATTATTACTACACTGCCATAAAGCTGTGGTTACTTAATAAATTAGTTGCAACAACAGTTGCTACCAGGCTCTTCAGAGTCAGGTTGATGGGGGAAGGTTAAGCAAGCACATTTTTCTGAGTATTTTGATGTACATGTGTTTTTGTTAACACTTGTGAAGTTATGCTAATTTTCCAAGCATGCTCGACTAGAGGGGCAGCTGAATAAAAATGCAGTAAGTTCTCATGTTCCATTTAGCTCCCCATGACTAGCAAATGCAGACTTGCAGCCTAACCCTGCACCTGTCTACTCAGAGGTAAAGCCCACTGAGTTCAAGAGGGTTGTACTCCTGCAGTCTAAATTATGCAACATATTTAAAATGGCAAAATAATGTGAAGAGAACAAATCACAGTTGTGCATAAAACATACAGGCTGCAGGTTTTTCTTTTCTTAAAAAGCACCTTTTTATTGCATCGATGCTCTCTGGGTTCAGGCAATGGTAATACCACTGTGTCCATAGGATAATAGTCACTTGACTTGGCCTCTAGTTATTTGGTGTTGCCTCTTCCATCTGCTTTAATTCTGGGAACAAACAGCTGGTCTAATTCAGCTGCACCCCACAAAACTGTCCTGTTATCATCTGCCTGTGGTATACACACGGAGCCCGGGCAGCTGCAACGTGGTCCCACTTGTTGCAGGTACTTTCAAGGACTTTGAAGGAGGTGGGACAGGAGAGCAGCGTGGAGCGCACCGGGATCTCGCTGCCCGTGTGAAGCAAAGACTAAGGCGCTCGGGGAGCGAATCAAGAAGACTTCTTCAAGCGGGCGCCTCGCTCCAGGCCGCGGGGGCCGAACGCTTCCCAGCCTGGGCTACGGAGAAGACCGGGCGGGTGGTTGGGGAGGCAGCAGAGCCTCGCGGAAGTTTCTCCCTGCGCGCGTTTACCGGGCTGCCCCGGACGGGCTGCACCTGCACCTGCCCCTGCGCGGCGCCGCCCCCTCCGCCCCCTCCACCTGCCGCCTTAACCCCTTGGCGGCCAAACGGGGACAGGATCCCGGGAAGCCTTCCTCTTCCCGCCAGCCTGGAGCCCCGACACCCGCTTAGCCGTCGGAGCCCGGCCGGGGGGCCAGGAGGGGCCAGCTCTCCCGGCGCCTTCCCGATCCAGGCGCCCCTTTGCTTACCCGGAATTGCCGATCAGCAGGATCTTGAGGTGGGAACGTCGGAACATGGGGCGTCTGCGCCAGAACCTGCGGAGAGACGGGCGGGTGAGGGCGGCGGCGGCGGCGGCGGAGCAGCCCTACGGGCAGTCGGGTCAGCTCGGGACCCCCCCGCGGCCAGGCGTGGATTCCCGCGACCTTTGTGGGGTCCCCTGCTCAGTCCGCGGGCCCCGAAGCCCCTCCCCGGCCGTGCGCCCCCCCCCCCAGCCACCTCGGCGCGGCACAGCCTCCCTCAAACTCCCTCCGGAGAAGGGAGGGCGCTGCCTGGAGCTCCGGGCAGCTGCTGGCTCTCGCCTTCCTGCCGGGCTGCTCGGCGCCAGGGAGGAGGAAGGGCGAGGGGCTGCGCCTTCCGGACACGCTTTCAGGTGAGGCCGGTGGGATCCGGCTTGTGCCAAGTCAATCTTAATGCTTATTAAGATCTACAGAGATAAACCATAGAAATCAGATCAGATTCACACACCTGTTCACAGGTGCTACTATCCTCACAACAGTTCTGCGGAGATTGGTGCTGGGCGCTTCCAGGAAACGTTGCCCTTGACCCTTAACCTAGTCTTGGAACCATGGGGGTGGGACGGGCATCCAGGGTCCGCATCGTGGGGCATCTGCTGAGGCCCACAGCCCTCCCTGCAGGGCCCTCCCACCCCACTGCAACCCTCTGCTTTGCTGCCCCTCTTTGCCACCCCTTCACCTACTCCCTCTGGTTGCTCAGAGGGAGTGGCAGCCTGGCCCGGGTCCAGAAGGGAAGGCTAAGTGAGCAGGCGGCAGCTGCACAGGAGGGGGGAAAGGAAGCCCGAGCCCCCCCCCCCCAGCTGTGCTCATCCAAGTGGTGGGAGAAATAAAAGGCACCCTGCACATGCTCAGATACAAGCACCTACGTGTTTTAACAAATCATTCCGCAAGTGCCACAATCAGCCTCTGGTGCTGGCACAAACTAAGTCTTCTTAAGCCCTTGGCGAGTGCCGGCTAGCTCTCTTGCTGGGCAGCCCTTTCCCTTCCTGTCTGATTCTGAAACTGCATTCGTATATTCTGTCATTTTCATTTCATATAATAAACCAAGCTTTCTTTGTTAATGTGTGTCTCAAGACTCTTGATGTACAGCTATTTGTTTGCCTCTAAAAATTACTGGGTTGCCCATCTGGCATTTAAGAGGTCTTTAGGATCGCCAGCTCAGGACAAAGTTAAATATTAGGTGTCAGGAGTTTTATTTAAGTAGGGATAGAGGCAAACACATATTCGTAAATGGGTACACATTATAACTCTAGCAAAAGATTCCAAATCTCTTGGTGTGTGTGTATGAATACATGTGAGTGCTGGACATGCATGTGAATTCAGACACAGTCTGGAATGCCGTATTAATACCTGTTTTTGATGTGTGAGGAATGCACTGACCCTGGAAACCTAGCTTGGCTCAGTTCTGGAACAATCCGAGGTTGTACCACCCCCACCCCACAACCTTCTGCCAATGCTGTGTATGCTCCTCACTACTAGGCAGCTAAATGTGCTTCTGTACATCTGGAATGTGGAGAAAGGTTGAATCTTAGAAGAACAATATGTGCATTGTTATATAATTAAGGTTAAGTGTAGAAAGGCCATGGAGCAAGCATTACATATGGGAAAACCCAGGGACCAGGCAGGCCCTGCCTCACAGAATTTGCAAACTACATTTTGATCGTAGGGGAGACCACAGAGGAACAGTCAAGGATGCGCTCACTACTTTCAATGTGTCCTACACACATGAAATTCCCAGATAATTTTGCACCATATCAGTTAGTGTGTGATGGTTATTTGGTGCTGTTTAAGGCACACAAGTGTGTCTCGTGTGCACCATCATGTGTGACAAATGCGCATGGATCTATTTTGCCACATGTGCACATTCATCCAGTGAACGAGGCAGAGGATAGTGAGTGACCTCCCTTGCACCACAGCACATGTACAAGCCTGCATTGGAATATAGATAGGGAGGGGATCTCTTGGTAGACCACCTGCCTTTCCTTGGATGTCCAAATGCAAAGGAAGTAGGGTGAACAGAAAGAAGAGGAGGACGGCTATTCCTTCACCTTTAACTGCTGTGCAGGTAATTTCAGCCAGAGTAGCTTGTTGTGTAAGCTACATCTGCTGCATTTCCCTTTTCTGCATCACTGTTAAAAGAAGCTGGAGCCACAGACACCGGTTCCACCCAACTTGGTGGGGGGCAGAGCAAGCACATGACATCATGTGCACAACATGCACATGTGATGTCACACGACGGGAGGAGGCCACAAGGCCCAGTGCAGCTACAGACAGGCTGGGCGAGGCCCTTCGCAGGCCACAGAATATTGAGGGAGTCTGGCCCCTCTGAAAATTGGGGGGGGGGAGGAGGGCTTCAGCCCCCACAGATGGTGCCCCTGGCAGGAACCCAGTTCTCTTTTTACCCAGCCTCCTCAAGTGAAGACAAGTCTCTTACATCTTTAAAAGTTGCATAAAAGGGGGGGGGGGGCGCAGCAGTTTGTCCTGCTGCGGGGCTGAGAAAAGCTCAATCTGCATTCTTTTTAGTTGCATAATTGCCTTACCTGACACATGTCCAGTAGACCACTTTGATTTGTAGAACTGGCACTGTGGCAGGTGCTACATAATACTCATTCCACAGTTGACAGAAAAATCAGTATTTTAGTGCGGCAGCAACTACACTTTGGAACTCCCTGCCTGTTGCCTATTGATAGCAGGCAGCCGCCTTTACTGTACTTTTTTCAGTACCTGCTAAAAACATTTTTGCTTTGGGAAAGCCTATCTAGACATGTAGAAGTTACATGTTTTGATATTTTGTTGCTGTTAATTTTAATCACCTGCTTATCCTTCTTTGTTTTTATTGATACTTTTAATGTTTTTAAAACTGCTTAGAGGTTTGACTGCAATCAAGTGTTATATAAATGCTGTTAAATAAAATAACAACTAAATTCCTGCTTTCACCCAATGTTAAAAGACACGCCCCCCAGCTGTGAAACGCGGCTCTGAAGTAAGTAGGAGAGAGCAGGGGGTCCCTCCCCGCCTCCCCCAGATTGGCAGCAAGATTATTCGGATGCCTTGGCACCTTGCTATGGTATATATTTGAAACGAACCATGTGGTCCTAGAGGGAAAGCACACGCACCGCCATCTCTCTCTCCAGAGTTCACCTGGGACGGGGGCGGCAGCTGCTGGGTTTTTGCTGCCAAGGGGGATTCCTCCCCTGACGTACGAGCGGGGCATCCCACTAGCGGTGACATCACGCAGCCGCGTTTGGGGTCGTCCCTGCTCCCAGTCGCCCCTAGGGTGTCCCTCAGGACGCAGCGGGGAGCCACCCGAGTTAGGAAGGCTGACTGGGGGCGTTTAAATGCTTTGTGCCTTTTGTTGCCCTTTTGTTGTCACGATCACTGTTCTGGGATTCCTGCTGCCGATCTCTGGGCCGGATCACGGCAGTTGTAGGGTTAACAAATGGAAACAGAGGAAAAGGAACAAATCAGGGTCTTCGCCCCCCCACGTGGGGGAAAGGGTGGGGCCAGTGTCAGGTGACTTGGGGAAATCATATGACCAGCAGTTCCCTACTTCTGTAAATGTTTAAGTTTTGGGGGGTGGGCGTTGTACGTGGTTTTATGCTAGTTTCCCGCGGAGAGCGGCAGCGCGTTTCGGGACTCTCCCCTCCCCTCTCGGGGTCGGATCCTGGGACGGGCTGACTCTGCTGATCCAGGAGTACCTTCGCTCCCCCACAGGGATCGCCGCTGGAGAAAGCAGCGAGGATGGATTTGGCGTCGCTCTTCAGCTGGCATGGACGCATCTCCCGAGAGCTGGACGCCGTGGTGGATTTCTGGCTTCAGCATTCGCACGACGAAGAATACGGGTGATGGATCGCTGCCTGTCTATTCATCTAGGGCCCCCCGTCGCCCCAGGGCCAGCCAGCGTGGGTTGTGGCTGAGGGGGCATTTGAACAGGGCTCTCCCGCAGTCCAGTCCTGTACCTGCCACACTGACTCCCTCTCACGACATGGGGGGAGGTTATGTTTATAGTGATGCTGTACACGCCATTAAGGAAATCGACCCAAATGGGGAGGGGGGAGAGGGTATGTGAAACAGGGGAGCCCTTCCCAGAAAGGGGGGGGGTGGAACATACCACTGAGATGCAAGGAGATACTTCCCCCTCCCTCCCCTCACATGGCCTGAGGCAGACAAATCTACCCTCCAGTGCGGGGGGGGCACCTCTGGCTTGGCAACCCTTTTCATTTAGCCCACTATTTTCGGGAGGCTGTGCCCACCTGACTCACACGTGACGTCATGCATGACTTGAAAGCAACCACCCGGAGCTTAGGGCTCCCTGTTGCTCCTTGGACCAGCATGGATGGCATTCCACTGGGAAATTCTCCTCTGCAAGCTTCGTGGAAACAAATGTGATCTGTGGGCCATATGCTGCTGTCCCCAGATAGGCTCTCCTTCCATTTCCGTGGGGCTTGCGGAGCAGAATGTCCTGGCAGATGGTGCTCTGTGAAGCAGATCTGCCTGCCCTCTTAAAGGCATTCCACGTTTTCTGCGCCTGCTTTAGCTCTAACTCCTGACGCTGCCAGAGGCAGCTTCCTGTCTTACTTCTCGCAGGCCAGGGCTGGGGGAATCTCCAAAACTCCTTGGACTCCAGCTCCCACCTTCTCTGGCCATTTGTTGTGCTGGCTGAGGGGCTATGGGGAGCCCCACTCAGCCACGCCCCACGACAAGTTCCTCTTTAGTCAGTAGTTCTCTGCCCGGCCTGCTCTCATCCTTCCCTCTAGGAAATTGTGGGGGCCCCCCTCCTGGTTCTCACCCCTGCCTCTTCTTTCCCTCTAGGGGGTTCTTTACATGTCTGGGCCAGGATGGGAAAGTTTATGATGATTTGAAATACGTTTGGCTGCAAGGCCGGCAGGTAGGGGTCCTCAGGGGCCGTGGATTTTGGAAAACTTTTTAGATTTTCTGTTGGGATCCCCTTTGTGTGGTTGGGGCTGGGGTGGAAAATGAGGCTGGGCAGGGCCAGCTTCTCTGAAGCCAGCCAAGGCTTAATTGGAACCTGGCTTGCCTGGAATTGGCCTCAGAATCTGGTTTCAGTGCTGGCCTTAAAGCTTGGAATGAACAGGTAAAGCAAATTTAATAAATAAATGGCACACGTCTCTCTGAGCATGCGCAGAATGCCTCAACAGTGCAGCTCCCCTGTCAGTCCCCCATATTGGGAAAGTTTTTGCACGAGGAATTTCCAAGCAAGTCTGAGGTCCAGCACCTGTCTCCTTAGAGGTTAAGAATAGGCCAGGCCTGCGCATCACTGTGGAGAGCCACGCTCACAGCTCATACCCTGAATGGCAGACATCAGTGCCGGGGCTTAAGCCAAGGAAAGGAAAGCTGTGGCCCTCCAGGAACGGATGGAGTCCAGTTCTCATCGTCCCTGACCACCGACCTTGCTGGCTGGGGCTGATGAGTGCTGGAGTGAGCAAGTGTCCTCATCCCTGGCTTAGCCAAGGCAGATGTCTGCCATGAGACTAGAGGGCCCAGGTTACCTCTCCATCCCTTCCCAAACAGGTGTGGATGTACAGTCGGCTGTATCGAAAAGTACCAAGATTCCGGCGCCCTGAACTCCTGCAGGCAGCCCGAGCAGGTAACTTCTTCCACCTTGTGTACAGAAGGGATGGGATTTGGGAATGAAGGCAAAGAAAGGATAATATTGGGTGGGCAGACAGAGGTCTGTGGTGTGTGGACTGGGGCAGGGAGTTGAGATGAGGGCTGAGAGACTCTTGAAAGTTCTGATACTTTGGAATGGTGGTGGGGTTATAGGGGTTGTCCCCCCACAATTAATCATCATCATAATCTAATCAGTTAGCCTTTCCTGTTAACTGAGTACTCCTTGTATGGTAAGCCATTCTGCCCCCCCGAGAATGAGCCTGAAGCAGAGAGATTTTGCCTAAGGCCACCTACTGCGTCTGTGGGAGAGGGGCAGTTTGTACTGGGGCTTGCCAATTCATAGCTCAATCCCTGGTTGTGATCAGTTGGAGAAAGTGTAAAAAGTTGGGGGGGGGTCTTGGCCCAAGTGCTCTGGGTATTTGGTTGCCAGTAGCAGAGAGGGGCAGAGCTGCCTTCCTCCAAATCTACTTCTTTCTCTGAGGTGGGGAGTTCCTGTTAGCGCATGCACGAGTGGCCCCACCTTCGCAGAAGTGTGCCTTTGTCCTGACTCGTGATGGGCGCCCTGTGAAAATCCAGCGCACCATTTTCAGCGAGTGCTTCTATGTCCTTGGGCTGGATGAACTTGGACGAGCAACTGGGGAACCTCGTTACCAGGTGAGGTCAGGAGAGCTGGATACAAATGTCCTGATTGCCTGCCTGCCTCCTTATATGAACGGTGGGCATCTAAACCTGCTTATCCTCCCTTTTTTTCTCCCTCTGATTATTACCTCAGCAAAAATACCCTTTCCCCAAAGCTATGGTACAGCTCCTAGCACATGGCTGATAAAACCGCAGCCGTAGGGTTGGGCCCAGAGTGGAGAGACCAGCTCATTTTACCTCATGGTGCTGCGGTTGAGGGACGTCTTCCTGTCTCTATGGATACTGGAGTTCCGTTGATAGAACTAGAAGAAGAATAGCCATCATCTACATAGGGGAAGAGGCTGGTCAGCTGGTTGAGTCTGCTCTTGTGTAGGGTTAACCCTTGTCCAAAGTACTGGTCCATGGGAGGTGCTGTGGGGCCCGCTGTGAACCTCTGCTCCCCCAGGAGGCAGTGATAGCCACCAACTTAGATGGCTTTAAAAGAGGATTAGACAAATTCTTGGAGGAGGCGAGGGCTATCAGTGCCCACTAACCTTGATGGCTCTGCTCTGCCTCCGTAGAAGAGCGCTTAAGAACGGAAGAGGAGCCCTCCTGGATCAGACCAAAGGCCTACTTTGTCCATATCCTCTTTCCCACACTAGCCAACCAGATGCCTTCAAGCAACACATGAGAGCGACGGCTCTTTTTCACCCTTTTCTCTTGGGTAGTGGAACTCTACTATAACGCATATCTCTGTTGGTTGGAGGAGTCCTGAGTGGTTGGTTGTTGGGCAGCTATCTGGCTTCTTCACTTGCTCTCTCTCACCCTCCCTGCTGATCAGCCCTGAGGAAGCCTGAGCAGTGAGCCAATGAGTTTGGCCAAGGCCTGCTGAGTCCTTTGGAGAAGTGGGAAACCTGACTCCAGGCATGGATGTTGTGGGAGTGGGACCAGCCCTAACCTTAGGTTTCCACTTGGCTAATGGGTATTTTCGTAGGTTGTAACGATGTTCCTGTTGGCAGAGGGAAGCCTTGGCAATGATGGAGGCCATTGTGCACTGGGTGAGGGAGGATCCCTCTGAGCTGGGACGCCCACTGCTGGCGGGGGCAAGCCCACATGACTCCATGGCTGTTCCCATGATGCTCCTCAACCTGGTGGACCAGCTGTCAGAAGGAGATGCAGAGGCTGCAAGCCGGTTCAGTGAGCTGGGAGGCTGGTCTGCTCAGCGAATCCTCATGCATGTGCAGGTAAAGGGGTGGGAATGGTCGCCCCCCCCCCGCCCTTTAGTCTTGCTTTTGTCTATGTTTGATACGTTTTAGAATAGAATTCTTATTTCGCTACAGAGGGATGGTGCTGCTGTGTTGGAGAACGTTTCTGAAGAGGGCGAGGAGTTGCCAGGGTGTTTGGGAAGGCAACAGAATCCTGGTAAGAAGAGACCAAGAGCCAGGATGCTTTGGGAGTCAAGTGCAGCAGCGTATATTTTGCTGTGGAATTTCATGTTAGCCAGAACCCCAGGAATCTAGATTTTTAGCAAACAAATTTCTAGCCTGTTTAGCAGTAGAGCAAAGTTTGAAAATATCTCTGTCAGACCCACAGGTTAGGGCAGTGGCGTAGCGTGGGTTGTCAGCACCCGGGGCAAGGCAAGTAATTTGCGCGCCCTAACCCGAGTGAGCCAGGTAGGGGCAGAGAGCTGCGAGTGCGAGCGCCCCCCCCCCGATGTTGCGCCCGGTGCGGCCGGCCCCCCCTGCACCTCCTACGCTACGCCACTGGGTTAGGGTCCTGAATGAAGAGTTGGGCTGGTGTATGCATTGCACTCCATTGCTGGGAGATTTGTAGCCCTCCAGATGTTGGATATAAAATCTCATCAGCCCCAGCCAGCAGGGCCCCAGTCAGGAATGATGGGAACTGTACTCCCAGCTACACCTCAAGGTCCACACATTCTCCAGCCCTGGATTGCAGAGGATCAGGCGGTGGAACTCTGCACTGCACCACTGTAGATTGCAGGGGCCATATTTTTAATGTAACTAGTCATGGGCTTATCCAAGAGGGGATAAGCTGCCCCCAAAACCAATTAAAATCAACAAAAATACATAGCTAACTGAGGTTCTGCCCCCCACAACAAAAGGCCTGCCCCTCCCAACAAAAATACTGGCTACGCCCAACTAGTTCAGATTTTGCCAGCCTGGTATGTCCTGCCCCCACCATAAGATAGGTTGTGACTCTAGGGGCCAAGGCAATTTTGACATCCCCCCCAATGTCAGCCCCCTCAATTTTCAGAGGATGTTTGGCTCTGCCCCCTGGTTTCTTGCAATGTTGCACAAAGTTGCATCAGGTCCCCTCAATCCTCTGGAGAAGCTTCTGCACCAGAATGTTTTGGACTACAATTTCCATCAGCCCCAACCAGTATGGTTGTGCTGGCTGGGGCTGGGGGGTGTTGGATATTCCAAAGTATTTGGAGGTTGCCAGGTTGGTGGGGGTTGGCACGTCAGGGCTACTGTTGTGCTCACTTGCTACGTGCAGGGAGTCTTTACATGGAGCCTTCAAAAGTACTACACCGTTCTCTGCAGTCTGAAGTGGTGCAGCCCCTGAAGTGGTGCAACCCCCTAGATTGGCACCTAGACCCTGGCACAGCTCCTTACCAGCATCCCTGCCTCCACAGCCCCCTTGCCCCTTGTGACAGTTTTCTTTCTCCCATCCCCAATTTATGCAAGAGAGAGAGAGGCTGCTCAGCTGGGAAGCAGGAACAGTTTCACAGAGTCCCTATCCTGCCACCAGCTGGTGCAAGCCAGTGGCGTGTAGGGGGCTCCATAAAACTGCCTGGCTGAGCAATGGCCGATGTATGCTTCTCAACCAAGCAGTTTAAAGAAGTGAAGGGAGGAACAAGCTGTATTGGCCCCTCTCCGATGCAGCATGTTTCTCCCTCTGCACCAGTTTGAGGGCAAAGTGGGATGGCAGCTTCACTCAGCTGGATATCGCTGGTGAAACTGCCGCTGCCCCTGAGTCCCTCTGCCTCCAGTGCCCGGCTGCAGCTTGTTTCTCCCTTGGCGCGCTGGGCACTGGTGGCTAAGGAACTGAGGAGGAGGCTGTTTCACCTGTAATATACCACTGAGTGAAGCTGCCATTGCTGTCTGCCCCTCATACCGGTCCTGGGCGATGAACTGATACATTGCCCAGGCCTACCCCACCTGTGTTCCTTCCGATGTTCCTGGACTACAACTCCCATCATCCCTGACCATCGGCCACGCTGGCTGGGGCTGAGGAGAACTTGAGCCCACTAACATCTGGAGAGCCACAGGCAGGCCCATGCAGAGCTTGTCTGAGGCCTGGGGCAAGGATCTTATTCTCAGCATGACAGTGTAAGTCTGGCAAGCCCCTGGCAGGATCCCACGGCCAGCCCAGCTCTCCAAGGCCCAAGGCAAGTGGACCCAGCTGCCCCACAACCTGCATAGGCCTGACCACAGGTTCCCTAGCTCTCCTTATTTATGTGTATGTGTGTTTAAAATTATTAGTACTTTTTCATAATAAAAAATCGACAACAACCATCCCTCCCTGTTCTCCTCCTGGTGGCTAAGGAACTCAGGAGTATTGGTGGTTTCACTTGCAATATGCCACTGAGTGAAGCTGCCATTGCTGTCTGCCCTTCATACCAGTCCTGGGCGTTATATTGATGCATCACCCAGGCCTACTGGAGACGGAGAGGAAGGGTGTATCAAAAGGAAAATGAATTGATACTGATTTTTATATATTAGTAACTTTGTATTACTGTAACATTTCTGTATGTGTGTTTTTGTAATATTTTGTGTATGTTGTCTGTTGTTATGTCAAATTTCTGTATACTTATTAGAGATATTTCTTATATATTAAGTGATATAGAAATAAAATAATCAATCTGCCTTGGGATGGGGTGGGAGCCATTTTTTCCTGTCAAGGGCTGCATTTCCTCAGCATTCTCTGCCGGGAGCTGCGTGCCAGTGCTGAGTGGATGGATCACCCCTCCCTCCTTCCCTCCCTCCGCCCCCTGCATGGAATTAGGCTGAGGGCAGTAGGTTGCCCGCCCCAGAACTATGAGCTAGCACTGGGGTGTTTCTTCTCCATTTTTTGTTTCTAAGGCCATGCAATTGAAGCAGGCTGGTTCCTGCTCTGCTACGCGCAGCGCCAGCAGGACTCGGACCTCGTGGCCCAGGCTGTGGAGAAGTTCATGAAGGAGCCATTCCGTCTGGGCTGGGACCCTGAACATGGGGGACTCTTTGCCTTCCAGGATGTGGATGGCCTCTGCCCAACGCAGGTACAGAAGCTTGGACCCTAAAGCCTACATTCACCATGTATTTGACAACTGCCCTCCTCCTGGGATCTCTTGGGTTGTTTCCTCCCACCCCGCAATTTTCCCTCTCTCTCTTCTTCAGTTAGAGTGGAAAATGAAGCTTTGGTGGCCACACACAGAAGCCATGATTGCATTTCTGATGGGCTTTGCTGAGACTCGAGACCAAGAGCTCCTGGAACGCTTTGTCCAAGTGGCTAAATATGCCTTTGCCAAGGTAAGCTTGAAGGCTGGCCATGGAGTCTGAGCTTGGGAGGGCAGGGGGTGCCATTAAGTTAGAACAGAGGTGGTGAGATGAGGTTTGAAGAAAGTGCATTTCCTGGTCACAGGCTCTGGGGGCTGGGAAAGAAGCAGTGCCCAAGACCTTGCAGAGCTGGGTGCTGATTGGGTGCAGCATAAAGCAGCTTCCACTGGTCAGTATGGTGACCGTCAGCTTCCTAACCTATGGGAGTAGCACCAGGAACCTAAAACCCCTCCATACCTCACATCTCACACTGTAGATCATTTTATAATCTGATACGCATATTGTTTCACCATCTTTGCTTGTTCTTCTCTTAGTTCAGTGACCCACAGGCAGGTGAATGGTTTGGCTATCTGAGCCAGGAGGGCAAGGTGGCTCTCACAATCAAAGGAGGGCCATTCAAAGGTAAAGAGGCTGTGTGGTGGCTTAATTGTGACGGTTGGGGGGCAGTAATAAGATTTAATCTGAGCAAGAATGTCAGCAAGGCACACCTGCAAGGCCTTTTTCCAGTACTGAAGTTCAGTGGTAGAATGCAGAGCACAGTGTAACAAGAGTGGCTCTAGAATGTGTGTTCACTCTGCTACTGATAACCAGCACCCACTCACAGCTACCTAGAATTAGCAGTGTGGGCAGAAAGAGACAGCAGCATATACCTGCCTCCAGTAAATGCTCTCTTGGGATCACCTGCTGCTTTTGGAGTAAAATGACATGCTTCCCCTATGACCAGTCTGCCCTTATGCATCCGTAGGGCTTTGAGGGGGAAACTACTACTGCCATGTTTGAAGTGTTAATGCTTCTATAGCACTATCAGCATGCAAAACTTGTCAAGGACATTGAGGGAGAATTGCAATATCCCCATTAGGACTGCAACTTTTTCAGGTTTTACAACTATTACTCTGTTTTCATAGGCAACCAACGTGCTCTTGATTTAAGTGCTATTTGTTTATAACACATCTAGATTATTTATGAAAGCTGAAGATAGCAGGCCCCATGGCTCAACCCCTCACACAGGAAGGAAGGAATGCCCCTTTTTTAATTAACTTATTTATTGATATTTATTCATAGATACTACAAAAATACATACCCATTACAAAATACTTTTTATAATATACTAAGACAGCTACTTAGTCTAAAAAAGAACTAAGTCAGAAAGGAGAGACCTGAAAAACGAAAAAGGGAGAGAAAAGGGGAAGAAAGGAAAAACTACAGAACTACAGAAAAGAGTAAGAGGACTTCTGTCTCTTTGTCCTGCAGCTACATATAATATTTATTCCTTAAAATCTGACCATCCTATCTTTATACCAGTATTTTTTCAGTCTTCAGATTCTGACAAGTTCATTTTCTCTTTCATGCAAAAAGTCCTTAAGAAATTTCCAATCCTTAACAAATGTAATTATTTTTCTCTAATTAAAACATGTTAACTTTGCCATCTCAGCCAGATTCAATAATTTCATCAGCCATTCTTTTATAGTGGGTAGGAATATCTTTTCATCTTTGTGCATAGAGCAGTCTTGTTGCTGTAGTCATACATTGGAGTAATCAGGAATAAAGTTAAGGAGCTACTGGTGGAATTTCTGGAAAAGGAGGCTAGAAATATGGAAGCAGAATTGGATAAAATTTATAGAATCAACACGCTACGGAAAAATAAACTTCCAAGAGATGTCCTGGTCCAATTTGTTAGGATAAAAAACACCTAGAGACGATACAGATTTGACTGTGCTGAAAGAAATTCTACCTAAGATACTACATAAAAGAAAAGAATACAGCTTAACAGATAAACCTAAACAGAAAAGAATCCAATTTAGATAGGAGGCAGCAGAAGGATTCTGACTTAATACAGTACAGAGAGCAAGAGAATTTGTGGAGAGATTTAAATCTGATATTAAAGATGTGCAAGTGGAGGAGACTTAAGATGCAGCAATGGGAGCATCAAGTATAGAGGTGACAAATTAACTTGACTGACTATGGATTACAAAATTTTAACATGGAATATAAATGGGGCAAATGCTTCACAAAAGAGGAAAAAGGTATTTTATCACTTGAATATAGTGAAATTAGATTTAAGATGTTCACAAGAAACACTTATTAGGAAAAAGGACACAAAATATTTGATTCAAAAGAAATTAGGGGAAGAATGTATTTCTGCAGGAACAAAGAAAAGAAATGGAGTTATATTGTATATATACATTCCCAGTTTTGTCCAAAATTGATTCTTTTGGATGAACAAGGTAGATTTGTTGGGGTGGAAATTAACATTTGTGGAAAAATGATTTTGGATCTAGGTATATATGCTCCAAATGATAACAAATCAGCTTTTTATAAAGGATTCATGGATAGACTGAGGGATTATGCATATGAAAACTGGTGCCTTATGGCAGATTGGAATGCTCTCCCCCAGACAAGGCAGGAGTCAGAGAAATGTATTTTGCAGCCTGTTGTCTAATGTGGATGAAGGAGGGGTTGACCTGGAGAAGGGAGAGGACTTTAGAAATAGGGCATGACCGAAGGTTTGGATGGCATGGATATCTGTGGAATAATAAAGTTAAAGTTAATGTAGATTTTAAAAATCACCGTATTCGAAGTGCCATATTAAGAATTTGGAATAAATGCAAACCTCGGTTGCACCAAAAGACACCTGTATGGATTTCACCACAAGAGGTTTTTCACAGAAAAGAGATGACAGGCAAAGGGAAATGGATAACATACCACAAAATAATGGAAACACCTCAATGAGATGGGGGAGCCTCTTGAAGCAAAGCAAGTATGCTTCCCCCAGAAAACTATTTGTGTTGTTCATGCACAAATTATGCAATCCTAACCATGTCTACGCAGAAATAGCTTCTATTGAGTTCAGTGGTGCTTACTCCCAGGTCAATAGGGTTAGGCTTGCATCTTAAGATTTGCCACACTGGAATCCTCTTAGCCTTGGTGGTATTTTTTCTGATCTGTAATATGCATTCTGCTAGCTAAACTTCCATTGTTGTGATTTTTTAGTAACCTGCAGGCATTCTGGAGAGATTAGACCAGGCTTCCTCAGCCTTGGCCCTCCAGGTGTTTTTGGCCTACAACTCCCACGATCCCTAGCTAGCAGGACCAGTGGTCAGGGATGCTGGGAATTGTAGTCTCAAAACATCTGGAGGGCCAAGGTTGAGGAAGCCTGGATTAGACAAATGACTGCTTGACTTCCTTTTCAACCTTCTTTTTACCATTTCCCTCATTTTTATGAAGTTTCTCCACAGCTGTTCAAATGAGCCAAGAGCTGCCCCTGATGGTTCCAAATCTACTTCCTGTTTGGGTTGCTTCTGCCACTAAACCTTGCTGGCTCACTTGCTTAAGACACATGACTTGCAATACTTTAATGCCCCCACACCAAGCTGTGGTTAGGGAAATGCAGTAAAAGAGGGTGTTTGGGAGACAGGATCCCTGTCTTGTTTCATTTATTTAAAGCATTTTTATCCTGCCCCCTTACATTCCTCCCCATGTCTATCTTTGCAGGCTGTTTCCATGTCCCCCGTGCGCTCTATATCTGTGAAGAAATTCTGGAATCGCTCAAAAGGGAAACTCAATTGACCAGCCAGGGATGAAACACTCCACTAACTTTTGTATTAAGTGAAGGGATGGGTGTTCTCTACTTTCTGCCTGGGATAAATCTTAATTCCAGTCACATTCTTCTTCAACCATGGTAGAAACTAAAGAACCCCTTTTCAGCCACTTCTCACTCCCAGTTCCAGTGGCTATTTTACACTCCTGGCCAACCTTGATTTTGCAGAACTCCATCGTGAACAAATTTGCTACGGTCCCAGGCTGTGCTCTCTTACAGGGGGAGATAGGCTGTTAACCGCTGGTCACATCCAGACCATACCTTTAAAACATTATGAAGCACTCTTATACCACTTTAATAGTCAGGTTTTCCCCAAACAATCCTGGGAACTGTAGTTTCTGTGTGATGACCCAACAAACCTTTAATTCCTAGCACTGTTGACAAACCATAGTTCCCAGGATTTTCCATGACTGTTAAAGTAGTATAAGAGTGCTTTAAATGTATACTGTGAATGTGACAATATTTTGGTTCTTAACCATTTTCATGGTGGGAGAACTTTGGGGTTGTTTTTTCAAAAAAATGCTTTCATTCTCTCCCTGGTTAGGGAGCCTTTGCCATTTCCTTGCCTGATGTTCACCACTTGCCTTTTCTTCTTTGAGGGTCCAAATGAATCTCTGCAATTGAGAAACAATAAAAAAGATACACACTGAATGGAAAACGGGAGTGTGTTGGGTCTACCCTGTTGTGCTTTTTTCCTATTCATGGGGAGAGACACTACTGGGGGATGGAGCTTGAGGGTCTGCCAGAGGCCTAGTTTCACTGAAGTGACTGGGCTATATACCATATCTGACTGAGGGGGGCCTCACAAAAATTGCCTCTCGACATATAACCTAAGCATGTTGGAGTGACAGGTTCTAGCCTAGCCTTCTCCCTGACATGCCCGTTTTCTGTGTGAAGTGATTTATTTGTTTTTAATGGGGTATTCTGTCATGTGAAGCCCAACCTACAGCCTAGACTCAGAAGAAAGTCTAAAGAGACAGAGAGAGCAATCCTCTTCAGGGAGTCGCAGGGGCTACTTGGATGGGTGCAGTGGCGGGGGAGCATGCCACATTCTATATTCTCCCAGTGCAGAAGGGGCCTTGGCCAGGTGGAACAGCTCAGGTTTCACATGCAGGAGCCTCCCAGGTTTAAATTCCAGGATCATGTCCTCCCACTTAGGTATGTCTGGGAGGACTCTGTCCCAGCTTCTGCCAAACTGGCAGTTCGAAAGCATGCCAGTACAAGTAGATAAATAGGTACTGCTGCGGCGGGAAGGTAAACTGTGTTTCTGTGTGCTGGTCACATGACACAGAAAGGTATCTGTGAACAAGCGCCGGTTCCCTCGGCCTAAAGCAAGATGAGTGCCGCACCCCATAGTCGCCTTTGGTTGGACTTGACTGTCCAGGGGTCCTTTATCTTTATGTCTGGGAGGGCCCGCAGGTCCACCTGTGAGAGTGTCGCTGAGGAGTGCAGCAGCAGCAGCCAATAGGCTCTGGTGTGTACCAACCATCCCTTTGGGGCCATGATGCAATGGCACCCCCTTACTACTTTGCCTGATGGACCAACCCAGCGAAGGTGGACCATTCTCCACCCTGCTAACACAGCAGCAGCAGTGATCCCTGGTAGGCCTAAGTACCTTACTGGGCAGAGAGTGACTATCCTGGAGTCCTAGGAGCAGCTAGATCAGGGAAGTCCAAAGCATGGCCCAAGGACTGCATGTGGCTGTTGAGGACTTTTGGCAGCTCTCCACAACATTTGACACCTCTCTCTTTGCCTTCCCAAAGCCTGGTAAGCAAGGTGCTGGGCTTTGGGAAGGAGGTGTGAGAGCTTTGACAGGGTCCTTGAGTCCTCCTGCATCCTTCCCGAAGCCTAGTTAGCACCTTGCCAGCTTTAGGAAGGAGTTGGGAGGGCTGTAGGACACTGCCAGAGGCTTGCAACTCCTCCCCAAATCCCGGCTCCTCGCTTAGCCAGCTTTGGGAAGGCTGGGCGGGGTGTCAAGTTTTGGCCTCGCTTCCCCACACATGACAGGTTGGTGCGCAGCCCACAGGTTCTGTGTCAAAAGTACTGTTGTGGGCCACTTGGTATGAAAAGTTAGACTGGTCTGAGCTAGATCCTTGCCCACCACTATAGAGTCTCATGCTGAGGCCAGCTGGAAACAGGGTGGAGCCCAGGATGTGGAGAAAGAATCCTTCCCAGCCAACCCTGGCAACATGAGGCACAGTTATACATCTCTCCTTAAAGAGCATTCAGAATGGATTGAGTTTTGAGAGTAAAAGATGGTGTTCATGAGGTGGCCCCTGCTCAGCCCAGCGAGGCTCATGGGGCTAGTCCCAGTTGTCCTGTCCCTTGTAGCTTCATCCCCACACAAGGGAGGCCATTACCTGTTGCATAACTCCTTGTCACAAAGCTTGCAGAGGGTTAAGGACCCTTTCTTGAACAAGTAGGTTGGCAACTCCCCAAGGGATCAGGGAGCATCGCTGGCAGACAAACAATGGTGACCTCCCTGGTGGCCTGTGTAGGGCTGGGTGTCAGGTGGGGAGCAAAGGGGGAGGCGGAGAGAGAGAGAAACATTCAGTGGGCGACAACTGGCAGGTATGGCTTCTGGACCTGGTTGCACAATGGATGCCTGGAAAGAAGGGAGAGTGGGACCACGTGGCTGCTCTGCCAGTAAATTCCCCTCAGCTGCCACTTTTCTCCCCAGTCCACCCTGGCATGATGGTGAGGGACAGTCTGCAGTGACTGAGGCTTTCCCTGTGGTGAGTTTGTTCTGCTCCATACATCTAGGCTGTGATCCTGCAAGGCTTGCTGTAATCTTGTGCTTTGGGCTGTTCTGTGGGGCAGGAAGAACTGGCGGCTTTCCCAAAGTAAAGCTCAGGCTGCTAAGTGGCCTGAGAGGAGCTAGACTGTAGCCCATCTCGGATCAGAGGGCTGAAGCTTAAAAGCAAAGTGAAGCTTTTTTGCACCACTTTGGGAATTGACAAGGCTCATTGGAACCTGCAGCATGTGATACAGTCAGCAGTCCTATTGAGCAACTTCCGATCTTAGTCCCAGGAGCATGACATGCAGATTTATCATCCTGGCCCTGCTTGAGTCTCCCAGCCCACTGCCTCTTCTTTTGGAAAGAAGAATCTGCAGACAACACATTTTTTTAATGCAGGCACTTTTAACCATATATGTAGTTGTTCACTCCGCCATGATCCGTTTGAATGTGTGTACATTTTTAAAGTTATTTTGTCTAAATCTATATATTATCTCATTTACTGTATGAGTCTAAAAGCCACTGTCAGGATTAAGAGAAATGTGATGGTCAATATATCAAGTTTTGTTATGGGCGGTGCTTTTTTTCTGGGGGGAAGCAGGGATATGCATACCCCTAAACATTTTGTGAATCTAAGTTTGGCCTCATTGAGGGGCAGTATTTCAATATGAGTAGGAAAATGAGAGTGCCCCTAAACATTTTTTTAAGAAAAAAAAAGCACTGGTTATTGGTAACAGACTGCACTGTACTCAGGCCAGTTCCAGCCAAGTCCCATGCATTTTTTTGGAAGAAAGTCTTGGTGTGCATAGGATTCTAGGCTGATTCTGCATATATAAAGTCTAGCTGGCGCTGAGTTTGCTCCTATTTGGCAAAACAATGCTTTCCAAGTACAGTGGTACCTCTGGTTGCGGATGGGATCTATTCTGGAGGTCTGGCCAGGTACGAGGTTTTCACAACCAGAAAGACCGCTTCTGTGCACACATGCACGGCGGAAGAGCGCTTCTGTTCATGCACAGAAGTAGTTACTGCTACTGCACATGTGGCAGAAACCCGGAAATATACTTCCGGGTTTGCTGCTTACGTATCCCGAAGTTTACGTAACCGGAGGGATACATACGCGGAGGTACGACTGTATGTCTATAGAGTGTTTCTCAAGTATGTCACATGCATTTTCTTGCAATTTTCATAAAATAGAATACATAGACCTGTGTTGTTATTCTGGTATTGCTGATGTGGGGAGAGAATTGTTTTCTTAAGTAAGCACATGGAAGAAGCAATATCTGAATGGGGAGCCTTAACGCATAGCTAAGAAACTCTTCGCCACTATGCTATTTGAGAACTCTCTCTAATAAAAACCAATTTTTCAAAAAGCAAATTCACAATTGTTGTTCTACCATCCACTGGTTGATTCCCCAAATAACATTATTGCACAAGCAATGAAATGAAGCTACAGGGTCCAACCACCCCCTCCTGAAAAAATAAGGACAGGGACATCCAAGAGATGAACTGTTTTGCAAGATTTCTGTACACATACCTCTTGAACTGCACTGAAGAGGAAATTTGCTTCAGCTGTGCTTGGATTTTGGAGGAATGACAGTTTGCAGATGTTTTCCGTGCATGCAGAGCAGGTCAGATGAGCACGGCAATGATCCCCGATGGAGACCATCCACTTTGATTCCCAGATAAACAATCATTTGCTATCCAGCAAATAATGGGTAGATTCAGGTAGTCCCATCATGACAAAGGCAAACCTCATCTACAGTCACCGCACACTCTCACTGAGCTCAGTTTATGGTACAAAACAGTGTGTGCCTGTACTTCTGCATAGCCTAGCAGAGCCTAAGCTCTAAGGCTGCCATCTGCTGCACTGGACAAGGATTTCATCCCCTCCAAAATCATCCTCAGAGAACCTCTGGACCTCTCTCCTTGGGTGGCGTCACCTGGCACCTTTCTTGCAAAGCCATTCTCACATACTTTCTGGTGGCACTTAAGGTTGTTTTGCTGGCTGAAGCGCCTGCTTTGAACTTGGACTGCTTTCCTGAGAGGATCCTATATATCAAAGTACCATCTCAGGCTTCAAGGGCTAAAACCAGCATTTTAAACTGGGCCCAGAAGCAATCCAGACAGGGGTGTAGGGGGCAGGCCACTCCGGGTGTCATCCCTGAGGGGTGTGTGACAAGATCCCCCCTTGATGCCAATCTCTGCGCCAATCACCCCAATCATTACTCTCAAAATCTCAGTGCCAACTTAAAAAATAAAAGACAGTGGTACCTCGGGTTAAGTACTTAATTCGTTCCGGAGGTCAGTTCTTAACCTGAAACTGTTCTTAACCTGAAGCACCACTTTAGCTAATGGGGCCTCCTCCTGCTGCTGCGCCGCCGGAGCACGATTTCTGTTCTCATCCTGAAGCAAAGTTCTTAACCTGAAGCACTATTTCTGGGTTAGCGGAGTCTGTAACCTGAAGCGTATGTAACCTGAGGTACCTCTGTACTGAAAGGTCATCAGAATGTGTTGGTTTTCTTGGAACAGTCATATTGGAAGCCATTAAAAAAAAGTCCTGATCACCTACTCAAACTTTATTTTAATTTGTTTTGCACTATACTAGTTTCCAACCACAATACACATACATGACAATAATAATAATAATATACTGTAGTATGATATTGCTATATATTTTTTTAGGGTGCACACATATAGCGGACACACTCCACCGAATACCAATCCTTCACCCTTCAAAATTTAGGAGATATTCCCTGAGAAAATTACACTTAATTTTAGTACACAGAGCAATCCCAAAGCCGCTTGGGCTCATCTTGGAAAACCTTTCCCAATAGTTATTACACTTGCAAATCCTTCATATCCTGTGAATAGAGAGGGGCTACCCCCTCTAAAAACAGGTCTGGTAAATATTTGTTAGGGGCAAAGCAGATCTGGCAAAAGAGCATCTTCTGTGTATCAGTAGGTATTTACCATTTCAAAGGAATGGCCCAGGCTAGCCAGGAGAGATAATCAGCAAAAAGTATCAGGTATCTTGACACCCAGGACACAAGCTACACTCTCATATTTCTGTTGCAGACCACCTCTTTCTATGACACTTGTGTGATGCTTTTGGGTGGTCTTTGACTATGGGGTTGTGCAATTTCTAAAGCCTTTAAAAGTTCTTAAACACTTTTTTCTGGGTCCTCACCTGCTTGCAAAGCGGGGGTGGGTGGGGACTCTTTTCTGATAGAAAAAATAAAGTTCTTCCTTGCTTTCCTTCTACGGGTTCCTGCCTCCACTCATTTCCCCCCTCACAATTAACTGTCTTAGGAGACGCTGAATCCTTTGATGTAGAGTTGGGCTGTAAAAGCCAACTCCATTTTTTTCTATAATAAACACCCCCACACATACAAAATATATGCATAACAAGATCTACTTTGAACCGCCTCAGATCTAGCTGCATCTGCATCCTCTTATATGAATTAAAGGCTGAGAAGGGCTGCCAACTGGACAGGAGAAGATAAAAAACACCATCCTCACAGCGATGCCAAAGCATAAAAACAGCCTAGAACAACTCGCAACAGACACCTGGTAGGCAGAAGCCTGCAGGTGAAGATGCTTATGGTATGTGGAGCTCAGCATAGTATCCTAGTTACTGGAGCCTGAACTGTTCTTAAAAAGGCACAGGCTGAAGGACCAGCACAAAACATACCCCGGCTATTTGGGCAGGCTCCTCGGAGCTCCACCACCTCCAAGCAACCATGGGCCTTCCTATGCAAGTGTTTTCTGCACCTCTTTAAGAGCGGGCTGCTGATGCTTCTGTTTTTAGCTGTTCCTATTTTATCTTCAAGCTGCCTTGAGTCCCCGTCAGCGAGAGCTGGACCATAAAGAAGGCTGATCGCCGAAGAATTGATCCTTTTGAATTATGGTGATGGAGGAGACTCTTGAGAGTCCCATGGACTGCAAGAAGATCAAACCTCTCCATTCTTAAGGAAATCAGCCCTGAGTGCTCACTGGAAGGACAGATCCTGAAGCTGAGGCTCCAAGACTTTGGCCACCTCATGAGAAGAGAAGACTCCCTGGAAAAGACCCTGATGTTGGGAAAGATGGAGGGCACAAGGAGAAGGGGACGGCAGAAGACGAGATGGTGGGACAGTGTTCTTGAAGCTACAAACATGAGCCTGACCAAACTATGGGAGGCAGTGGAAGACAGGAGTGCCTGGCGTGCTCTGGTCCAGGGGGTCACGAAGGGTCGGACACGACTAAACGACTAAACAACAACAACAGTTTTATCTGCCAGCCGCCTTGAGTCCCGTCCCCTGCCGCCGCTCTATTGCAGGGGAGGCTGAGGGGGGTTTGCCAAAGGCAGAGGCGTCACTGGAACCGAGAATTCCTGGCTAGGCAAGTGAAATGCGGACTACAAGCCAGCGTGTTTCCCCCCAGGGAATTAATCTCATTTAATCTCTGTTTAGGGAAGCTTTTAATGTTTAATAGGTTGTTGCATTTTAGTGTTTTGTTGGAAGCCGCCCAGAGTGTCTGGGGAAACCCAGCCAGATGGGCGGGGTATAAATAACTATTATTATTAGTAGTAGTATTAGTATTATTATTCCACTACAGTACTATCTCCTCCCTCTACGAAACACTACCCTCATTTTTTAATATTTTTTTTCACCGGGTTATAAGGTTTAGAGCGAGTCCCCTGAAGCCTGAGTTTGTTTAAACTTCAACCGTTCCTCCCTTCTCTTAGTTGCTTATTGGTCCCGCGACGTGTCACTCAACTCCGTCGTGATAAACGATTGACGTACCGGGCCATCAATTAGGGTTCTTCCGAGCGGGAAGGCGTCGCCCCGCCAGATCGTAAGCCCTCGAGGGGCGGGGATTAGTGTCGCGTCTCCCTTAACTGGTCGCGGGCGGAAGAACCGAAACAAGCAGGATTCCGCGCATGAGCAAAGCAAGATGGAGGAAGCGGCATCGTAATTGGTCGGCGTGACTACTTTCTAGGCGCAGTCTGATTGGGTGCCGAGGAGGGCTTGGGCGGGACCGCGGTGCAAAGCTGTGCGCGGCGATTGGCTAAGCGGCTTCCCCTCTTCTCGGGGCGGAGATGGACGCGTGCTTTCCGGCGCCGCTCGGTGACCAGCCTGCGCTCCGGCTCTAGAGGGATCGGGGGCTCCGGCCGCGTCGGGGGCTGAGGGAAGAGCGCCGCCGCCGCCGCCATGAACATCCGGAATGCGAGGGTTCGAGCCCCGGGGTCGCCCGGCGGGGGGGGGGGGCGGCGGCGCGGCGCTTGGGCTTCGGGGCCTGAGGCTCCAGGCCTTTCCTAGAATGCGTGGGAAGGGATCCCGTCGTGTCCAGCCCCTTTCCACGCAGGAATGACCGCTCAAGGGTCCCCGGGGCTTTGCGTGAGCTGCTTTGTCCAGCAAAAGAGCCCTTGCCGCCGCGAGGGTCGGGCGGAGCCTCCCGGGGCAGGAGCAGCGCCCTGCTGGGCACCTGGGGGGGCTGCTGGAAATGGCTGCTGGTAGTCAGGTTTGCGGGTCAGACTGATTTGGCAAGACAGCCCTTATTAAATCAGGCAGACTTGTTTCCAGTAGGTGAACAGCCAGGTGCTGCTGAGCATGAGGTACTGGAGAGAATAGCTGTCATGTCCTACTTTGTTAGTTTTCCAGATTCGTATCTCTTATTTCAAGATACAGTGTCTCTGAATATTACACACAGCAAATGTCAGTCCTACTGGGGAGAGGAGGAGCTGTGAAGTGGCTGCATCTCTCTCTGCTCTGTTTTAGTTTTTCTTCCTTTTTCTCCACCAGCCCGAGGACCTGATGAACATGCAACACTGCAACCTCCTTTGCTTGCCAGAGAACTATCAAATGAAATATTACTTCTATCATGGACTCTCCTGGCCCCAGGTAACTCTATCTACATACTTGTGACTTGAAGGTTTTGTAGAATAATGGGCAACCTCAATCCTTCAAAGAGACCTTGACTGCAAATCGGCTACTCCCTTTACCACCACCCCTCTCTCCACCTGCCACCCTCTCTCTCCCGCCCCTTTGTATTGGCAATTGTGGTGCTAAGGTGACCCCTCTGAAAAACTCCTTCTGACCCAAGATCTCCTGGATCTCCTGCTGCCCTTCCACAGCCTTCGTCTGGGAGCTAGGCCTCTAGCTTCTGGGAGACAGCCATGGTGCCTCATAAGTGACAGGACAAGTTTTACTAGCCTCTCCCAGCTTTAATTAGCAACATTTGAGATTTTGTTGACTCCTCAGGATCTTTTGGTTGCCCTTGGTGGTTTTCTAATGGACCTGGGCCTGTGGCTGAGTGAGCTAGTCAACACTTGTTACTCTGGCATGGCATTGCAGGTAGGGAGGTCTGTACTTCAAGCCCGCCATTAACACACCGGGTGGCCTGCCCAGGTTGCTCCCCAGACGGTGTCCCTGGGGCTGCAGTGGTTGTTCTTGGCTGTTCTCTTCCCACATAAAGTCAACTCTTAGCTTAGGTGGCGGTTACTTTCTGGGGATAGCACATAAAGATGAAATTGTGCATAGACCAAACACACACGCCCTCCACCTCCGAACACTATCCCAAGGTGAGTGCAATAGTTGGTGGGATTGTCAACATTCAACACCCACTCCCTTTAAATTTTTTAAAGCTGAATTCATGCAAATTAAATGTGCATAAATTGCGAGTCAACTGTATTTCCATCCTGCCACCTGCCACTTTCCTTCTCCAGCAGATGCCTGTTACAGGTGGCAAGGAGGAGGACAACATGGAGGTAGTGATGAAATGACTAAGCCCAGTGCCTGCCGCTTTGGGGACTGACATACATATTCTCAACATTTCAGCCTGTTAAAGTGGCAACTTTCTGTCTCAACATCCACACTTGCTCCCATATGGGGATTATAAAAATGCTGACTTGTCTGACAGGGTTGTTGTAAAGAAGAAGATAAAATTCTATGCCCTCCCCAACCAATTAAATAATATATTTGAAGTGCTTTGATCACCCAAAACACTGATCTATAAATGCTAAGTGGTATTTAGGGATGGGCTCAAGCTTTGTGGTGGCTAGGTGGATGGGATAATCTGTCTTTCCTTTGGCTCTGTCTGTGGAACAGGCTGCTCTTTGATCCTCCTTGGACAAGAGCCACGTTTCCTCTCAGGGCACTGCTGCCTTCTGCCATGCCTGTGGGTGGCTGTGCTGCTTCTTCCCCAAGAGAGCCCACTATGTCGCTCTAACTGCCTCCTTTCTCTCTCCCAGCTCTCCTACATTGCTGAGGATGAGAACGGTAAGATTGTGGGCTACGTGCTGGCTAAAATGTGAGTAGAATCATTTATTTGCACGGCTTTGGTATGCCTCTGTCTGTATATTTGCACTGTATCTCTTGCACTGCAGCTTCACAGGAGGCTCCAGCATAGGCTAGCAAAATACATATTTTAAGGGGTATATGCCTAAATGCTGTTGGTGCAGACTCTCACTTCTTCCCCTTTGCTGACTAGTCCCAGCAGTTAGGGGAAGAGGGAATTCAGTGGCATGGGGGTGGGCAGTGAAGCACTCTAAATTCCACTCTTGCGGATACCTTGAAGATCCCCCAGGTGAAGATACCTTGGCTCCAGGATGGCGACTGATACCTCCACCATCTGGCTGGCTGGCGCACAGCAGCATTTTTTTGTTGCTGCCACATTGTGGTGCGAGGTACCTGGCTTGCATTGTAGTTCTTCAGCAAAAGAGCAGAGTCTACTGCTGCCACGAGCCAGATGACTTGTGCAGTAGCACAGCAGCAGAAGACTCAGCATCTTTTGTAGAGTGTTATATACCACTGTACATCTTTTGTCTCTCTGAGGCCGGGCTGAGGTCCTGTGGCAAGCAGCTGTGCTGAGGTCAGATTGGATAGATATCAATGCTTTGAATGCATGAATGCATGCAGGCATTGGACGTGTGGCTTCTATTGCAGCTACTAGGGAAACATAAAAGTTATTTTAAGTTTATCTTAGGAAATAGTGTCCAGCTACACAGCGTTGTAAAATATCATGTTAACTAAAACAGATCTGAATGGATTTTACAGTATCTTTTTAAATTTAAGACTGATGTAGGATATTTGATAGGACCAGCAAGCAGGTAGCTCAGCTTTTTGCATATTTCTGCTCTTGATGTTTGGACAGGAGTAGCTACTTTTGCTAAAGTTTCCTTGAAGTGCGTGGTATAATTTTATTTTGAAACTGAGACCTAAACCTAATGCTGAACTAAACCTAAACTTTTAGTAGTATTTTTTCTCTCTCATCCTGTTTAGTTCTGATTCAGACATTAATTTTAAATGATTTAATAACTGGCTCAGTTACTTTGAACTTATGCAGATACATATTGTGCAGATTGATATTATCAACTATTATTTCTGCAAAGCAAGCCTGATTGGAGTGAATATAATGATGAGTCAAGTACTTAGCTAGATAAGTACCCTTTGCAATTGCTCAATAAGAAATAAGCCGTCTCTTGCCCTCTTAAGTTTTCTGGTGTGGCTCCGTGACTGTGGTGACTCTTGGGGAAGAACCTTTAACTCGCACGGGGCAGAGGTGGTGGGGTGGGCATCCCAAGGGAAACCCCCTCATGCTCCCTAATTCCATTCAGCTGGCTCCTTCCTTCCTTCCTTCCCAGTGGGCTTCTGAGTGTGCTGGGAGTAGGCAGGCTAGCCCAGGCTCCCGGCTCCCTTCCAGCTCTGGGCAAGATGGCTGGTCTTGGCACTGCCAGGGAGCTGCTGCAGAGCTTCTTCTGTCTGGTGCCTGCCTGGAACAACTGGTTTGGTGAGCTGCAAGCAGGCCAAGTGGCTTCTCATGTTCGCACTGCAACCTCGTGCCTCCCTTGGCTAACTAGTTGGTGTACAGCATGGCCATGGCAATGACTTCAGGCTTTGCTTCTGTCCTCTGCCTCCCTCATTCTAAGCTTCCTGTAGCCATGTGTACCTTTGGAGCATGTGCACATGGCTCCACCGAGGGGGGAGTCTGGTGGGGGCTGTCTGGACACCAGTCATCAGTGGTGGCTTGTGGGCCTTGGTAGATGCCCAACCAAGCTGGGCCACTGTAATAAGGCAGTCTGAGCTAGGCTGACTGGTGAAGGCTTGGCATTCTTAATTTTCAAATTTGTCAAATAGCCATAAATATTATTGGAAATACTTGTACTTACAGTGCCACCACTCTAAAAAATGTTTGGTATCAGGCCTAGAAGAAGCTGCAAGAAAGCACTTAATTGCCTGATAGCAGGACACAAAACTATATTCTTTGTGCAGTAAGTAGACCAAAGGAAGCTGCTTTTAGCTGTATTGGTAGTTGAAGGTGACACACAGTTGATTTGCTGAGGAAATGGCTGAAATGGTGGAAGTGCTCTTGTGAAAACTCTGGCAAGAAATCTGGGAAAAACAAAAGCTCCAGCGTGAAGTTCTGCATTCCACTTTAGCTATATTTCTGCTTCTGCCATTTATTTTCTAAGAGAGCAGGAGTTCTGCATATTTCTGCCAGGTTCCTTTCCTGTATTCTGAGGTGTGTGTTGTTGTTGTTTTAGTAAAAATTGAAAAGGGAAGGAAGGAAGGGTACTATATTCCAGGTGTTTGGTTTGTGTGATAAAGAGACCAGCATTGTGGAGAAAATAGTGTTGCAGTAGTGTTGGTCTTGATGCTTAGCTCGTTACATTTGTGGGGTGTGCAAGATTGGAGCTGAACTGACACACTCAGTTTCTTATTTCTCCAGGGAAGAAGACCCTGATGATGTTCCCCATGGCCATATCACATCTTTGGTAATACTTTCAGTTTCTATTGTTACAGCCCCCTGGGCATGTTTGACAATTGAGATGTAGCAAGTGGAGAGCAGTGGCTTGGAAGGCTGGCTGTGTCTCCTCTCAGCAGGACTCAGCATTTTGTTAGGGATTCCCCCCCCCCCGGCACTCAAGCTGTATGGATGATGAAATACAAGGGGCAGGAGGGTTGTGAGAACTGCTGAGTGCCTAGGGATTGTTTTGTGAGAGCCTGAGCAGTAATTCTGGAAGCAGAAGCTGGAGGACAGAATTATTTGGTTCCTTCCGTTCAGGTCAATGCCCAGAAGAGCCAATTGTGCCCCCCTTGCCAGACAAAATAGTGGCCATGTGAGGAAGTGGGTTGCCATTTTGTTAAAACTTCCTTTACTGTCAGTTCACTGTGATCTACAGACACTTGTGTCCATCACTGGAATTTGTACCACTGCACCAAACAGATTTTTGGCATAACATTAGTGTGGGACATCCCAGAACTTGTAAGTTCAGAAAGTGGCTTTGTGTGTGTGAGAGAAGGAGTGTCTTAAGGTAGAAAAGTTTATGGAATGCCTCTTCCTTCTGATGGCTTTTTGTCCTTCCCTAGGCGGTCAAGCGTTCCCACCGACGCCTTGGCCTGGCCCAAAAGCTGATGGACCAGGCTTCACGGGCCATGATTGAGAACTTCAACGCCAAGTATGTCTCCCTGCACGTACGCAAGAGGTGAGTCTCTCTCCTGCTCCCTGTTCATCTCCACTTATGTCGGCTTCCAAATAATGTGCTCTTCTTGTTACGCAATGGTTACTGTGGGTGTGAGGCTAAGGGCAGGGTTGCCACAAGCCTACCACCACCACTGTTCCAAACACTTCATGGTTATGCACAGAGGAAGCACCTGTCCTCCTGTGGAACAGATGTGTGGTTGTCAAGCCAGTGCTGCTTCCTCTTGCCGCCCGTGTCAGAAGCAGCACCCAGTGGTTTTGTCCTTCCTCGCCTTGGATTCCTTATTCCTAGAGAGGAAGCACTGGCTTCCTGCCAAGCCCCCCTCCTGCCTTCTCTTGAGCCCACGTGAAATCGCTCTCCGCAGAATCCCTTCCCAGGCTCTACCCCAGAGGCAGATGCAGTTCACAGTTACGCTGTCCTGCTTGAGGGGGAGGGAGGGAGGGACATGCAGGGTTCATTGACCTTCTTGCAGTCCCAGGTCTAGCCACATGTTCTCTGCTGTCTTGGTTTACCAAAACTACTTTTCTTCTCTTGCTTTGCAGTAACCGAGCAGCGCTGCACCTCTACTCCAACACTCTCAATTTCCAGTGAGTACCAAGCGGGCAAGTGGTCATAGTGGATGTTTGGTCAGAGTGAGAAGGCAGTTTGGACCCCTGTGTGGTTGGCGGAGGTCACTGGGCAGCTTTGAGCAAGTCATTCTCTCTCAGCAGAGCTTGCCTCACCGACTGGTGTGGCCAAGGCTCTCTTCTGAGCTCTGTGAAGCTCTTCCGCTGGCAGGTGTGTGAATGTTGGACCCAGCAAGTAATCTGAAGGCTCCAGTGACAACCAGAGATGACTTGTGTTCCCCAAAGGTTCAGCTTGCTGTTAACTAGAGGAGGGAAACGCAAGGTTTGCTCCTCTCAGCTTTAGCTGTGTTTGTGGAAGGAGCAAAGGAAAGCCATGGAGAGTCAGACCATAGTTCATCTATCTCAGGTCTGTCCACGTCAACCTTTTTCAGTCAATAGCCTGCATTTTCTTCTGGACATCCATCCAAGGGCCACATGCCTATGATAAGAGGGGCCAGAGGCAAAGTGGGTGGAGCAACAAATGTAAACGTTACCTTTGCACCATAGGCTAGTTTCTGCACACATTCACGTCCCACCTCCTGCTCCAAGCAGGCAACCGAGGGGTGTTGTCAGAGTTCAAGGACGCACCCCAGCCAGGCCAAAATGCTCACGGCAAATGTGAAGCAGAGCCAGAGAGGGAGTACAGTCTGGGGACAGTGGGTGTGACCAGGAAAGAGGTATAGCCTGGAGAGAGACCCCAGGTAGAGAAGGGCCTTTCGGGTGCATTTGGCACTGAGCCCCAAGTTGCACCTGCTTGGTTTCCGCCGTGTGGCTGTGGCTTCCCAGGGTTCCAGCCAGGAGGCTTCCCAGCCCTTCCTGGAGATGCAAGTTACATGCAACATGTGCTCTGCCTCCGAGATGCAACTCCTCCTCCGCGTAAACCTGAATGCACAGCTTCGGTTGCTGGAAATGGGGTTGAACGATGTTTAAAAACACATCTGATTAAAATAGTTGAATCTCCTTTAGGGAAATTGAACAAATTTCCAAGGCACCGGGGAAATCCCAGTGCTAGATAGGAAAAGCAGGTTAGAAAATACATGGATCTTTGAAGGCTGGTGGACGTGTTTTTATGATCCCATGAAGGTTTCTCATCCCCATTCTAACCTGCAAATCTTCTCAAAGTCTTATTACCTAAGCATTTATTCTGAGGACAGGAGATGCATTCTTAGATTCATCTGCCATTCATCTCCAGCCAGTGGCCAGCCGTGGGATGGTGGGAGCCCAATCTATATAGTACTTTTAATTTTTTTAAGTGTTCAAAGCACTTCATGTGCACTCTCTTGATAATATTTACAACAGCCCTGTGAGGTAGGCCAGTATTGTTATCCTTATATTACAGGTCGGGGGTCTGAGGCTGAGAGACTAGTGCCCTGCCTCCAGCTGCCTAGTGAATTCATGGCTGAGGAGATTTGAACTGGGACTTCCCAGCTTGCACACCTGCCTCTTCTGCATTAAGACCAACTGTGAGCGTGCTTGGGGCAGGCTTCTGGGACTTGACTGTGGTGGTTTTTCCAGTGAGGCCAGCATGCTTGCTCTTCCCACTAGGATCAGTGAAGTGGAGCCCAAATACTACGCCGATGGGGAAGATGCGTACGCCATGAAGCGCGACTTGACACAGATGGCGGAGGAGGTGAGCACGACCCTGCTGGTGCCCTCAGCGCTGGAGTGTGCGAGTCTTTGATACTCCATCTCCGCTAACTGCCCTTAAAAGGCAGTTCAGATTCTTCCACTGGTGTGGACGTTGGGACCCAGCCTGTCTCCTAGCTGTACACCCATTGCATCAAAAGTGACCCACGTAAGCAAGGTGCTTGATGGCTGAATTCCAAACTACCTGGAGACAGACAAAGCAGCCTACAAGAGGGAGTTGGAACCTCCGGCAGCCTTTCTTCATACCTTCTCAACCTGTAAAGCTGAGGGTGAGATGGCGAGTAAAGCAAAACCTAGGCTGTTAAGAAGAGGGAGAATAGGGAATAGGGTGGCAAGGCTCCTCCTCCCCTGTCTGATGCTCTGTAACTTTGTTTTGCCTATCGGCCCCTTAATGTTATCAAGCACTTCTCTCTAGAGTTTAATTTCCCCCTGCTCTTTATTTTTGAGATGGGTAGGGAGTGAGGGAAAATCACCCAATACACATACAACATGATAACATCAGACGGGTTTGAATGCAGGTATCCTGTGAATCAGCTGTGTTTGGCTGATCCAAGATGCTCATATTTTGACATTTGGATGAAGGGACGTACCTGGCATGTCTTTCCCCTTCCTCCATTGAGGCCATTTTCATGCACATCTTTTACTAATTAATTTCACTGGTCTTCCTTTTTCATTTCTGTTGCACAGATGTGTTTTTTTAGACTGTTCACCATATTTAGCATCTAGAAAAATGGAGCATTTGCTTTGAATCTGTTGGCATATTCCATTGCTGAGGGGCCTGCTGTCAGTTATTATTGTGTGGTAAGATGATGCTTGTATATTTTTGTGATGAGCAACACAGCTCTTGGTCCCACGCACTTGTTTAATTCCTTAAAAAAAAAAGTAAGTGTGCCCACACCTATTTGGGACGCTGTGTGTTCCTCCTCTGCTGATGTACACCTACGCAAGAGTTCTCAACCAGATATACTGAGACAGACAAGTGGAAAACTGCAGCAAAGCTAATCTCTGCTTGCAGTTCCCCTCCATTTTGCCAGGTTATTGTTCGTATCTTTCAAGTTCTTTGGAGGCTGTGTGCCTCCCTCTCCCGTGCTGGGGTGCTCATGTAGCCAAGCGGAAAGGGTGGAGGAGGTCAGTATCAATAACCGTATACATACATACTCGCATGTTGAGCTGATGGGGTTTCATGCTACTTGGGTTGACGAGGGTCTCACGGTAGTTTTCTGGATGTGCTTGCCAGGATGTTAGAAATGTGAACAGCGGCAAGCAACATCGAAAACATTTCCTCCCATAGCTGCTTTGCAGATTTTGAGGCTCCTTTTTTTGGAAGGTGGGGCGGTGTCTGACATGACTGGGCTGTCTCCTGGAAAGAGTGCGCAAGACCTTTGTAATTCAGCCAAGGGTTTTGTGGATGAAAACTGCTTATCTTCCCAACACACACACATTCCAGCTAAAACGAGCCCCTGTTCCCTCACAGCTGCGGAGGCAGGTGGACCTGAAAGAGAAGAGCAAGCACTCTGTCCTGGGCTCCATTGAGAACAAGAGTGGGGACCACAAGGTCAACCACGTTGGCGAATGCTGCCGGGATGAGAAATGCCCTGGGACCGTGGTGGGCAGCGGGCCTGGGGCTGAAGACAGCGGTGACAGCAAAGATGTCAGCGAGGTCAGCGAGGCCACAGAGAGCACAGATGTCAAGGACAGCTCAGAGGCCTCTGACTCTGCCTCCTAGCAAGGGCTTTTGCCAGGCCACTCACTGTCCAGCCCTTGAAGGATCTGTGTCTTTGCTTGCAGGTGTAAGGTCCCTACATGGGATTTGGAAATAAAAGTTTATGGAACCAGAGGGGTGCGTGTGCTGGTATGGCTTGTGTGTCCTTTCAGTGAAGCTTGCATAGAGCGGGAGCATGGAGGAGGCCCACAGCTCCTCTGCGTTTAGCCTAGATATTCAGCCCATCTCCTTTCCTCTGTATTTCAGTTACTTACGTGGTTCTGCACAATTTACTCTAGGTTTGCCCCCTCTTTTCTGAGAGACACCAACCTTTCAATTTCCAGTGGAAGTGGGAGAAAGGTGGTGAATCACATTTTAGGGTAACACTTTTTATCTGTTGGTTATTGCTATGCCACTTCTGGGTTAGCAATGTCAGTGTCTGACATCTTCCCTCATTTGGTGTGGTGCAGTCGTGGTACACTTCGGGGGGGGGGGGGGGACGACGATGCAACACCAACCCCACACAGCCCCTTTGGCAGAAGGCCTGCAGAGAGTGCACACAGTGCCCTTCTGGGTTCAAGGACCCATAGAGGAAAAGACTGGACAAAGCACCCCAACTGGCCAGAACATGCAGCAAAGCGAGTGAGAGGTATCTACTAGTAACATGAACCTCTAGTGGCTAAAAGGGACAAGATTGGGAAGCAGGGGGAAGGAAGGCGAAAGTTACCAATTTACCTTTTGCCTGCCGGGGGAGGGAGGGCTTCCAGTGAGCAGTGACATGTATCATAGGGCATTTGTAGCTCCCCCCAACTTGAAAGCCCACTCAAAGATGCTCGGAGCATAGGGGCTTCAAGGGAAGACTTTCCTTGTATCTGGAGTTTGAATCCAGGTACAGCCTCATATTAGAGGGAGAGGACACCCCCTCCCCAAATCCACCTAAACTAATTGGGAGGACTTCTGTATAGGCCAACAGTCTTGGTTCCTCCATTAGCCAGCCAGACCTTGTAGCCATCATGGAGAGGCAATCTTTTTCTAATGTGCTAAGTTTTTGCACAGTACACAGGGAATGATGGAGGGAAGTACTTGAAAGTATGACCCTCATTTACAGTCTGTAGTGGTTTGAATGTAGGCTAAGTGCCATTTAATTCCGCAGAATGTGCAACTGTTCTGATTTTGAAGCCCTGGTTTCCAAACAGCAGCTTCAAGGAGCCCCTCTCCATGTGGACTTGTCCACTGCTCAGCAGCCTCTGTATGTTGCAGAGGATCCTGGGAGATGCTCTAGGCACATGCTCAATCCATGCGGGATCCTGCCCAGGACCACTGGACCATGCCATTGCTCTGTGTGAATGGAGAATGTGTCCTGACCTGGAGAATGGGTCACACCCAGTACCTTAAATCCCTGAAGAATGTAGTGTTAGGCAAGCAGTCCTCCAGGGAAGCTCATCCATCACTTCTGATCTCATTGAGAACTCCCTTATAAGGGGCCAACGAGCTCAAGTTAGAAAATGGCAGCCTTAATAATAATAAAATAATTTATTATTTACAGTGGTACCTTGGGTTAAGAACTTAATTCGTTCCGGAGGTCCGTTCTTAACATGAAACTGTTCTTAACCTGAAGCACCACTTTAGCTAATGGGGCCTGCCGCTGCGCCGCCACCACGCGATTTCTGTACTCATCCTGAGGTAAAGTTCTTAACCCAAGGTACTATTTCTGGGTTAGCAGCGTATGTAACCCGAGGTACCACTGTATATCCTGCCCATCTGGCTGGGTTTCCCCAGCCACTCTTAACTACAGGCCTGGAGTCCAGATACAGCAGCTATTGGCACATCACCAAATAAAGGGGCATAAGACAGATTTACATAAAATTCGTATCAGCTACTATATAGATGCAAATTTTTAAAAATCAGTGCTATAATTTAAATAGAAATACAAGATGTTGCAATATTATTTATTAAATTTGTATACCACCCTTCATCCGTATATCTAAAGGTGGTGCACAACATAAAAACGCAAGATTAAAAAACTAAAAACACAACGAAAACAAACCACTAACCCCCCTCGCCTCAGGCTTGGGACTGGATAACCCTTCAAACAGAGGACTTCTCCAGGCAGAGGGCTGGTTCTCTAGGTAGGCCACCCAGGCCGCTTTCTGGCGGGTCACCTCGCAATCTACCAGCCACGCTGCTGGGGTTCCTAGGGAAGCTTGGAGGGCGCAGGCCTCGGTCTGCCGCAACACAGTGCTTCTTGGCGTGAGTGCGGCCTCGACCCTTAAGCGATCCTGAGCGTGCCCTTTTCTTTGCGCATTTAAAGCAATGAGGCGGGGGCGCAGACCAGAGGGGTTCGTCCTAAGGAGGAGAGGAAAGGCGACGGGCTCCTGCGTCGCCTCGCAAGGTTTCGCAGGAGCGCGGCCACCGCCGCCCGACTGCATGAATGGGGAGACCCCGCGCGCCTCCACTGTTTCCTCCTCCGGAGCCTCTGATTGGCCGCAAGGAAAGTTCGGTGCGCGCTGATTGGAGGCGCGGCGCCTCTGATCTGTATTCTTCGGTTTCCTCTCCGGCGGCGGCGCAGCTGGTGGGAATCGGAAGCCGAGGGGCTCTAGCTTAGGGCGATGGGCGAGTCCCGGGCTCTGAGCAGGGCCGAAGCGCTGCAGCTGGCGCCGCCCGACTGGCAGCACGCTTGCCATGCCCTCCTGTACGCGCCTTGCCCCGGACGCCTCTTCGGGAAGTTCCCGCTGCATTTCGCAGCGCTGGTGAGAAATGAGCTGGGGGGGGGGACGGACAGGTGGAGATCTGCCGGTTAGCAGGAAGAGTAAGCCCCCCCCCCCCCGCGAATTAAAAAAAATGGGCGTTTGCAGACCACGCTTGGCTTGCTCAAAGCTCCGCAGTCCCGCGACCCGTTTTTAATGTCAGGGCTGCTTGCCTTGAACGGAAACCCAAGTGTTCCTGGATGTTGCCTTTCGTTCACGGGCTGCTTTGGAAGGGAGGGCGGGATAGAAATTAAATCGTGAATGCTTCCTGCTAGTGACAGGCCTATTTTTCAGAGGAACAGCGTTGTAAATCTGTTGCAGCAGGAAGCGACGAAGAGGCTTGAAGACTAACGCGTTTATTGTGCCACGACAGATTTGTTAGACTTTAGCGTGTCCATAGTTCTGGTTTACAATGGCTTATGGCTGCAAGCAATATTTATTGAGGCTGCAGTTTGAGGCAGGTGTGATTGAATCACTGCTGCACTTAGATAATTTTAGATTCCGGACTTAACGGTCTCCCGTCCCTGCTTCTTAGAAGGCAGCGTGTATTATTTAACTTAAACCTGTGGTAAGCCAGTCGTGTTGCTTTTGAGGGCCCGCCTGCTTCTTGAGCTGAGCTGGGGCCCTGGACCTTTTGCTTCCAGGCCTGATGGTCCCACAGGACTGAATGCTCATCTATTAAAAAAACCACACCACTAAGAATAGTGACCTGGCAGGGGAAATGACTAGCCTAGCCTAGCCTTCTTTTTGATAGCTCCCCTCCCCCCCCCCCCAAGTTTAGCAACTTAGTGATAATTACTGGTAAGCTTTAGGGGGCAAAAGTTATGTGCCAGAAGGTGTGATTTTGAGGCATGTATTTTAGAAATTAAACAGTGCTGTCTCAGAACTCCTGGTATAAACACTGGGATTGATTTTGATGAGTTTGAAGTGGGTGGGGAGGTGGGCTGTTATCTTAAGACAGATGAGCCATCAACAAAACGATGGTTATTGTCTGGTGACAAGAAACCAGGTTGTGCTTGAACTCTGTAAACCTGTGGGCTGCATTAGGGATCCAAGTGAGATCAGCAGGAAAAACTAACAGTTGCCAATAATTTCCTTTCTCAGCCTTTTCTAACAAGGACATAAAGCAGCCCTTCGAGAGCACTTCTGTGTCAAAGGGAAGGGCAAGCAACCTTGCCAAAAGGGGGGCAAGACATAGAATCATAGGGACCCTGAGGATCATCTAGTCCAACCCCCTGCAATGCAGGAATAGGCACCTGTCCCATGTACTGGGAATGGAGGAGAAAGGCAAAGAGTGTGGAGTTAGTTGATTCGCCTTTGTAACAAATGGCCTTCGCTGGAGCACACCAGTAAATAAGAGGGCAGAAGAAGACCAGTTCCAACAATTTCGGTGAGCAGGGATGTTGAAAGCCTTCTGCAAAAGGCGAAACTGTACTGGAGAAATTTGCAGGTGATGATGAACAGGAGACCCAGAAATTGAAAAAAGTGAAGGTTAAGTGTTACTGAATGGCAGATGAAACTGGGTATGTTTTAGAGCTATCTTAGGGCAGTTCCAGACAACCTACCTCACAGGGTTGTTGTAATGATAAAATGAGGGTGTGGAGGATGATGTATGCAAACTTGAGCTCCTTGGAGGAAAGATGAGCTATAAATGCAGTAATTAAATAATAAGGGCAGGACCCCAAATCCAACCCACCATTTCATAAATCCAAAGTCATATCCAGTGTTGCTGCTTTAAGAGACCCAAAGCCCTGCTTTGTCTGTTCCCTTTGCAGATGCAGATGCGGTTCGATGGGCGCCTGGGGTTTCCCGGTGGATTTGTGGACCCGCAGGATGTGTCTCTGGAGGAGGGTCTGAATAGGGAGCTGCATGAAGAGTTGGGCCCTGGCGCTGCCTCCCTGCACGTGGCTGAGGACCACTACTTGAGCTCCCATGTGCCCGAGGGGCCACGGCGAGTGGTGACGCACTTCTACGCCAAGCAGCTTACCCTGGAGGAGCTCCGGACCCTAGAAGACAGGGCCACGCAGGCCAAAGAACACGGCTTAGAGGTGTGGGAAATACAGGGTAGGGTGCGACTGGTCTTGTCTGGTTTGGAGACTGCCACACACTGGGCTGGTGTATGTATCCTGCATTACGTATTATGAACTTCTGGGCCAAGATAATGCCAGTTTCGCCCCAGAATCAGCTGAATTCTGCAGCTTGCCTGAATTACGTGAATTAAGAAGAATTATGCAGATTTTCTTAATCTGAACAATTTTCTCATCTATTTCCCCCAGTTTTGCATAATTTATTCTGGCCTTAATAGTCATGGAGTGGAAGAAAGAGCTTTGCAGGGAGCTGAAGCCTCATCTCTGATCACTCAGCACCTTCTTTGGTTCCTGAGATTTGACCAGGTTTTGCCCCAAAATATTCGGAAGCCACGGGGGCTAGAAACTGATGTTGTTATTTAAAGGAAGTTGAAATCTTCAGGGAGCTAAATTGTGTGCCCAAATATGATATTCTGTCCTCTTGCTGAACTCACATACTCCTGGTTGCTTCATGGGGGGGGGGGGGGAGAAGAGAAGGAGAGGAGGGAAGGGTTCAGAAGGGCATTTTTGACCTGATTTCCTTCCTCTGTGGCTTCAGGTGATGGGGCTCATCCGTGTCCCCCTCTATACCCTGAGCGATGGCGTTGGGGGGCTCCCAGCTTTCCTTAGCAACACTTTCATTGGCAATTCCCGGGAGCAGCTGATTCACGCCCTGGATACTCTTCAGCTCATGCCAAGAGAGCAACTTCAGAAGGCAGTTACCATGACTCAGAAGAGACCTTGAGTGTCATTGGTTGTGGCTGCCACGTTCCAGCCTCTGACGGTTCTGTAACTGAATTCCCCCATGAACTTTGGACTCTTGAATGGAGCGGATGTAGCAGAGAAATCCAAGAATGTGGGAAGAGAGTGGCAATGGACCTTTCCCTCCCCCTACCCAAGGTGAATGGCTCAGTTCTGGTGAATCTAACCCTGAAAAGGATTTAAGCATCCAGATGCCTGTTTAAAATATTGAAGATGGTAGGCAAGGGTTAAGAGAGTGAACCATCTGATCTTCTATGTGTGTAGATATATAAGACACACACACATGGTTTCTTGCACTTGGAGAATGGCACTACAAATAACACACTGACTCATCTGTGGTTTCTATTTTTCCATCTGTAATTTCAAACCTTCTGTCTCTGAGTTCCAGTATTTGTATATCATGGAAGTCGGGGTTTCCCTCCCCACAAAAGCCCATTGCACACCCCTATTGGTGTATTATTACTTTATCATTTCACAGCTGGAGTCTGCCTTTCTAATCTTTTACTAGTTCTTGAAGAATGGCTTAAGACATTTTGTGGCTCTTGACTCCTATAATATTTTTTATTAGCTCATATGGAAGTGGTAAATGGCCACTAGAGACAGTCATTATGTGTCTCCCTCCCACTGGTTTCTCTTTTTCCAATTTTGATGATGTGCTGACATGGGTGTAAGAATTGTCAATTAAAGACTAGGAAGCTGCCATCATTCAGTTCATCAGCAAATAAATAGTTGCATAATTGGTTTTGCTATATATGGGCCTTGGAAACACAAACTTCTCTGCTTGGAACAAATTATGCACACTTCATGGCACCAGTGTGATTTACTTTTTGTTAAATCTCTGGTTGCAGAATTCAGAATACCTTGTTGAGGACTGGGAGTGGAGTGGAAAAGGAATGGAAGAGCACATAGAGATAAGTGCTGTATGTATCCCATAATAATATCCATGCATCCATATGGCAGTGGGACAGAACTCAGCCTCTGGAAGGTCTCTGCTATCACTTGTTTTTAGAAACAAGTTTGTAAATCTTGTACTGATGAGAAGGGGCTTACAAGTTTTCTTTTTTTAAAAAAATATTTTTTATTAAAGATTTTCTTGGTTTACAAAAGTGCCTTGTCTCTTTTTTCAGGCTGTACAGTCTTTTCTACAGATCAGCTACATTTGTTATGAGACATTAGTGTTGCGTACAGTATAAGGCCAGGAAGAAGATGGGGGGAGAGGAGGCGTGGTGGTGAAATTTCTATTTTTTTACAGTGTACATGTGGGGGTTTGTGTCAGCGTCAACTGGGTAGGTTCTCCTTCTATTTGCTTATTACATTTCCTTGGTAGTGAGAGGGATTGGGGGAGCCCAGGGTGTGGATGGTTGTCTGTGGTTGTCTGCAGTGAGGTTTGTTTGCATTTGTGAAGTGGGGGGGGGGCTTGTTGGGTCAAGTAAGCCAGATTGATTTGTATGCTGTTGGTGGTATTCTTCTTGTCATCTTCTTTGGCTGTGTATGAGATAAAGGGAAGCCATACCGGGGTGAAAGAGTCCTCTTCTATTTGTCCCCATGTCAGTTTGTCTGTTGGTTAGCTTTTCTCGTAAGGCTGTTTCCCATTTGGTACCAGTGGTCCATGTTTACTCCTGAGAGGTCTCTCCAGTGTCTGGCTATGAGGCTTCAGGCTGCTGAGAGTAGGTGGGTTATAAGCTCTGTATAATGTGAGTGGACATTATTATCTTGGAAGGTGTTCGGTAGGGCCGGTTCAAATACCTGTTTAGTTATTTTCCATATCTCTTGTAGGACTGATGTCCAGAAGGGTTGTATTTTGGGGCATTCCCACCACATGTGGAGGCATGTGCCTGTGGAAGTGCAGCCTCTCCAACATTTTGGTGAGGTTCCTGGGCATATCAGTGCCAGTTTCCTTGGTGTTAGGTACCATCTGTTGGTGAGTTTGAGTGAGTTCCCATCTTTTGGCTGAGATGGATTTAAAGGGAGGTTTAGATCACATTCTAGTAGGTTTGAAAGTTTTCTGAGTAGTTTTTGATGAACTCTCACAATTCATAAAGGACTAAACAGGTGAAGAGGCAGGTGAAGAGGCAAGAAGAATTCCTGGTGGTCAGATTGCTTGGCCTTTTCCCATGAATAAGTTAAACACAATCTTAAAATTGCATAAATGGTGAGACCTCTCTAAAGTAAATTGTGCAGAATTGTATTGGTATAGGGTCATTTTAAAAAAATGGCACAGCATCTCTTAGGATTTTCTGTAAACTCTGTCTCATTGTCAACTTCTCTGCAGTTTTGAGAGCTCGAAAAGAGTTGTGCAATTGTACCCTAACCCAAATTCTAAATTAGCATCTCATTTCAATCTGTTCTCCACTGAAATCCCCATTAGTCGGGAGTCAGGACTATAATGGGCCTTAAGTAGATAGGAGGTTCTGACCACATCATGTGTGTCTGCTTGTTTTCAATTAGCAACCCAGAATCTTTGTAGCAAATTATTGACTGCGTGCAGGTTGGGTCACTAAGCACCTTTAAGGGCAAATACTGTTGAAAGGGTCTGCCTAATCAGCCACTTGACGTGACAATAATGTTTCACCTGGCTGCACGCATGTCACACTGGTGTTCGCTGTGTCCCCAGACATGCAGTGGGCATGCTGCCAATGGTGGCTCTGGCCATGGCTGGTCCAAAACATTTTGGCCCTTGGCCCCTCCCACCAGGGAAGCGGAGAAGTGAAGATCTACATCAGGAACAAGAGAGGAATAAAGATCTACAACAGGATCTGCAGCCCCTGTGGATCCTGCCATCTGAGGCAGTTGCCTCACCTTGCCTCATGGGTGGGCCGGCCCTGGCTGTGGCTCACCAGCACATGTTTCAGTGTGCCTGGTGACTCATGACTCCCTATCACAGTTTTCCAGGTGCACTGCAACCAAACCAGTGAAGTACAGTTGCTGTCTGATGATGGCACTCCCTTTCAGAAGCACCCAAAAGCTGCAACCGCTTAGTAGCTGTGATTGATATTAATTGATCATACATCTCCCCACTTGCGTGTGACCACATATATGTGCAGCATTAGGAAATAAATAAATAAATAGATTTGATCTGCAAAAAGACATAAAAAGGACAAAAATGGCCCGAAAAGAGAGGGAATACAGCTAGCTATCCTAGGAGCCTTTGCAACGGCAATCCCATGAAGAAGAAGAAGAGGAGTTTGGATTTGATATCCCGCCTTTCACTCCCCTTCAGGAGTCTCAAAGCGGCTAACATTCTCCTTTCCCTTCCTCCCCCACAACATACACTCTGTGAGGTGAGTGGGGCTGAGAGACTTCAAAGAAGTGTGACTGGCCCAAGGTCACCCAGCAGCTGCATGTGGAGGAGCAGAGACATGAACCCGGTTCCCCAGATTACAAGACTACCGCTCTTAACCACTACACCACACTGGCTCATGAATCTTTGGAGGTGGTTTTTTTTTGAGATGGCGCCTAAATGCATGGCATCGTCATCTTCCTCTGGTGCTGAGAAACCCAAGAAGCAGTGTGTGGCTTAGAGGATGTTTACAGGCATTTTAGATGGTGTTCCCTCCCCACTATGCATGATTTCATGTATAGGAGCGGTACCCGGGAACGTAAGCCCTTTGTAAGGAGGGAGATGTCTGTAGCATTGCTTTTCTAGAGCTCAGATCAGTGCTCAGAAATAGATTTTTAAATGTATAAAACTTATTAAGGAAGCCCACTGCCTCGCGGTAGAAACAGCAGCTTGAATAGAAAGAGGAAGACCTATTTCCCCTCCACAATTTCCCCTTCTGCTGAACCCCAGCTGCCCTATGCATGTAGCGCTCTTTCTGCCTAATTATGCGTGTAAGGGAGGGGCTGGGCTGGGCCTTAATGTGAAGGCAGCATCAAAAATTTGACATAGTAAGCACATCTTTGCTTGGTGAAAGCTCTGCAAGGAGGTTGTCAGACAGGACCTTGGTGATGTGGCAGAGAGCCCTGCTCCCTAGCCCCCACTTCATCAAGCGTCCCCAGCTCCTAACTACCTTTTGATTTGCTGCTGCTGAGAGCTTCAAACACCACTTTATTATGAAAAACCTCTGTTAAGTGTGAACCCTGTGTTTACCTAGTCATTCCCCAGTGGCTCTCCATGTGCCCCCATTGACTGGATTATACAAAGTGCTAGCAGGGGTGCTTTAAGTGTGTGTGATGGGCAAGAAAGAATGGGCTGGATGACCAGGGAGAGGAAAGCCTGTGGTTTGGGGGCCAAAAAGTGAGGTTGTCACCATCCCCCTGTCCCTTCCCCTCTCACTGAGTTCCTCATTTTTCCTCAAGTGCCAGCTATGGTCTGCTTAGCAGCCCTGCCGAGGCCTCCTGGCTCCTGAGCGGCAGGCATTTTGCTGTTGCAGCTTTTGCCAGTGCGCCCCCTCCCTGCCTCTGCCCCCCCACCCTGCTGCCTCCCTCCAATCCCTTTTGCCTGTGAGAGGAGTGTGAAAATACTCTCTGAATAGATCTTCTTTGTGTACGTGTTTATATATAAATAAAGCCTCATATATATATAATTAGAGATGTGTGGTTTTGCAGGCAGAGGGTAGATAATCTCCACTCTGAGAGTGCCTGTTCAGCTGCTCTGGGGTGGGTGTGCATGCAAGGGACATCTGAACTCTGCTGAGACAGCGCAGGGTGTGGAATTGTAAGCAAACCAGCTTCCTGTGCTGGGAAGTCCCACTTGCAGTGGACTGCAGAGTGTGGAAGCTCCAGTTGGAGCTTGTGGGTGTTAACTATGGAGAGCTACAGTTATATTGGGTCACACAGCTATCGGTCATAGAGGGCACAAAATCAGGGACATTAATCTTTTAGTTGAACTGTCTTCCGTTTGTCTTTTCCAAAGAGCAGTGCAAAGTTGTGCATTCTACAATTTAAAGACTTACATAATGTATTGGTTTATTTATTGCATTCTGCCTTTCTGCTATAACCAATCCTCAGGGTGACAATTTCATGTTCAATCATAACGGTTCAAGTAATTAAATATCATAGCTGATTAGTATCTGTACATTTGCATGTTGCTGAAATACTAGATAGAAATATTGAAGGGTAGCTCCAAGCACTTAGCTATATTGCTGTTAGCGGTGTCCTGTGAACCCAGATCTACAGGTGATGGATGCGACACCACTGGCAAATAAGCAAGCATTTGATGGATAAGTGAAATGCTGCACAAGGGGCCCAAAGCAAAGAATTCATCCCAGGGTAAAGGACCATATACAGTGGTACCTCGGGTTACAGACGCTTCAGGTTACAGACTCCGCTAACCCAGAAAGAGTACCTCGGGTTAAGAACTTTGCTTCAGGATGAGAACAGAAATCGAGCTCTGGCGGCACAGCGGCAGAGGGAGGCCCCATTAGCTAAAGTGGTACCTCAGGTTAAGAACAGTTTTAGGTTAAGAATGGACCTCCGGAATGAATTAAGTTCTTAACCAGAGGTACCACTGTAAACAAGAGCATCCTGGTTCCGGATGTAAGTTCACAGCTCTGTGGAGGTGTAATCTGCCTCTCCAGAGAGCTTCTGGGTTCTTCTGTAACACACTAGGACCCAATGGAAGGAATAAAATGCCTCATCCAGCCTTTCCCAACCTACTGCCCTCCAGATGGATGCCCAACTCCTATCAGCCATTGACCAAGCATGATGGGAGTTGTAGTTGAACAACATCTGGAGAGCGCCAGGTTGGGGAAGGCTGATCTAATCCAATATTTGTGGAATGCTCCCCCAGGGAGGCTCACCTGGCACCTTCAGTACCTATATTTAGATGCCAGACAAAAATATTCCTCTTTCCCCAGGACTTTGGGTGATTAAACTATCTATATGGCCTTTTAATTTGTGGGGGGATTATTGATTGATTTATTATGTTATGTATGTTTGTGTTTTTATACTGAAAACTGCCCATGATCCTTGGATGAAGGGCAGTATATAAATTTAATAAATGAACAAATAAACATATGGCACTCAATAGACACAATGGTCTGACTTGAGAGCAGGCAAGTTCCTGTGTTGCTGATTCAAACAGTCAGTCGCCCTGGAGTTTGTTCACAGATCCCCACAGGATCGCTGCACGTAACAAGGTGGCTGCACCTTTCCCTGACACCTCTACCTACCCAATGTCCACGCGCGTGCTTACTTTGGGGTCCCGATGGCTGCTTAAATGAGCCCAGGCTAACTGACCTAGGTCATATCAGCCTATGCCTGAACATTTGGGGCAACCCACACATTGCTGCGGTGTGTGTGTGTGGGGGGGGGCGCTCGTGTTTCCGAAGAAGAGCCCTGCTGGATCACAGGTCAACCATCTCGCCCAGCACCCTGTTCCCCCAGCAGCCAGCCAGACGCCGCCGCCAACGAGTGCAGTTGCCCCAGTTGTTGAAGAGACCCGTGTGAGCCGAGTTTTAACTCGTCGCTAGTAATTGCCAGGAAACGGGGCGGCGGCGGCGGCGGCTGTTCAGTTACTCCAGCTCAACTGATGCGCAGAAGGCGGCGGCGGCGGCGGCGGAGGAGGAGGGTGTGATCTGGTGGTGCAACCGTCGCTCGCGTCTCTGTGGGGCTTGTTGCTGGCCGGGCCTGCGTTGCCACAGGGCTGGACAGGGCGACACAAAGCCTTTGGCTCCAGCCCTGGGAGAGGGAGAGCGAGCGAGCGAGTGCGCGCCTGGCACGGGCTGCGACTGTGGCTGGCACGGCGAGGAGGGGAGCCGGAGCGCAGCGGGTTAACGGCGCCGCTCCAGCCCCAGCTTCTGCCTCTGGGGAAGGGAAGCAGCAGAAGAAGGGAAGGGGGCGGCGCCTCGCCCGGGAGCGCGGCACACCGCGCCGCATCTGCCGGGCGCATCTTGCGGACAAGCTGGCCCTGCTGCGCCCCGGCCCGCACCGCCGGCATGAGCGCGCCGGGGAAAGCGCGCCGCGAGCGGGGCAGCCTGGCCGAGTACGAGACGCAGGTGAAAGGTAAGACGGGGGGGGGGGATCCTGGGGAGGCGGCGGCCGAGGGAGGTGCGCGGGCTGCAGTGGGGGAGCCGGGGGCGCGGGCGAGGCTGCGCGGGGAGAAGGGGGCAGCCGGCGACGCCTGCGGGCCGGACAAGGGGCATCGCTGCGCGGGGAGGGCCGGGGGTGGGGCTGCGGACGCAAGGGCAGGCCAGGGGTGGGGAGGGCATTGTGTGCCAGGGGAGGCATTTGCCGGCCGGGGTGGGCAGCTGTCGGGTGGCCGCTGCGCCAACGCAGCGCCGAGGGGCGGGCGTCGGGAGCAGCCAGCCGGACATCTGCCTGCAGGTGCAAGTGGCGGCGGCGGCGGCAGCGCGCTCTCCTGGCCCCCCTGGGCCTCGCTCGGGGGCGCGGGGGACCAGGGCGCCGTTGCTCATCCGTCCTCAGCTGCGTGACCGACCTCCAGCCGGCCAGGGGCCTCCCCACCGCCCACACGCCACCCCCTTCGGGTGCTCCCGCGTCAAATACCAGCCGCGCTGGATTTCACTGCAGCTGCATTTATATGGCTGCGAGAGGAACGCTGTCTCTGTCTCTCTCTCCCCCCACCCAAACCTAGAGAAATGTGACCCAGATTTTGTAGACGGGAGAATATTGTTGCTGGTGGTGGCGAGGCGTGACTGCAAACTCGGGTTCTTAGCGGGAGAGACGTGGTCGAGGGGTTGTAGGCAAGAGGTGAGGTTCTGAAGGTGCAGAAAAAAGAAAACGGTGCGCCGTGCCCGCGTGCCGAACTGACAGGAAAAGGACCCGGGCGTCCTCTGCCTCCCTGTAACCTCCCTCGCCTGTAAAACACTAATTTCCACTTCCCCTGTTAAGACACCCTTGCACAGCAAAGCTGTTGATTGTAACGCAACATCCCTTCTTGGGTTCCGGTCGTTCAACTTCCTTTAGGCTGGGTGAGTTGATCAGCCAGCAACGATTCTCTCTCTGCCCCAGCGCTCCTCTGCTGCTCACCTCCTCCTCAGGATCACAGCACCATTCTGGACCTGCCTAGGCTCACTGCTATCTTACAACAAACCTCGACTGCCAACTCAAAGCCCTTCTGGGGCTCAAAATGTTACAAGCACAGGCACCAGCCATCCTGGCACCAAGGCAGTGGCCCTTGTCCCACTAGCAGGGCTGGTTCAAGGCGTTTTGGGTATCGGAGCCAGGAAGGCCAAGTGGTCCCAGCACCACACGCAGCAGTTGGCGTGGGGCACAATTTCGTTGAGATGCTCTTGTCCTCTTGCATGTGCCCTGCGAAACGACAGTTCATCTTAATGGATATTTGCACAGTGCATTGGAGCCTAGCTGGTCACCTCTGTACATGCACACCATATATTCCCAGAGTGGCTTAAAAACGAGTCCCTCTTCCCAGGGAGTGCTGGGAACGGCAGCTCTGTGAGGGGAAGAGGGGTCTCCTAGCAACTCTCAGCAGCACCCGTAGCAAACTGCAGTTCCCAAGACGTTTTGCAAGGGGAGAGGAGCCATGACGGTCAAAGTGGGTTTAATAGGGCTTTAAATGCATGGTGCAGATGGGGCCTTGTCTCCCTTTCTGCCACTGAAAAATATACAAGGCGGAAGGCAGTGGTGGACCTACGCTTCTGGGGCCCTGAAGCTTGAAGTGTCATGGGGGCCCCTTTGCAACCAGCAACAAGGTCTGGGGAACCGCTGTTCTCTTCTTCAGTGGGGTTGTTCCACGACAGGCCACCACACTTTACAATATCTGTGCTACTAACTCTCAAACTTTGGGATTGTTACAATATATACAACAACAAAAATTGATCAATTTTACACAAATCAGTGTGCCTCAAATTAGATCTACTAGACCCCAAAATTTTAAGCAAGGTGGACTTAAGTCACTTCTGGGGCCCTTCTGGGATTAGGGGCCCTGACGCTTAAGCTTCATTAGTTTCATAACAGACCTGCCCTGCCTGAAGGAGCTGCTTTGTCTTATGGCAGCAGCCTCTCCCTGCTACTAGGTCTAATTTCCTCTTTGAGTACCGCGCCAGACCTCTTGTTACCACTACTCCTATGCCCCCAATGCTTTACAAAGCTGGATACCATTCCCACGGTTGGTGCCTGCCCCACTCTGCCATTCTGCATCTTAGGTGAGCAAGAATGTTTCAAACTTCATACTGTAGTAGTAAGGTGCTTTGAGCAAGAGAGAAGCTGAGGTTAAATATTCTTGAAAAGCAAACCCCTCTCTCTCCTGCTAACAGAAACTGCCCTGCCAGGAAGCAAAATGTGGCACAGCTGTGCAGGGCTGGCCCAGGATGGTTGCTGCCTGAGGCAGAGCAAGAAATGGCTTAGCCCCCACAACCCACAAGTCAAGCTGCATAGGACCCAAGTCCAGTTCAGTTATGTGGCACCTGAGGCAGAACCCCCCCCCCCCCCAGGCAGCAAAAACACAACGCTCAATAAATGAAAGAACCAACAACTGCAAACCTTCCTTTCTGCCAGGCAAATAAATAGTTCTGCTGCCACCTCAGATATTATGTCAGGTTTTGACTATTTTGATTTGACAAACTCACAGGTTTTTACTAAGATGGTCACTTCAGGGGGCTGTCATCATGGAGACGGACACCAAGCAGGGTGTGTGTGTGTGTGTGTGTGTGTGTGTGTGTGTGTGTGGGTGTGTGTGTGTATGTGAGAGAGAGAGAGAGAGAGGCTGCCCTTTAGCTTCAGGAAGAGAAAAGGCTGAACCAGCCTGTTTTAAAATGCTGTGATCTAAATATCAGCTGAGGTGGAAGCTGGCAGGTGAACTTTGGTGGAGTTTATGCCCAACAGACATTATTATTAATTCCATACCCTGCCTGTCTGGGTGGGTTGCCCCAACCACGCTGGGTGGCTTCCATAATAAAACCAAACATTAAAACAAAATTGTTGTTTATTGTGTATTTATTAAGATGAGTTCTTCCTCATCCTTCTATTGCAATCACAATATCCAAAGTGGCTTACAACTTTATTTTATTCTTTTTAAAAATAAGACTACAAATTTCAAGCAGGGCAATCAGTGAAACCTCTCCCTCTCTTAATAAGCCATGTTTTTATGAATGAGAGAGCAAATATTGTTTACCTGCGCTGATGCTGTGGGATACGGTGGGCTATAAATCTGACTGCAGGCCCTTGAACTTCTGACCTCTGCACTTGTCAGTGCAATCACACACCCCCTTTCCCCCTCCCCTCCTCCGCCACCACCAGGGCCGACTGGTACAGATGCCTCCAAGAGGGGCTCAAAACGCCTTCCGATCTTGTCTTTGGTACCAAGCCTCCAGCACCTCCACCTCTACACCATGTTCTCATGCAAGTATTAAGCCATATACAGTGGGGGTTGGACCTAGATCCCCCTAATTCCCCTCTCTGTCTCTCTGTCTCTCTCTCCAGCCAACTCATTCCCCTTTCCCCATTTTCCCAACTGAGCTTTCTCTCTTCCCTCTTGCTCATTGGGTTGAGTTCAGCTTCCAAGTTGTCAGTTCTGATTTTTCAGAGGCTTTTGTGAAGAGGGTTGGGGGAAGGGCTGTGGACCATTTCTCCATCCCCTCGCTGCTTTGCCTTGGCTTCTGCTGATAAAACTGGCAAACGAAGGGGTCTCTCTGTGCCCTTGCTTCCTTCTGCTAACCCAGCAGACTCCTAGCTGCCTTGGCCCTGCAGGGCTGCGAGCTTGAACTCTTGCATCCTGAAGAGAGGATTGGGGGAGGTTCAGCCAACCCTCTTCCTTTTGTTCACTTTTGCTGTTTTATTCTTGTTTTGCTGCTTCCTCTACTTCATTGCGGCCCCTTTTCTCTGTCCAGGCTATGAAATATGCCATGGGAAGAACATAAATGGGAATTAAGTAAAATCAAAATTCTGCACAATGGCAACCCAAATCCTTCATCAACAAAAGCTGAATCATGTATATATAGCACCTGGGATGGCTCAGTGGGTAGAGCATGAGACTCTTAATCTCAGGGTCCTGGGTTTGAGCCCCACAGTGGGCAGAAGATTCCTGCATTGCAGGGGGTTGGATGAGATGACCCACATGGTCCCTTCCAACTCTACAATTCTATGATTCCATGTCACCCGGATAGATTATGGAAATTGAGAAATTATGCTGCATTACTCTTGTACTGCTGAATCCTGCAGTTTTATACTGTATATAAAAACATTTTATGTAAATCTACCCTTGTTTTGGTAATCATGTGGAAAAGTGAGAATGATGCATCTCACTTACTTCCTGACCCCTAGAAATATTATTCAGCCCACACTTTCAGGCACAACTTCACATTTGTGAGGATTAGAAACTTGCTTTAAAAAAGCAGCAGGTCAGATTCCCAGGAAGCTTAATTGCCCCCTGATACCACAATCTGCATTGTTCCTGCTCTCATGCAGAACTGCATCACTTACCCAGTCCCGTTTACAGCACAAACTCTAGGGTAGTTCATGATTTCCCAGGTGTGGGCACAGGTGTATGAATATGGCTGTCCAGAACCAAGGGGAGCCATGTTTTGTAAAGGAACAACTTTCTATGCAGATGAAGCCTTAGGCTGCTATCTTACTGAGATGATGTCAGCAAAACTTACTTGCCCACAAAAGTTTTTACTAGCCTGTTTGATCTCATATACCTGGTTAGCCATCTGCATCTGAAGTGGAGTGGGGTATGTCTTCTAAACTATGAAAGCTTCTCTGCCAAGTCACCTGGAGCAAATTCTTACAAGCTGCAGGCAACTAGTAACATGGTTATTTACAAGCCTGCTGCCCCTGAGTAAATCAGTCTGTTTCTTAGACCAGCCTTCTCCCACCCACCCTCCAGATATTTTGGACTACAATTCCCATCAGCCCCAGTCAGCAAAGCCAACAATCTGGGCTGATGCGATTTGTGGTCAAAAACACGTAGAGGGCACCAGGGTGGGGAAGCTGCCTTGGACAAAATTACCAAGGCCTGTAGTGCACCCAGCTTGGATGATCAGCAATTTGCCCATTATCCAGCATGGCTGGAGCACCTGCAAACCCTTTGTGTGAGATGCCTGCTGTCTAACACTTGATGAATCAAACCAGTCATAGCTGTACTGTTTGTCTCAGAGCATCACTTCTTAGGCCCTGCAGTCTTTCAATACAGTGGTACCTCAGGTTACAGACGCCGCTAACCCAGAAATAGTACCTTGGGTTAAGAACTTTGCTTCAGGATGAGAACAGAAATCGTGCTCTGGCGGCGCAGCGGCAGCAGGAGGCCCCATTAGCTAAAGTGGTGCTTCAGCAGGTTAAGAACAGTTTCAGGTTAAGAACGGACCTCCGGAATGAATTAAGTACTTAACCCGAGGTACCACTGTATTAACTTTCTGCAAGCATGGTGGTTCTTGAGTCTGTTTGCAGCCGGTGATCAATGCCAAAGTACAAAACACATGCATGCTGTGACATTTTTTGAGTGGTACACACTTGCCTGTATAAATTGAACCATTTCTGTTCCCAATGAATACAAATGGCCATGGAGAAATGATTGGATTCCCTTGATTGGATTTTCCCTTGGATTTTAATGCCATGATTCATATGCATGTGTGGCTTTCCTATTTGTGTTTTAATGTCTGGATACATGGGAGTTGCTCTCAGCTGAGCCAGTACAGTAGCGTTATGCATGTTCATATACCTTGGTGGATATATGTATATGCTCAAAGCGATGATTTTTGCTTGGCTTTGCATTTCTGGATACACCAGTGCTGCTACAGCTGTTTTACATGTGTTTATCACACATTTTTGTCTTTCTGTTTGCTGTTGTTTGGTTGGCGTTTATGGTTCCTCCTTTGTATGTGTCAAGTTTGAGTGTGTGGATCAACATTTAATGTCCTGCCAGGTATTCTAGAATGCAGTGACTGTCTGACCTGTTGCTAGATGGTTATTTTAAAAAATACTTGGTATGTGGAAAATGCAAATACAATGATAAGGGGTTCCCTATCTATTTTTGTAGGTACTGTATACTTTAATTGTTCTTTTAAAACTTCCACCCCCCAAATTAGCTTTCCATATGATGCTTTTACCGAAGGTGGTTCTGCCATGAGGTTAGTGAGGTTTTTGTGAGAGAATTTGCCTGAAACAAAGCAGTAAATCACACACAGAGAGATGCGCGTCATGATGCAGAGTTGATATAGTTTGGTCTGTAGAAGCATATTTTTTAGACCAATGAAAAGTGAGCATGAGGTGTTCCCAAGCTGTCCATACACTCAGATAAACAATCAGAGCCTTGGAAAGGATCAGGCACAATGAAATTGTGTATGGGAGGGTTACAACATCATCTATAAAACCGAGGAGTGTGTACACAGAAGTCAGAAAACTTAAATAAGCATACAGGTTTTAAAGAGCTGTTTAAATGCCATTACTGTCTCTGCTTCTTGAATTACCTGAAGGAGGGCATTCCAGAGGGTGGTAGCTACCACTTTTATCCTAACAAAGGCCCAATACTTTTTTGTGTAAAAAATTGAGTGGGTTTTTCTGTCAGTTTAATGAAATTTATTAGAGAAATTTATTATATCAAATATACCAGTACAGAGCAGTTCTATACAGTACATCAACTACACCTGGGGTGGACAAGAGATTTGCTCCTGTGGCTACGCTGGTGGAACAACTGTCATGTCCTATCTTCCCTTTGTCGGGGGTGGGGATGGCACAATCAGAAATCAGAAAACATGAAAGCCGTGTAAAAATGGCAGATCTGGTTCTCAGCATCCTTGGAAACATGACCATAGCCCACCAATCAGGGAATGTGCTGGAGATGATGCCCATGCGTCACCCATATGTGGAGGGAGCCAATTCATTCAATACTGGGACAGTGAGAGTTTCTTCCCCTTGTAAATAGCAGGCATAGTGTTGGGGTGAGCAGTTCCAGTCAGGACTGTGGCAAGGGCCCCTCCCCATGCTGTGGCCCTGATTCTGCTCCCCCACCCCCAGAGTGTGGTTAGGGAATTTTAGATTCTAGACATAATGTTGCATTAGATGGTAATGTGTATTACTTCACTGTCTTAAAATAGGTAAGCCAGCTCTGCTGTGTTCAGGGGGCTGTTCTGCTCAGTGGGGCCCTGGATGTCTGTCCTCAATCCTGTCCTGATGGCACCAAACTGCCCCCCACAACCTGCTGTTAGTTAAAGTATTATGAACTACATAATGCCCAACTGTCCCGTTTTATGCAGGACATCCCAGATTGACAGAAGCCTCCCCAGCCTCTGATCCCAATCCCAGATGTCCCATTTTGGCCAGAGCACAGGACCAAAAGATGGGCTTTTTTCTGTCCCACCCTGTGGCATGAGTCAGTTGGCCCACACCAGAGTGTGGAAGAAAATAAGGGAAGCAATACCTACCTTGGCCCCGGGCATTACTGCTCTTCCTCCTCCTTCCATCACAGCACTTCTGGAAGCTGATTTCTGGAAGTATGTCTGTGGCGCTGGTGGAGGAGGCGGAGGCCATGGACAAAGGTACAGTGGTACCTCGGGTTACATATGCTTCAGGTTATATACGCTTCAGGTTACAGACTCTGCTAACCCAGAAATATTACCTCGGGTTAAGAACTTTGCTTCAGGATGAGAACAGAAATCGTGCTCCGGCGGCGCGGCGGCAGCGGGAGGCCCCATTAGCTAAAGTGGTGCTTCAGGTTAAGAACAGTTTCAGGTTAAGAACGGACCTCTGGAACGAATTAAGTACTTAACCCGATGTACCACTGTACAGTGGAGGAGGATGGGTGGGCGGTGACAGCAAGCAAGGGAGGCGACAAGTAGGTGAGTGATGGAGGTATCGAGAGGGTGGCGAGGTGCTCCCATTTGCCCTCAATGGCAAACTATAGTCATGACTAATGTCATGCTTAGTCTGATCTTAGTTTAACACAGTGGTGTCTAATTTCTTGCCTGCAAGGAGCCCATTCCTTGCCTGCCAAGGAATCTCATTGTGTTGAAAAGATTTTTCCAGACACGTTCAATGGTGCATTTTCAGATCACGAAGGGAGCCCCTGAAGTTTTGTGGCCTCACATGGGCACAGAATGCTCAGTGCTCTTCTTTCCTGTGTCCATGTGCTGCAGAGAAATTACTAGTGCTAATGGCATGCAAGATTGTCCATCATTACTGGTCCATCATTACTGCTCCTTCCCCTGCTCTCCTGGGATTAATATGAACCAGGGATCAGCCCCTGAACATGTATGAAATAATAGTAGAGTATGTAGACGTCCGTATAGTTAAAGCCATGGTTTTCCCAGTAGTGATGTATGGAAGTGAGAGCTGGACCATAAAAAAGGCTGATCGCCGAAGAATTGATGCTTTTGAATTATAGTGCTGGAGGAGACTCTTGAGAGTCCCATGGACAGCAAGAAGATCAAACATATCCATTCTTAAGGAAATCGGCCCTGAGTTCTCACTGGAAGGACAGATCGTGAAGCTGAGGCTCCAGTACTTTGGCCATCTCATGAGAAGAGAAGACTTCCTGGAAAAGACCCTGATGTTGGGAAAGATGGAGGGCACAAGAAGAAGGGGATGACAGAGGACGAGATGGTTGGACAGTGTTCTCGAAGCTACAAACATGAGTCTGACCAAACTGCGGGAGGCAGTGGAAGACAGGAGTGCCTGGCGTGCTCTGGTCCAGGGGGTCACGAAGAGTCGGACACGACTAAACGACTAAACAACAACACTGTAGAAGTATGTTCATAATGCATTTTCCTGGTCACTAAGTAACATAAAATCCCTGCATATGAACTTGGAATTATGAGAATAGCACTCTTAATCGGTAACATCAACCCGGTAATTAATTGTTGCCTCGTTTTCTATTCTCTCCCCTCCCCCACAAAAAAGTTTGCCTTCTCTTTAATCCTTCTGCTGGCAAAAGTTTTAAAACTAGTAGTAACATTTCATTTTTTATATTGATGCTATCTCTAAAAATGTAGGTGCCGTCAAGAGAGCTAACATTGTTTTGAAGACGCAAATCGTTAGGAGCTGAACGTGTTTGCAGCTGACTTTCTTTGCACATCATCACTGGGTGTAGTAGCGGAACGGTTTTGGTGTATGTTTAGCTTAAATTTGCCAACATACACTGAGGTGTTAGAGAACTTTCCTATCTGGTCTGTTTCATTATTTAACTTTCCAACCAAGCTGGCACTTTGGGTAGAGTTAGGAAAGTGAGGGTATGAATATGTGCCTCTGTTTGGAGAGTTGAGTGCCTATGTGAGCGTGGGCGAGAGAGGGAGAATATGAGTGTGAAAGCATGCACACATGTCCTCAGGCCAAATAAAACTGGCAGGGTTCCTCACCTGCACATCTAGGGATATATGCTTCCTCATGTGAGGTGTGAGCGCTCTTGCGTGGACCTTTTCCCAACCTTGGGTTTTGTACGTGTTCATTTGAGCAAGGAGGGGAACTTCTGATCTGTTCCAGGCCTAAGTCATTAGGAGTCACTCATACCAGATATTATGCAGATGAGAAGCAAATCTCGTTTGCTCTGTTACACTCGGCAGGCAGGTGCAGCAAACCGTGGTGTTTCTATCTTAATCTGAGACGTGATTTTCTAAAAATATGTATGTTAGGTTCATCGATACATGTTTAATAGTTTCATAGCAACCTAAACAAAACTTGGTGCTAAAATTATAATCATAGTAAAAATATATAGGGTTGCCATATTTTGAAGAGCAAAACAGAGGCCACATTTGCCATCTTCTACTTAATCCATAATTCAGTTACGCATATACAGCTTAGAACTGCTTATAATCAGATTCTAAACACATTGGTCACAATTCGGCATCTCAGAATCAGAACAGGGCTCTGGAATAAGCTAATACATATTATTATTATCATTATTATTATTTATATCCTGCCTTTATCCTAGTTCAGGACTCCAAGCAGCTTACACAGATAAAACAGCACAAGCTAAAAGAAAGCTCATGCCATAATTAAAGTGTTAGTCTTCAAGATGCTGTAAAATCATAATCACCCACGTGTCATTAATATAACTGCTACAAACGGTGAATAATTGTTTTATTAATCCCATGTGGGTAATTTTGATTTTTTGAGTGAAATAAATATGAAAAATCATATTTAAATTTGTTAAATTGTAATGATTTTCAGCCCAAAGTTACTGTTAACAAATTTCACTAATGTGATTTTGTGAAATTTCGGTGTTTATTGGAGCCTCAATTTAATTAGATTGAAATCACCTCCATAAAACAAGTTATTTCTAACTTTTCTTATTTAATTCTAATACTGAATCTGTGGTTCTAATTTAAATAGCAATCAATAGCAATAAATAACAATATGGGGGAGGCTTACAAAATGTGGTTCACACTGGGCATAATTATGTTTACTTACAGCATGGTTTCCTATTCACTTTCCAAACTGCAATAAATCTGATTCTTTTAGAAAGTCATGCTAGAGTAACAGAGTGCTTTGACCCATTTGAACTGTGAAAGCGTAAAGTTCCAGGAGGCTTGAATCCTTTCCACAAACCAGCGGCAGTCTGGATGTGCCCAAAGAGCGTTTGAGAACCCTGTATCCTAGAGCAGTTCAGATGCTGATAGCTTTGCTCCTCTCTTTCAGAAATGCGCTGGCAGATGGGGGAGCAAGTCCGAGGTCTGGACTCCCAGGCTGAGAGTCGGCAGCAGTTGCTCCAAGATGTGGCCGACTTCTTGCGCCGGAAGGCGGAGGTGGAGCAAGAGTATTCCCGGGGATTGGAGAAACTGTCAGAGCGCTTCTCGGCTAAGATTCGTGGTTCCAAGGAACACCAGAACTTCAGGTGGAGACGGGTATATGCTGGCAGAGGAGGTCCCAGGACAATGATGGTGGGGGAATTGCAGAGGTGGTTGGGGGGCAGGAGCTGAGGACAGGACTACTGGAATACTAAGTTCTGAGAACTGAAGTTATTATAACCTTCCTTTGAGAAGACATGAGGCATTCTGCACTGACAACACATCAAGGAATGCCTGAATTAGCCTTTGTCTGAGTGATTGTTTTATCATTTAAAAATGTGTTCTTAAAACTTTCTGGTGGGGGTGAGCAATGGAGGAAGATACTGGCAAATGCGCAGCTTATTTTCACTTCAGTTTCTTAAGCTAATTGTATAGGTGTTCCAGCTTAGGTCTTAATATTTGGGTTCTTAAACAAGGTGGCACTTTTTGTCAGTTTCTCAGCCTTCTATAAATCTCACCTCTCAGGCTCCTCTAGCAGTGTAACAGGCCCAGGAGGTCATCACATCCCTTCCAACTGGTTTGGGATTTTCCTCTTTCTAGAAGACCTCTAGCCTTCTTACTGGATGGAGACCCAAGTAGAGTGTTCCCTCATACCTTTTCTTCTCCTGTCCCCAGTTCAGCTTCCTAGTTTTTCTCTTGTCTTGTCTGTCACTCATTGTCTTTTGATCTTCCTTCTCTGGATATTGATGTTTTCCTCAGAGTGGATCTTACACAGTTCAGGAGCTAAACTCCTAACCAGCTGAATGCCAAGAATGGCATCTCTCCATTCTCCGCTGGGACTCTGCCCCCCCCCCCCACAGCTAGCTGTACCTGCAGCCAACCAGAGAGAGGCTCCAGACAGCATTTTGGTGGAATTCTGAGGCATTGCATCACCAAACTCTGGTCTGGCTGAGTTTCCCGTCACATCATCATATGAAACACCGTTTCTGTTCCACTGCAGTTCAGTTTCTGCAAAAACCTACAATATTCTTCTCACTGCAGAATTAACTGACATAATTAATTACATAAATTACACAAATTATGTAAATTACATTGTTGTTATGTTATTCTACCCCGTTTGTTACAATGCAAAAGAAATGCAGTGCAAATGGGGGGGGGGATAATGTAATCAATTACAAATCATTTGCACACTGAAGGCAACAACAGCATTTCTGTTTTTGTTGGAATTCCCTGACATCCTTATTTTTTATATAGCCATATTTACAACAAAGAACCAAAAGATCACATTCATCATGATACTTCCAGGTTACCCCATTACTGTGCTGATGCATAATTGGTCCCATGGCACCACAGCAACATCATCCCCACCCTTTGAGAGAGAACTCGGATCCTGCGTAGTTAACAAGCAGCTCCTGCAGAGCAGATGGCCAAATCTTTTCACTCTGATGAGGCAACAGAAAGTGGAACAGGAACTCAGCGTTTGGCATTCTGTGAAAAGTTATACTTGTTAACTTCACATGGTATATGGTGGGAGTGAGACGAATTACACTATAAACATATATTAGTTTTACACTTGTTAGACCACTATGGCTGCCGCCAGTGAATCCTGGAAATTGTAGTTTAGGAAGGGTGCTGATAATTCTGTTACTGATTTGCAAGTGCCCTGGATTTTGGGACTGACAGCCAAACCAGTTTTTAGCCTGTGGTGTAGGTATGTCTGAGGAGCAGCTGTCACCAGTGAATTGTGTGACATTGTGTGTGCCTCTCCTTATCAGACTTGGAACTTGAACTACAAGTTCATAAGGCACAGCAAAGCTGTAGGATACATGGCTGGCCATAAACTGCAGTTCCAACAATTGACACATGACCTGTGCTTTCTTTTTGAAGAGCAGGGCAGGCTTGACTTGAGACTAGCCAAGCAAGGGGCATTGCTTTGAGTAGGCTGAGCACAGTGTGTCTGTTCACACTGGCACAGTCACCTCTGCATCTTCAGAAACTGCTCACTGTCAGAGCTATCCCCAGGTGCCTCCCCTAAGGAGGAAGGCTCTTGTCTTTATTGACAGTGAGTGGTGTCAGAGACAGGGCCAAAGCCTTGCAAGGTAATGCTTGGGGTATCTGATGGCACTGGGGAGGACTGTTGTTCTGGCAATACACTTGGTTCTTCCCTCAGGTCTACACCACTGGGACCCTCTTCAGGGTCCAAGTCCTCCTGTGAGTTTTGACCATGGCCTCCTAGCCTGTTGGGCTCCTTCCAGGATCAGAGACCTCCAGCTTCCCAAGCTCCTCCTACACTTCCTCCTCATTGACCAGTCCATCAGGATGTTTGCATGAAGCTCAAGAGTGAAATGTGTGCTCGGGGGTGAATCAAGTAGTGATCAGTGGTGACAAAATGAATAGTGATAATCCATTAAAAATATTATTGGAAATACCCTGCTAGGACAACAGGAGACCATTATGTAACTTACAGTTTACAGAGTGTCGTCACTGCACATGAAAGCAGCTATTTATTTAAAACATTTGTATCCAATAAGGCTTTCATAAATATTTTTAAAGCAAAAGACCATGCAAAGACAATCAAAGGGTGGATGGGCCTGTCAATCTGGGAGGGTAGCCCATCTAGGAGAAGGAAAACGCTGATCATAAACCTCTACTGCCTTGCAGGATATCTTTGGGAGAAGAAAAGGCTAAGGAGTAAAACCTACACAGATCTGGAGTAGAGGCCCTAAGATGGTTGGATGGTGCCTTGTACACCTCCTTCCGACAACTCCTGCAGCCAAGCTTCTGCCAAATGTATTGCTCTGCTTTCCTTTGGACCATGTCAGCAAGGCCAAGAGGGGAGTCTTGACATCTGGTCAGTTCAGGACCTCCATGCACACTGCCCAGGCTTGTGCCCCGGGGAGGTCACTTTGGTGCTGCTAACACAGTGGTTTGATTTCACCCCTGGAGGCACACTCCATTGTCTCTTGAGGCAGACGGATGCCAACAAGTGAAAAAGGAGACATAAGTAAAAGATAGGTCACTGCCCTGGAGAGTTTACAACAGGGATGGGAGAGCCCATGGCCCTCCACTTGTTGCTGGACTCCATCCTCCATCATCTCTGACCATCATCTACATCCCTGAAGGGTCACACAAGTTCCCCATCCCTGGCTTACAGTTCAAATTTAGATAGTGGTGGAACAAAACAAAATAAAAAGAATCAGAGGCTTAGGAGAGACCAGGAGAAGGCACAATAGAGGTGGGTAGTTCATCTAGTCAAAGATTAAAAAGCATCTCTGCTTTTTCCCTGCAGGAAGGACCAAAATCTCCCATCCCCTCTGAATTGTTGGTATACGATTCTCAACCAGACGCGGCAGGCAAGCCGGGATCACGGAGCACTGAGTGAAATCTACACAGGCCACTTGGCACTGCGGTTGGTGCACATCAGTGAAGATGTTGGGAGGCTGGCTCGGAAGGTAGGTAGTCTGGATGATAGAAGGGCAGGTTCCTGATAAGGAAAGAAAAAATGAGCTGTTTCCCAGGATGCCAGGCCTAAAATAATGTGCCATGTGGTGGCAGCTGCTGGGAATTTAGCCCCTGCTGAAGCCACACTTTGTCCTCAGCCAGCTATTTTGTTTGCTTTAAAACGGAAATGTCTTAGAAGAAAGCCTCTCTTTGGGTCTTCAGCATCTATGCCACTACATGCTCCCCAATTACTTCCAGGTTAATTTCAGAAGTAGTTGGGAACCATTTTTGTTTGCTAGGCGACTGTGGCAAACACCTCCCTTATTCAGCCCCTAAGCTGGGAAAACAGCAGCTGGGGATCTCAAACATGGATGTAGAAGCAAAGAGCCAATAAAAGGGGGGGGGGGGCAGGGTGTACTTATGGAGGAAGGGGCGTAGTGTCACGGTTGCCCACCATACCTTCTGGGCCTAGTATGTTGTTTGTATTTAGGCTCTTCTCAAGTTGAGTGTGTGTGTAAACTCTGACTACTGGACAGTCACTTGACTTTGGATATCACTGTCACATAGTGGAAACTATGGTTTACCACTGATCTTATCTGGACCTGCATCTTAAAAATATGCACCAAGGTAGCCCATGCGCTCAGCAATGAAAAGCTGAATTCTGTAATTTTGGTCAATTATGGTAATGTATACACTGAAGTCCTGCCCTTTGACTGCGGGATTGCCTGCTTAGAAAGACTCACACAGCTGATATTTATTAAGCCTTAGTCACACAACTGCAAACTTATTTCACAGCTATAAGGATTAGAAACTTGTTTTTATTAAACATAAAATCTGAGATTCTAAGCATGCTGCAGTCCCAAATTCCATGTTTTTTCCTGTGCTTGTCCAGAATCTCAAGACACACATAGAATACATTGTGTTGACATGCTCACCTTTATATTCCCTGATCAGAGCAAAGAGATGGAGCAGCAGATGCAGGACGAGCTACTGAAGGCCATTTCAGAGTTGCAGATGGTGAGTGTCAAGCAAGATCTCCCACCGGTGACCACTACCCTTCTGGGCTCTTGCAGTACAGGACCAGTGATGGCGGTTCTTGCAGCAATGGGCCTAGAAAGACTTTTGTTTGTGGTTGTCTTTGTATTTGCTAGAAGTGCATTTGAGTTTGGAGGGCAAAATCCCCATCTCTCTTCTAGGGATATTTGGTGGATATTGCAGTTTTTTTAAAGCAGTGAAATGAAATCTGCCTTGTGTTGATGTTGTTGAGGCCAGGCTGTGACCACGGATAGCTTTATCCAAATCTGGAGGGGGAATGTGCATGCTCAGACCCAGGGTCCCCAAGATCAGGACTGTTCCTAACAGAATAGTTATCAGTATGAGGAGTTTTGATTGGCCTACTACTATTATTTGGATGACAGTTTACTTCCATTTCGTTGATATATTTTGCCTTTTAAATTTTCTGTTTTCTCTCCTGACGTTTTGAACTACTTAGAGTTTGGTTTGCTATGGAAAATCAGCGTACAAATAAGTTAACGATGCTGGTGCTCCGCTGACCAGGCTTCAAAGCCCGAGTGAGCGCACTCTCACAGGTAGCTCAACGGGGCAATCCTAGCCTGCAGACTGTAATGGGGTTCCTGATACAAACCACGTCACGTGGCTTCGAAAATGGTCAGGCTAATGGTCTTTTGTACTTGGGTGAGAAGGCAGCCCCACCTTGATTACCATTTCAACAATATGGTGTGGTTACATGAGCGTTGCAGGCAACTACAGTGGTGCCTCGCAAGACGAAATTAATCCGTTCCGCAAGAGTCTTCGTCTAGCGGTTTTTTCGTCTTGCGAAGCAAGCCCATTGACGGATTAGCGCTATTAGCGCTATCAGCTGTTTAGCGGCTATTAAAGGCTTAAAGGCTTAGGGGATTAGCTGCTAAAAGGCTATTAAAGGCTATTAAAGGCTTAGCAGATTAGATAAAGGGGAAAAGCGAAAAAAATCTCAAGACTCGCAAGACATTTTCGTCTTGCGAAGCAAGCCCATAGGGGAATTCGTCCTGCGAAGCAACTTCAAAACGGAAAACCCTTTCGTCTAGCGGTTTTTCCGTCTTGCGAGGCATTCGTCTTGCGGGGCACCACTGTATTATATTATTTATGACTATTTATATAATAGTCATTAGGGACAAGCATTGTTGTCCCGCAGAGAGGTCTTTCCTAGTGTAGCCTTATGAGGCTTTGCCCTCGGGTGGGAAAAATATTGCGCCCGGGAAAGGGAAGTGGGAGTCAACAGACACTCAAGGAATAGTTTCGGAGAAAAAGCTTTTATTTCTACCATCCATGAACTGGTAGAAGGAGCAAGTGTGATAGTTCACAAAAAGCATGCACGGGTTCACAGTCATTTGCACAGAGTATATATTCCCCTTCCAGTTCCCTCCCCTTTCTCCTCCCTCAGGAGTCCTGCCCATGAGTTCCTCTGAGCATGAACAGAAAGCTGTCTATTCATTAGCTTTTTGAAGCCTTCTCGTAATGGTTTTGCCCTTGCCACAGCATCTTGTGAGAAAAGCAGAGAAGAGCAGAGAAAAGCTGTTTTGGATTTTTAGAAGAGAAAAGGAATTTTGGACAGTTTTGAGGCCTGGTTGGGGGGGTGACTTCGGGCCTAGGTGGGGTCACCTGTCCTCACCTCCTTCACTAGCATAGCTGTCAACTTTCCCCCTTTTTTAAGGGAAATTCCCTTATTCCGAATAGGATTCCTCGCAAGAAAAGGGAAAAGTTGACAGCTATGCTTTCCTAGTCCTGCTCCCAAGATCCTTTCACCTGGGGCTGTCGGGGCTTTATCGCTGAGCCCTGAGAGTGCAAGGCCTAGGCTCTGCCACGGAGCTCAGGCCCCTTCACATGAACAGTCCGGCTCCTCCATAGCGGCAGCCACCTCAGGCCACGGATTTTTCAGTGCTGCTAACATTGCAGAAGAAGGCAGTGTGGTAGGCAGGTGACATTGAATTCAGCTAGACAAGGCCACTTGGGGGATATGCAGTGAGGACCTTCTCTGCCCCTGGTCTGTGTCTGCTCCAAAGACTCTTGGCCCTGGTCTGTGGCTGCACAGGGGGCTGGAAGGCAGTTGGGGGCCTGCTTGGCGTGGCAAGACCTGGGTCTCCTGGCTGGCCATTCCTGCTGAGCCTGGGCCAGCTGCGAGCCAGTCTGCTTTGGATGTCCACTGTGTCCCTGCAGGCCATGAAGTCTTATCAGACGTACCGCATGGACTGCCTGAATGCAGAGGCGAAGCTGCGTGAGGCTGAGCGGCAAGAGGAGAAGCGTGGTGGCGGGAGGCATTCTGACCCGGGGGGGTCCCCCGGTGGGGCAGGGCTGGATAAGGCCCCCCGTCGCACCTCCCTCAAGAAAGTGGAGCGGCTGCTGGAAAAGGTAGGGGAGGGGGCCTCATGGAGGTGGGTGCCTTTCTCGAAATATTCCAGAAGGTTCTTGGGGTAACAGTTGGCTTTTAATAATGAGGGCTACAGATCCATGCACACTTACTTTAGAGTAAGCCCATTAATGTTGCAGAAGTTAATAAATGTGCATAGGATTGCTCATGTAGGCCAGTCTGTTTATTAAATAGTTTAACTTCATTGTCTGCCTTTTAAACAGATTGAAAATCTAATCTAATGTGTCCTTTTGAGATATTGAGGGACTGTTAGGGACACCCGTTGCCTCAGCTTCCCTTTGTCAACAGAGGTCTAGATCCCAGTGCTTCTCCTATTTTCCACGGTCACCAATCCACTCTGAAATTTCCTGGTAGCTCGTGGTGGAGAAGACTTTGGTGTCAGATGATGCCAGAGACAGGATGAGCTTTAAATTAAGACTGCTGGCACATTAAAAGGGGTTTTTATGTTTTTATTATTTTTATTTGAAAGCCACCTTGAGTCCTGCCAGGGGAAAAGGCAGGGTATAAAATAAATAAATTAGTTTAAATAATAATAATAAAGATCTATAGCACTGCCACAAGTAACTTACATCTCATGCAATGGTTGGTCCTAGGTGTCCACATGTAAAAGCAAAAGTGCGTAAAGCCAGGAACCCCTGGAACCGGCCCCATCCTTCCTCTCCAGCTCTTTCAAGGTGCCTCAGAAGAGCAGGGGGTGGGTGGTAGCTGATCTTCATTCTGTTTCACAGGCACAGCAGAAAGTGTGGAGCAAGTCTTCACCCTTTGCGGACTCCTGCTCATTAGTCCTCACGTCAGTCAGTGAGCTCCGGGCCACAGGCCACTTCTCCGCGGGGGCTGGCTGATTTAGCTGCTTCGGCCCCACGCCTGCTCTGCGACCTCATGCTCCTTGGCACAGACTGGCTGAGGCCATCTCCCAAGGCTGTTTTTATACAAAAGCTAACCCATATCTTAAAAGGATAATAACATGGGTTACATACTCTGCAACTAAACACAGTTCTTGTAATACACTTAGATAACCAATGAATCATTCTCTGATGTCAGTGCAACTCTGAACCTTTGTAGAAGCAGTGATGGCCACCCTCTTGAATGGCTTTAGAAGAAGATGAGATAAATGAGTGGCTCTTTACCATGAATCTGTATCTCCTTGTCCTTCCCCTCTATGGTTAGCAGACTTATAGTACAAGTCCTACTGTGTTCAGTGAGGATTACTATTAGGTAACATGCAGCAGCCATTGGGGAAGATTATGTGATAAGAGGATGTTGGGAGGAGAGGATCTTAAAGGGGTTAATTTGAAGCAGGAGGTGGTTAACTGTCTCTTGCATCCTCCCCACCTTGTCTACCTAAACAAATAAAGGTAGTGTAAAGCTACTTTTTCTCTAGCTCAATAGTTTGTCAAGCTATTGCTATAGGAATGATGCTAGTAAGCAGGTAGACTTATGAGGGGAAATTGCTGCCATTGTCAGAAAAGAACATAGCCTGTACAGGAACTAGGTTTCTAACTGGGGAAGGTGGGAGCTGATGGGAGGGAGGGCTGGCTGCAGTCTGAGCCTAACTGAGCCTCCTACAAATTCCTGCATCTCAGGAGATTGGACTCGATGGCTCTGGAGGTCCTTTCCAACTCTACAATTCTATGATTCTAACCCCTGCAGAGACAGTCCAAGTTCATGGAGAGCAAGCTGAAATGTGCCAAGGCCCGGAACGACTACTTGTTGAGTCTGCACGCTGCCAATGCTGCCATCAGCAACTATTATGTGCGCGATGTTGCTGACCTACTAGACGTGAGTCTGTCCTCCACCCAAGCTGGTGCAAGAACCATAACATTTGGCAGTACAAAAATCAGTGCCACACATTTTGTTGGGCTGTTTCTGTGCTGTGACAATTTTCACTCTTTTCGTCACTAAGGGGATGTCCACATAACAACTGCATATTGGTTTTATACCAACTATCATGGTCAAATCATGGGAACTGTAGTTTGGTGAGAACGTTGAGAGTTCTGTTAGCGCTGCCCAGCTACTGTCATGGAACTACAGTTCCCAGGATTCCTGGAAGGGTGGAGGGAGAAAGGAGTATGACTGTCAAGCTACTTCAAGAGGCGCCAGTGTCTTTGCCATGCCTTCCCTTTGAATACTTGGCGGGTGTGCTTGAAAAGGCCGTGTCTTTAGCAGGTGATATGCTACCTTAGCAAGTAATTTTCATTCATTTGAAAACACCAAGTTTCTAGCTCTCAGTTTATAATTCTAGCCCAAGTTTCTAGTTCTACAGAGAGGAGGGACCTCTGAAAATATACGGGCAGTTTTTGCTGTCAGGTTAGAAATATAAACTGGGGGAGTAGCCTTGTAAAAGGGTACGACTTCTCTGTTCATCTCAGCTTCCTCTACTGTTATAGGATTCCTAGCCTTCAGAACAGGAGAAAGAAAAAAGCTAGACCAAAAAGATTCCAGATCCTGTCCTGCAAATCAGGCATAATGCATAATTTGCACTGTGTTATCAATGTCATTGTGTGTTATGTTACATATATTATCAGACTCTGTTTTCTGATAGAGACGTTTTGGTTGTAAACATCTGCATAGCATAGAGAAATTCAACAGGGGCAGCTTTCCTTCATCATGGGGCTATCAGGACAGGCAAAGCTGTATGCCTGCTGTATGTTGCTGTCCTTCCTGCATTAGGCAGCTATTTAAGGCACAGGAACATCTTTCAGAAATAGAGTTGACCAACCCATTCGACAATTCGCTTTAGGGATGAGTGCAAATGTGGTTTTAAGGGTGTCTCTTTTGTCTCATGCTTCCCAGTGTTTTGACCTTGGCTTCCACCTTTCCCTGGGCAAAGTGCTGAGGACTTACCTAGCAGCTGAGTCCCGGGCCCAAGCGGCTTGGCAGCAGGGCCTGTGCACCATTGAAGGAGCCATTGATGCCCTGGACCCACTGGGGGACAAGTCCAGGTTGATGGAGGCCAACCCTGCAGCTTACTGTCCTCCCCTGTGCTTCGACTACCAGCCTCATGAGGGCGACGAGGTAAGGGGCTGCTCATTCCTGGCTCCCTATAGAACATACCCTTTTGTCTGGTACTTATTCTCTCCTTGCCATCTTCAGGTGTCTGAGGTCCGGGCTGAGGGTCCCCTGAGAAATGAACTAGTTTCCCGCTTCCAGCATCTCCAGTCCCGTCTCAATGCCATCACCCTGGAGACAGACGAGGTGAGTGTCAGCAGAGAACAAAGTCAAGCCCCCTCCCCTCTCCTCTGATTTGCTTGAGCCCAGAAATTTCCAAATGGTAGCCATGGGTTCTGGTGAGGACGAACTGGGATTAATATTGTGCAAGACATAGGCCTAGTGTCTTCAGACTGTAGGCTGGAGTTCAGCTGACTGACTGCTCCTCCACACAAAGACAAAACATTAAATCATGGCTTCACATTTTAAAGAAAACACATTTAGGCTGAATTCCTTGCTGGGGAGTAGCAGTCTCAGACAGAGTGGCAGAGCTGCCGCCACAACCCTGCTGCTCACTCAGGCTGCAGTAGTGATCTGGAAACACTCTGCATGTCTTCAGAAGCATTAAGGACAAACCACAGGGCTGAGTACTGGCTCAAACTAAACGCAAATGAGCACATAACCATAAGCAGTGGGCCTGCAACTTACACCCACTTTACACCTACTACCACAACCTTTTGCAAGTGGTGGAGAAATAAATGAATTAATGGGGGGGGGACTTGATATTCCTCTGTCTCCATTTATTTATTTCCCTACCACCTGTGCACCCAGTGGGTTTTCCTTGTTTGCCAGGCTCTGGGAAGGTCAAGTCAAGTCATTTTATTACGGTCAATGACCCGTATCAAGATAAAAACACCAATTACAAAATTTTAAAGCTCAGCTAGATAAAACTAGATGAAACAATATAAAATCACATATACATTTTTAAAAAGCAGTTCTGCATGGTCATTTACCTGTCAGAAAGGAAACTCTGGGCTCATATTTGGGAAGGCATCGCAAGGGCTCTGGGGTTTCCTTTCTGTAAGGTATGTTAAGTTTCCCTCTGCCTTACGGGGGGGGCAGTTTTGGGGGTTCCTGATTTTGCATGATTTTGCCTTTGTGCGCGGACCCCCAGAACAGACCCTGGTGGGCCAAGTGTATTTGATTTTTTTTTATGCAATAGTGAAAGGTATCCTTTTGTATTACACAGCTTTTCCTGCCTTTCATGTTGCTTTCTGGTGCTTTTCTAGTCCTGGGGCTGTTTCCTTTCTTTTTGGTGAGGTGAAGGAAGTGGCTTCAGGTCAACAGCTCGAAATTTCACAGTTGGCCTTCCGTTTGGTTGAATGGATGAGAGCCAGGGATGCTTCATGATTTCGCCCTCACCAGCCATGCAACGCTTTGCTTCCCCCAAGCATGCTCCTCTTGGAGTGAATGGCAGTTTCTCATGAGTGTGGGAGAAAGTGAGGAATGTCTGTGCAGGCACCAGTGGATTTCAAGGGGTGGGGAGTCTTCTCCCTTGGTGACTTCACTTTCTGTTTTGCTTCCCCTCTGCTCTTGATTGCTCTGTGGCAGCAGAGATCAGTGGGTGTCCCTGGTCAGAGGAAGAAGCGCTAGGGGGAGGTTGTTACCTATCTAGGCAAATACTGTGTACAAACAGCTGCAAACTACACTCAGAATCACTGCTGTACAGGGTGCTTTGTGGGGCTTTGTGGAATATTTTGGAAAACCCAAGCCCTTTGGCTTTTATTTTAGGAACACAGGAAGCTGCCTTATATCAAGTCAGACCTCATCCACCTCCAGTACGGAGGCCGTGGCTCTCCAGGGTTTCAGGCAGGGTCTTGCACAGCCCAGCCTGGAGACTCCACTGGGGACTGAACCGGGGCCATTCTGCATGCAAGTCAGATGCTCTGCCACTAAGCCTCCTCACCCCCAATATTTGAGATGAATCTTATTCAGATATAGAGCATACGAATGAACCATGTCCCACATTCCATAGTGGTCAGTGGGATTTGCTGAGAACTAAGCCCGCTGCTTTCTGCCTTCCGTCTGCCACAGCCCTGCTCCTTTTTAGCAGGAAGCCATGTACACATTTAATAAGCCTAGAGCTTAACCTGCACTGCACCACCCAAGACCCAGGGGATGTGTGTGTACACCAATATGTCACTTAAGACCTTACTAGGTAGGCATTATGGGGGCAAATGTTTGGTCCCAACTCCACATTTGCTGTGATAAAACAGGGCAGCGGGGAGGCACATACAGTAGTTAGCTAGCTTATAGTTTGCCAAATTTATGAATATATTATCACAACTAAAAGTCTCAGCAATTTAAAACAAGAAAGGAGAAGATTAGCAAATGGGAGCCCTCCTATCAGAGGTCAAAGAAATACATAGCTATATGACATTTAGAAGACATCTGAAGGCAGCCCTGTTTAGGGAAGTTTTTAATGACTGATGTTTTAATGTATTTTTAATCTTTTGTTGGAAGCCGCCCAGAGTGGCTGGGGAAACCCAGCCAGATGGGCGGGGTAGTAATAATAAATTATTATTATTATTATTATTATTATTATTATTATTAATTATTGGAGTATAACCCTTCCTGATCCCACTGATTTGCCAGTGTCAGCTGCCCCCATGACTTACTTGGGTTTTGGTTCCTTCTTGTTGCTTTTTTCCTTTAAGAAAAGAATAGCTGGGGGTCATTTGCAGGGAACAATTATTGGGCAGGGGAAAGATAATCATTCACCTTCCATCCGCCTTCCCAGCTCCTTCATTAGTATTATAAGGGAAACATTCATTCCCTTTGTTAAGCGCCAGCAGTCCACTGTCAATGGCTCTCAGTGTAGAGTTTTCTGCTTCCTTCCACAGGTAAACAAGACTCTGAAGGCCACCCTGCAAAGCCTGGTGGACCTGTTGGCAGTGGAGGAGCCAGAAGCACTGGATGCCTTTCAGGGCTGTCAGTCGACGGAGTCGCTCAAGTCTACCGGCTCTGACGCTGGTGGGAAGCAGGCCTTGGCAAAGCGCCGGGCCAACCAGCAGGAGACGGAGAGCTTCTACATCATGGTACCCAGCCAAAGATTCTTAGAACCATGAACATTCAAAGCCGTTTTGATAGATGGTATCCAAAAGGTGAATCCCCATGGCCCAAAATGTGGGCCTGGCTGCTCATCAGCCTCTTGCAATTCCCACCTATGCAGTCCAGACCACAACGTTTTGTGATGGAAAGTGGTGCATAAGTGAAAAGAGCAAGAGAGCCAAGCACAGGACCCCTTGCATTTGACATGGGAGCAGATACCTTTCCAGGCTGTGGTCATGCAGTGGATCCTGCTCTGGAGATCTCTCCCCGCCCCCACTTTTGATTAGGCCACCAGAACTTATGCCCCTGTTGGCCATGGCAAGCCTGTCCCCAGTGAGGTCCCTTTCTCTTCTGCTTGCCTCCGGAAGGCTTCTCTAGGTCTTCCCAGGGACAGAGCTGTAATCCCAGCCCCTCTTTCTGTCTTAGAGCCTGAGGTCTCCCTGCTATCTTCTCTGATAACAGACTTCTTGGTGTCTCTTGTGCAGAAATTCAAAGAATATCTCTCCGGACGAAGCATTCAAACCAAACTACAAGCAAAGCATGACCAGATGAAGGAGGCGATAGAGAAGGGTGAGAACATGGAGAATAGATTGCCAGTCTGGGCACTGTAGCCTTGGGCTAGATGAGGCATGGGAATTCGGGATGGCTTGGAGTACAAAAATTACCTGTAGTTTTATACCTGTTTAATTGCCAGCCTTTCTTGCAAATGAACCCAAGAGTTTGTGAAGTACTGAGGATCTGAGCTAAGAATCCTCCAGGCTCCCCGCAAAACTGTTGTCTCCAGGGTTTCTTATAGGAAAAGTGATTGCCGGTATTCCAGCGTCAGGGTGAAGACAGATGTCCCTTTTTAGAGTAGCTTTGTTCCCTCACCTCCACTCATTTCAAAGACACACACAGCACGTGCATCAAATTCTAACTGTCTGACCATCATACTTTAGGAAGGCTGCCTGTTTCTCTTACCCTTCTCAAACTCCTAGCAGCTGGCACATTTAAATTCAGCATTTTAAACTTATTTAGGATTTTACATTGTTTTAGAACACTATAAAAACTATTCCAAGAGGTGAAGGATTTGGCTTTTATAGTTGAAATGTACCCAGTCTTGCTTAAAAAAGCAGGAGAGGAAGAAGCCTCGTTTCATTGGCTAGCTCTTGTGTCAATCTGCAATTCCACTTTCTGAGAATGAGCAGGCTGTAAATGGCAAATGGAAGTGCTTCCATCACATGCTTGCTGATGAAGCTGTGTACATTTGTCTTCATCATAAATTTGAGGTGTAGATATGGCCACAGAGATCCAGGACTCCAGATGCTAACTTCCCTGTCTTCTATTTCCTTGCTCTCCCAGGTGCTGCTGTGGACCGAGAACTGGCCAGGTAAAAGGAAACCGAAGGGGTCATGAAAATGGTGGATACTCACATGGCAGTGTTGGGGGTGGAGAGATGGGCACTCTGCGTGTTGCCCCTTCCCCTGTGCCCAGTGGGGCAGTGAAGGCTTCCACTGTGTATTCTGTGGTTGAGGAACCAAGCAGAACTATGGGAAGGAGTCCAGTTCCAGCTCTGGGGGAGTCTCTGACATCTTCCTTCCTCCCCACCCTACACAAACCTTGGTTCTAGGCCACAGTCCCAGCGCGTCCGGCGTTCCCGCCCGCCCTCGTGCTGCCACCACAAGCTCTTCGGGGGTGACCTGCAGGCCTTTTTGGAGGTACTGGCTGCTGCCCTGAGCTATGCCCTCCTGCCCAGCTCCTTCTAGCCCCGCTTTCTTGCCCTCTGCCTAGTACAAGAACTCTCTGCCTCCCTGGCCCTGCTTTTGCCTCTGGCTCTTCCCAGTCGCACCCGCTGCTCCCGCTGCTTGTAATGTGCTTGCTGACTCTGTCTCTCCTGTCCGTGCTGCCCCAAGGAGGAGGAGGCTGCAGACACGGAAGCAGGTACATGACTGGGGTGGGCAGGCAGGGGTGGGCAGGCAGAGCAGATGGGACCAGCAATGCGACAGGCACGGAGAGGATGCTTCGCTAGTTTTTGTGAAGAGAGCTTGCACATATTTGTTGTGTGTAACTTGTGCACAAGTGTTTGTGGGAACATGAAGTGCTGCCTTTGCATGTGTGCATGCTTTGCACACCGAGGTGTGTGAAGATGCATCCCTGCGGGTGCATGTGTGTGACACTCCTCCCTGCTTGTGTGTTTTGGACATGCTGCTTCCAATCTCCTTTTGTTGTTCTTCTTTGTTTGCTTGTAACAGGGAGCTCTCGGCCTGCGCTTGTGATGAATAGCGACTGCATGTTGCAACCACATGTTACCCTGAGTGGATGGCCCCTTCCAATCCACTGACTGAAATGGAAGGAGGAGAGTGTGCTTCAGATTGCGGCGGTGGGGAGAGCTTTTGTCGGGTGGGAAAGGCTGGCCAAGACGGTCAGGGACATTTTCCCAAGCCCTCAGAATGGCTTGGGGAAATTACCTAAGCTCCACCTCTGATTTCTGGTAGCTAAAGCCAAGTCCTTCCCACGGAGGTGAGCTTGAGAGAGCATGTACACTGTGCAACATGTGTGACATCACTTCAGGGATAGAAGTGCACAGCATGAGGGCATCTCTTCACACAGACATTTCCAGGAAGAGGGGAGCAAGACACACAGCGGGGTCAGCTCTGTGGCTCTTTGAACCTGTAGCCCCACCCATGCACACCTGCAAACAATATTTAATAATAATAATAATAATAATAATAATAATAATAATAATATATTATTTATACCCCAGCCACTCTGGGTGGCTTCCAACTGAATATTAAAAACAATACAGCATCAGACATTAAAAACTTCCCTAAACAGGGCTGCCTTCAGTTGTCTTTTAAAAGTAAAATAGTTGTTTATTGCCTTGACTTCTGGTGGAAGGGCATTCCACAGGGAGGGCACCACAACAGGGAAGGCCCTCTGCCTGGTTCCTTGTAACCTCACTTCTTGCAGGGAGGGAACCGCCAGAAGGCCCTCGGAGCTGGACCTCAGTGTCCGGGCTGGATGATGGGGGTGGAGATGCTCCTTCAGGTATACAGGACTGAATCTCACATGCAAAGAGCAGACAATAGTGTGTCAGCCCCATGACCTATTCTTGTGAAAAAATAAAAAAGGGCACCAACTTCCTATCCCTCATGGTGGTCCAGTATCTTGTTTGGAAACCCCTAAGTGGCCTGACAGGACTGAGGGAAGTTAATGTTTGACATCCTGTCCTGCCATGGTTCATGCCCTGGTGCTCTCCAGATCACCCCTGCTTTTGAGGGAGAATTGCATTCACTCTGGCACCATCTAGTGGGATTTCTAGGCCATAACACTGTTCTTTGCTTTGTCAGTGCCAATAAGCTTGAGTGTGACATGACTGTAAAGACTCTTCCTCATTATTCAGAGGTCTCTCCCATTTGCAGTGCAGGGGAATGACATGTAAATGAGAGATTCCACTTATGCCTGCTTAGCATTTATTTTTTGCACATCTGTAAGAGTCGCTTCTTCATTGTTGTAGGGTGCATAATAACAATAACAATAGGAGTGGGTATGTATTTATAACCCGGAGCTATATAATAATATTCTGGACAGGGTGGAGCCATTTTCCTAGGTGGGACATCGTCAGAGCTGTGTATATACTGCTCTGAAAAAAATAATAATTCTGCTATAAGTAGAACCGATTTATTTGGCCTGCGGAAGTCATGAAGGCGAAGGGAAATTGTGCACAATTCATTCTGGTCTTGCTAACCTTGGGGAGGTGAGGAGCTGCATAAGGCACTGAAGACCAGCCCCAGCCACTAGGAATCTGATGGACTGATTTGCATTTAAATCCCACCCTTTCGTCAGGAAACTTAGGGTAGTGCACATGGTGGCTCTCCTCTCTTTCCTCCGCTTTCCATTTTGCCTTCACAGCAACACTGTAAGGCAGCTTAGGTTGAGAGACAGCAACTGGCCCATGGCAGGGCAGGGGGAGGGATCTGAACCCAGGTCTTCCCATCAGCTGGTACTAGCTGGTAGTCGCTAGCTGGTATAGCACTAGCTGGTAGTCGCTCTCTCTCTCTCTCTATATATATACATAAGACAGAGAGAGAGAACCCTTGCTTTTTATAGAGCTGAAGGTGAGAGATCACCTGCTTGTGCCTTTGCATGTCTGGGAAACAGGTTTAGGGCTTGAACACTATGGAAATTATTATTATTATTATTATTATTATTATTATTAATAATAATAATAATAACAATAATAACAATAATACAATGGTAATAATCATATATATAGCATTTCCATTATTGCATTTCTTATCTCTTATCCTAGTAATCCTAACAGCAGCCCAGTAAAGTAGGTCAGCATTACTCTTCCCATACTGAGGATGGGGGGCTGAGACTGGAGAGCGGTTGGCCTAAGGCCAAGTAATGATTCCAAGGCTAAGATAAACTCTGAACTGGCAATGTCCCTTCCACACTATACTGACCAAGGGAGAAAATAAATGTAATTACTGTATTAATACGGTAAATAAGTATATTCACAATCAAGAGTGCTGGGAACTTTTTTTTAAAAAATGAAAGCTGGGATTATCAGGAAGCTGAATTCTGCCCCCAAAATTACGCTCTATGCTTTTGATGGGCTCCTGTGGAAAGGGAGCACCCACACAGTCCTGGTTCTGTGATGAAGCTGCTCTGTGACATTTTCCTTTCCTTTCCGTAACTCCAGAGCTCAGGCCAGGCTGTTCCCCTTGTCGTGGAGAGCTGCATCCGCTTCATCAATCTCCATGGTAAGCTGAGCCCCTCTCCCCTCCCAGCAAATGCTTCCCTTTGGGGATGTGGACCAGACTCCCAGGTTTCAAAAGGATCTCCAGCTTGTGCATAGCAGTGAGTGGATCCCAGCAGTAAGGGGAAATTTCCTTGCTGAAAAATGTGACTGGGTTCTCTCCCCCGACCTGTCTTCTTCTCCCCAGGGCTCCAGCATGAAGGTATTTTTCGAGTGCCAGGGTCCCAAGCACAGGTATCGGAGATCCGGAATGCCTTTGAGAAAGGTGAGTGAGGCTTCTTCTTCATCATTATCATCATCATCATCATCTCATTTGTATACTGCCCTTCACCTGAAGATTCCAGGGTGGTTCACAACAAAAACAAAAGACAAAATGAGCATGCAAAATGCGTAATAAAAAAAAGACAAAGACAAACCAATAACCCCACGTCCCCAAGGACATTTAAAAAGCTGTAGAATGCTAATCAGCCAAACACCTGGCGGAAGAGGAATGTTTTGGCCTGGTGCCTAAAGGTATGTAAGGAAGGCGCCAGGCGAGCCTCCCTGGGGAGAGCCTTCTGCAAGTGGGGAGCCACCCTGAAAGGTGATGAGGTGTGCAGCGGAGAGAGAGGAGCAGAGGGCAAATTTGATGAGCCTTAGAGTTTGCCAGAAGGAGGGGAAAGGGCAGTGGTGGGGGTCACAGTTTCCCACGGGGCACAAAATAATGAGCAGAGGATGTACAGCAGCCTGGAGTCAGGGGAGAAAGGACTTGGAAGGATGTTGCGCCAAGGGAGGAGGGCGTAGCTGATGTGCAGGTGAAGAGCGGAGTCAGTGTGCTGGCTCTGGAAGGAGCTTGGGCATTTAACGTGAGCCATGAAGCCTGTTTCAAAGAGGCGTTTTCTTCATTGCCTAGTTCTCAATTTATTTTGTTTACAGTATTTATATGATGCCCAATAGCTAAGGTTCTCTGGGTGGCTAACAGTAAAAGTTTACTCCATAGCTTTCCTGCAGATAAATGGGATTATTAGTGGGAGGTGATTCTAGGCTAAAGGGAATGCAAGATGTTACCTCATAGCAAGTCCGACTGTTGGCCCATCTAGCCCCCTATTGTCAACACTGACTGGCAGGGGCTCTCCAGGGATTCAAACAGCCTGGGGTCTTTCCCAACCCTGCATGAAAATTCCAGCAGTTGAGCTTGCATGTATGTGCCTATGAAGCCTGGTTCTACCCACTGATCCATCGCCCTTCCCCTAGGACGACTTCCTCTGCAGGCGCTTCCTCTGAAAGACACCCACCTTTCTCTCCAAATCAGTCACTCTGCTTTGACACAATTATGTATTTATTGCTTCTATAGCATTCTCTTTTTAAATATCATACCCCAAAGGAATACAATTTCCATGCACAATTCTTTCCTCCTTTATGCTCACAACAGCCCTTTGAGGTAGGTTAGTGGAAGAGGCTAGTTTGTCCAAGTTCATCCAGGAAGTTTCATGACTGAGGAGGAAGGATTGTAAAGACACTCTCCCGCGTCCAAATGCTTTTGCTCCTGCAACACAGCGGTTCAAAGATGACCAGTAAACAGATTTATATCCCGCTCTTCAAGTGAAAAAAATTGTACCCACAAAATTATGTCACGACATAATAAAATATAAATTAGAGTCATTTAAAACTTCAGAATATTACTTTAAAAAGTGCAAATGTAGCAATAATTCAGAACAGCCTAAACATACAAAACTAGAACATAGCAATGTTTCTGGAACTCACTGTACCATCAATCACTGAAGGCCAAAGTAAAAAGATGGGAGAAAGATCTTTGGGCTAATGAGAGACCATGTGATAAGGTTAAGAAAGGGATTGCTGTAATGACTGCTCCCTCTTCACCAGGCGAGGACCCACTGGGAGATGGCTACATGCACCATGACTTGGATTCAGTAGCTGGAGTGCTGAAACTGTATTTTCGGGGATTGGAGAAGCCACTCTTTCCTAGTGACATTGTCCCTGAGCTGCTGGCAACAGCCCGTAAGTTTGTGCGCAGATGTGCAGACCCCTGTTTCATTATTCTTGTTTGTTTGTTGATATATAGTGCCTGTAGTAACTAGGATTGACATTATGGCACACACGTACTTGATCCTAGTACAGCTTATAGTCCCCAATGTTGACAGTGCGGTACAGAAGTGACAAACGGAAGTGAGGGGAAAGAGGAGCAGCTTTTGAGCTGCTGAGACTCTCAGCTGGGCAGAATGGAAAAGCCTCTAGGTCTCAGCTGCTGGAACAATGGCATGACTTAATCATGGAAACATTTCAGATACTTCTGAAGGTTAAAGCACAAATAATACACCAAGAAGCAAGAGGAGGAAGACCAAGAACTGGAGACTTCAGCTGTGTGTTTGTTTGCTCAGCAAGCTTACAAATCCTGACTCAAGTGCGGGACCTCATGGCCTCTTTCTTTGTGTGTGTGTTTATGTGAATCCAAGTCCAATACATGCTGCCCCCTCTGATGGTCTCTTCTCAGAACTCGAATCTTCGGCCGAGCGTATCTCCCACCTCCGGGCTCTCCTTTCCCAGCTCCCACCTGCTGTGTTGGTGGTCCTGCGGTACCTCTTTGCTTTCCTCAACCAGTGAGTATGCAGGTGCTGGGTGGCCAGATGGAGACGGTGAGAGAGAGCGCTCCCTGGGGCTAGGAGGCCCCTCCCCTGTAACACACACCTTCTTCCCCCCTCAGCTTGTCTCACTATAGCGATGAGAACATGATGGATCCCCACAACCTAGCTGTGTGCTTTGGCCCTACCTTGGTGACCGTCCCTGCAGGCCAGGATGCTGTGTCGGTGCAGCCCCACATCAACGAGGTGGTTAAGTGCCTGATTGTGCATCACGAGGCCATCTTCCCTGGGACCAGCCAACTGCCCGGACCCCAGTATGAGAAGGTCATGGCCCTGGCTGAGGAGGAGTACTGGTATGAAGGGGCGATGGGGAGAGGGTGGGTGCTGTGAGCAAAGGAGCAGTGAGGGGTTGTGTGTGTGTGTGTGTGTGTGTGTGTGTGTGTGTGAAATTTGCATGTGGTTCAGCGCAGCTGGTAATGCTCATTCCTCCGTCCCACTGGAAAGACCCCTGCAAGGAAATGGTAACTGTCACACTCTCTTATTTCCCTCCTTCTTGCTGACAGTGATGTGTTGCCACTGGAGGCCACAGCAGAGGAGCCTGAGACGGAGGGGACCCCCGAAACACCAGCTAGCGAAGATGGTGAGTGGTGGGGAGTTATGTGCAGCTGGGGTTACCATATGCCCCAGATTGCAGCCTATGTGGTAGGACCAAATCTGCCCATCATCCCAGTTACTGAAGGCAGCGCTACTGGACTTGGCCTGGGTCACAAATGCACCCACAGAGAGTACTGATACATATAGTGACCAGCCCATCTCCAGGTTGTCACAGTAATATTAAGTGAGCACCCCTACAGTATACATTATTCCAACCCATAAAATAACAATGGACATTTCAGAAGCCACTTGAAATAATATTTGACCTCCTGTTTAATAATGTGTTATGGATGCCTCCTCTTTTTTTTATGGACACGCAAGTACCCAAACTGGCTAGATCTGCTTTGTCACCAAGAATTCTCTGGGGTCACAGTCTAGCTCAGGCTTTGCCTTGGCATCTCTCGCAAGCAATTGACAACTACCCTGAGGTGGGAAAGATCCTTGGGAAGAGCCCTCAGTCCTCCGTTTAAGCCACCATGTTTCCTTTTGGGATCTGCAGAAACATCTTTCCCAGACCCAAATTGAGAATATGTCCAGCTTCTGGTCTTGTGCCTTCTTGCCCTCCCAGAGTGTGACTCCCAGTCCGAGACGGTGCCTCGCTCTGTTTCTGCGGTTCAGCATGAGGAGCGCTTTACGCCACAGCGAGTGGGCCCAGTTGGCTGGCGGCGAGGTGAGCGTGGCAACAACCGGGGACTAGTGCCTCCCATTGTCCTGCCTGACAGGTGAGTGGCACACCTTGAAGGGAAGACCTGGGGAAGAGAGTGGCAATTGGCCCGTGTGAAGAGAGTTACTTACTCCTAAACTGTAAAGCTAGGTTTAATGAAATAAGCTGGAGAAGTGGAAGCATCAAGGTAGCCGGGGGTGAAGTCTTCCCGAAGTCCTCTCTGCTAATCAGCCAAAGCACATTCAAAGCACTGGATGAGTGCACTCCCTGGGATGGGTGCTAGTGGGTCCCTAACTCTTCATCTCCCACTGCAGCCTCAGTTCATATCACTATATAGATATGGTAGCTCAGTGACAGAACTTTGCATGCAGAAAGAACCTGGTTTGATCCCTGGCCTCTCCAGGTCCCACCCAGAAGAGAACCCTGTCTGTAATCTAGACAGCGGCGGTCAGTCCATGTAGACAATACTGACTGAGGTGGACCATTGGTCTGATTCATTAAAAGGAAGCTCCCCTGTGTTCCTATGCTGTTGACACTGGGAACGCAAGGGAGGAGCTCCTTCTCAAAAGCCAGTAGAAGGCACACGGGGCCTGGTCGAGATGAGGGATGTGGCTGGGGGCAAAGAACTAAAGCTACATCCCTGCCCCCCCCCCGCCTAATATGCCTGCATTCTGGATTCCTCTCCCCTTTGACTGCAATTTACTTTATAAAAAGCCACTTGCTAATTGCATGAATGGCGTCCTGCCTGAATGTTGGGGTGTCTCCACTCTTGGGCTGTTGTTTATGCCCCACAGCAACTGCAGTTCACTTGTCTTATTTGGAAGAAGCGTTCATTCCCTCCCTCTTGGGGGCGGGTTTGCCAAAAGAAGTTTATGGAAACCTCTGGCACCATCAACTGTCCTATTACCACAGCCTTCGTCTTTATCGTTTCTCTGGGGCTGTCCTACTATATACAGCACCTCATTGTTCCAGGCAGCTGGTTGTGACACCTTGTAAATGCTTTCCTGTTTTGGAAGGGAAACCCTTTCCTTTGCTGAGGTGGCTCTTTTTACTGCTTTTGACAAAGAACGGCTGAAGCCACTCAAGCAGGCTGCCAGTCACTAGCTAATATGCTGGGCCACAGCATGCAGGTTCCTGTGGGTCACTTGTGGGATGAGAAGTGGCGCAAAACGTATGAGTCATCTCAGCGGGACTACGCAGGGCCTCCCCTGCAGCCCTGAAGCCATGCCTGGACTCAACTGCAGAACAGAAAGGAGCTGTTTACAAGACAGGCCACGTTTACCACTGACCAATAACCGCAGCCTGTGGGGAAGGAAAAGGGTCTGTGGCTTCCCTCAGTCCAATTAAGGTTGATATGGATTTCCTGGGCCAAATTACTTTGTGGGTGAGTTGGAGCTGGGCTGCATTCTCCTCTCTGTATTATCGGAGTTCTGCATTTTGCCCAGAACCCACAAGTGCATTTGTGAGTTAAAATGTGCCTGCCTCTTTAAGGAACCTTTTGACCTTGTTCCAAGAAGCAGCTTTTTACACAGCTGAAGAGCTGTGATGTTCTGTGATGGTGCTGTGCCAGGCCTGGTCTAGGCATGCAGGAGCCTGAGGTCATAGAGTCCTTAGGTGGCAGATTGGGCTGCATTGGTTCAGCTGGGGGTGGGAAATGACATGAAGAAGAAGAAGAAGAAGAAGAAGAAGAAGAAGAAGAAGAAGAAGAAGAAGAAGAAGAATGCCAGTCTAACAGCAAATTATACATTTTAGATAGATTTTTAATATTAGTATCTAACAACTCCATTTCCAATTTGGTTTTTTCCGTTGCAAAACCATTTTTCTTATCAAGCTTATACAACTCATTGATCTGATAATATTGTAACCATCCATCCAGTTTATCTTTAATTTGGTCAAATGGTCTTAATTTAAATCCTTCATTGTGCATGGAGTTCTTTTATGTGAGAGAATGTTTTTTAAAAGGCAAGTTCCTCCATTTGCAGCCTGAAGTAGCACAATCCAATCTACCACATTGGGACTCTAGGGCCCTTATTTTGCTGCCTCTGTCTATTTAAAAAGTATACTGCCCTTAAATCATAAATTTCCTGGGTAGATCAACTAACAGAAACACTGAAAAACAGTGCTTGAAATGTTCGTGGCCCAGGGAGCAAGGAGGAGTAATACATTGGAGGGTAAAAGCCTGGTAAAAGCATAGAGGGGTTTGATATAGAAATATATTAGTGTAGGCACCAGGCGGGCCTCCCTGGGGTGAGAATTCCACCAGTGAGATGCTGCTACGAAAAAGATGCTCTCCTCAGGGGCCCTTGGTGGGTTTACCTGATACATAACCTCTGAGGCTGCTTGATGTGAGAGAAGGCAATCCCTCAAGTTTCCAGGTCCCAAGCCATGTGGGGCTTTGAAGGTAAGCACCAGCACTCAGCTGCATGTGTAGACCAAGATTCAGGAGGAAAGTCCATGGATATTTAGAACTAATGGGCAACAGAGGGTCATAAAGGTACTGGAAACAGGTGCCCCATGATGCTCCTATATAGTGACTTTTTATTTCCAAGAGGACTAGAGACTTAGGGTGCATACACAACATACATGGAAAGTGCACAATTTCCTCCAAATAATCGTGGGAACTGTAGTTTGTTAAGGCTATTGGGAATTGTGGCTGTTGGCAGGGTAAACTACAGTTCCCATGATTCTTTGCAAGAAGCAATGGGCTTTAAATATATGATGTGTATGCCGTGGCAGAAGCTTGTTTGTTTTAAGAAAAATAAAAGGGAAAAGAGTCAGGGTCCTTACAGCAGTGGGAGTGCTGGGTAGATGCCCCTCTGTGCTGAATAGTTACTTCAGGACTCCCTGTTCCTCATGGGTGGGCTAAGCGAAGTTAGTGTTTGCAGCTCCCCACTGTGGCTGTGCTCTGAGGACCTCTAGAAAGGTGACTGTGGGGAAGCACCTTAGGCTAGCTCGGGAGGAAAATTCCTCCCACCGGCTTTTTTTAACAAGTTTCTATTTCCCCCTGTCGCTTACCCTGGCAGCGAGAAACAATCTAGCCCCCGGAGTTCCAGGTTAGAGATTGACACGGGACCCTCTGTGGATGAGCCGCTCCCTGAACCCGCCAGCAGGTAGGAGAAGGTGTGGCAGACAGACCTCTTCCCAGGAAGTGGCAGCATCTCAGCGCTGGCTGCGTGGTGGAGGATGACGGCACCTGTAGGAACGGTTGCATTCCACCCCAGAGATGGCTGTGCCTGGGCACCTTGGGGCTGGATCCGTCTTATAAGCAGATGCTCTTTCTCTCTCTTTCCCAGGCTGCGGATGAATTCGGATGCGGGTGGTGGGGGTCGCCAGCGTGGTGGCGGGAGCAGCCCCATCCGCAAGCTGGCATCGCCCTTCATGGATGGGGGCCGCCTGTCCTTCCCCCTCCTGCAGCCTGCCCACTCCAGGACCTTTCACCCAACTGAAAGGTGAGAGCAATGAAGAAGAAAGCATGGGTAGGTGGGTGAAATTCCTCGTGGTTGCAAATGTATGTTAGATGGATAGCAATCTCTCCATGTATGATCTAGTTGAGATTCCTGCATTGCAGGGGGCTGGACCTTCCAACTCTACAATTCTATGACTCTTGTATTATCAGGTGTCAGGGACTGGCAGGGTGTGTAGCAGAGGCAGGGGAAGGGCTCAGCCATTTGTGGGGTTTTGTGCCTCCCACGAGGCAGGAGTCGGGGCTGGAGGAAGGGAAGAGGCTGAGCGGTTGGAGACAGGAGAGGAGGTGCAGAACACGCCAGGAGCAGAGGAAGAGACATGTCCTTAGAGAGGTGGCTGGTAGAATCCCCAATCCCCTCAGTTCTCTTCCCTGCTGTCTCCAAGGACCAGGAGGGGTTTGAAGAGGCAGGCACAGTGGCAACATCCATGTAGGAGAAGCTGCAGGCTGTTTGCACACATCCCATCAGGCAAAAGTACCTAAGTTTGGGTGGAGATGTGGTCGCCATTCTGCTCAACAGCTTGGAGCACTAGCCTGGGGAGGGGATGCCAGCTGCTTAGCCACCAGAAGCGTACGTGAGTGTTCGGTGCACCTTAGGAGCTACCACAAGTTCATGCTTTGTAATAAAGAATTAAACTGCTGTCTGTCTGTCCTCCTTCAGCTGGGTGTGCTCAGGGCATCAGAGCTCTAGTAAGGTCCATGGGAAGCCCTTGCCCAGGGCAGAAGAGAAGGAGGTGGGTTGCTTCTCATTAGAATCATAGAATTGTAGAGCTGGATGGGACCCGAGGCTCATCTAGTCTAGCTTCCTGCAATGCCAGAATTGCCACTAAAGAATCCCTGATAGACGGCCATCCGAACTCTCTTTTGAACCTCTCTTCAAACTGCATTGATGATACCAGATGGCCTGGGATCTGGCCAGACAGTAAGAGCTGTTCGACAGTGGAATTTGCTGCCAAGGAGTGTGGTGGAGTCTCCTTCTTTGGAGGTCTTTAAGCAGAGGCTTGACAACCATATGTCAGGAGTGCTCTGATGGTGTTTCCTGCTTGGCAGGGGGTTGGACTCGATGGCCCTTGTGGTCTCTTCCAACTCTATGATTCTATGATTCTAAGTGACTCCACCACTCCGGCAATGTAATAGTCGGGTCTTTGGTTAGATCTACAACCTATGCAGCAGATGAGGTGGCAGAGTCTTGGAGTGGTAAAGTGACCGTAGACATGAGATTCTCATTTTAGAATCAAACATAGGAAGAAGGCTTATAACAAGGAACACCACTGGTCCCGCTAGTTCAGTACTGGCTACATTGACCTGCAGAAGCATTGCAGGATCCCTGGCGATGCTGAGGATGGCCCCGGGGATTGCATGCAAAGCAGTTGCTCTGCCAATGAGCTGTGTCGCTGTCCCATGGATGCTTCCTTACGTTAAAACACAACAAAGCTCACTGCAAGTCGAAATCATATATATATATGGTTTTCCTCTGTAGGCAGATTGAAATGGAACAGTCCATTCTGCCATCTCATTCTGCCACTGCTTGAGTGGATCCAGCCATAGGGATCCATTAGTAGGGAAAGAAGAATCAGATGAGCAGCAGAGGTGCAGGTAAGATGATGCTGGAAAGATCAGGGAGAGTTTGGCGAAGTGAGTTTTATGCTGAAGAGTAACATCTTGCTGAAAACATAAGGAATGCTGTTACTGACATCATAAGCTTGTCAGAGCAGTGTCAGGAAAAAACCAAAGGAGGCAGGCAGTACTTGAGTTTGTATGGAACAGTGATCCAGAATAGAAGTAAAGGCATCTTACCTCTGTTAATCTGTTCCTGTGTTGCACAAAGATAAGGAATATCCCTCCATAGATTTATAGTGTAGCCTCTCTCTCTCTCTCTCTCTCTCTCTCTCTCTCTCTCTCTCTCTCGTCATTGTGGTTAGAGAAGTAATTTGCAAAATGCAAAGGCACCTTAAGTCTCTAGCATACTCTTCCCCCAAGGAAGTGTGCCCTGTGACCCTGCCCATAACTTCCCATCACTCTGGGAAACGGAAGCGCACAACAACATAGCTGAGAGGCAAGCAGAGAAGTGCAGAGATTTAACTATGTGGACTAGAATCCTGATGATGCAGTTAGCGACAATAGGAGGTCTTAAATTTAATACTCTCTTCTGTGCTGTTTGCTTTGCCCCAGGCCAGAAGTTAGCCCACGGCCCTGGGGAGTCAACAGCTCAGAGAGGCAGGGGCCGATGGAGAAACGGGTGGAAGTAGATAAGGTAAAGTGCCAATCATTTTCTCTCTTTCTCCCCATAGAACATTTCTTCTGCCTCTGCAGTTCCTCCCCCCCCCCACCTGCCCTGCTCCCTCACCAGTCTTTTTCTCTATTTCTCAATTTTTAGGAGGTTGCCAGAAATATGGATTCTGTGTTCAAGGAACTTCTTGGAAAAACTTCTGGCTTGAAGCACATGGGGGCTGACGATGCCCTCCCCCACCCTGAGCAGCCAGAGCCCCCAAAGGGCACCCCCGCTGGCAAGAAGGGAGCCATCCCTGCCAAAACGGTCTCTTCGAACAGGGTGCTCCTGCGGGGCAGAGGGGTCTTCAAATCCTCTGGGAACGGAGAGTGAGCCAGACTTGGGGTGGGGGGAAGTGTCCCCAACATGTCTTGCCCAATACTGTGATAATCTTCCCCTCCCCCTTCATCTTCTGAATACCAACTCAGGGCAGATGTGTGAGTCTCTCTCTCTCTCTCTCTCTCTCTCTCTCTCTCTCTCTCTCCTGTTACAAAACCATTTGGGAGGGTGGCGATCTGATTTTTATGGGAGTTTAATTTCAAGCCAAATGCGTTAAGCGGAATTTGCTATCCAGTGTCCTTGTGCACCCTGGAGGCGAGTCTGGAAGTTTTAATGTTGTGGATTCGGGGTGTGTGTGTCGGGGGTGGGGGTGGGGAGCTGCTTTAAACATATGGCAACTTTTAGGATTGTCTGCCCCCACCCGTTCTGCCTCTCCTCTGCTACCCATGGTTTGCACTTGGATTTGCATGTGAAAGTGGTGAGGTGGGGGACCAGGATTCCTTTGGAGCTATTCTTGGCTAAGGGCGGGTGGGGGGGGGGGGGCTAATAGTGACTAGTGTGGGTTACAATGCAAGGTGTTGAAAAGGAGGAGTCTCTCTCTTGTATGTGTGTTCTGTTCCTGACATGATTCACACAAGCCCTCGCCAGCTGTGTTCTCTTCTTCCCTCTCTTCCCTCCCGCTTTCCAACCCCGCCATGTATCCCTTGGTGCTTCTCACATTTGTCTGGATTTGTAAAACTCTCCCCCCCCCCACGCTGTCCCCGGTGCAACCTCATCCCTGTGCGCATCACCCTTTTACATTGGGGCAATAAGTAAGGGGACATAGTTGGGGGAGGGCATCCATGTGCCAATATTTCCCTTGCATTCAAGGAAGGTCTACTCTGTTCCTCTCTCTCATTTTTTTAAATAAAAAGTCTGAGCTGCTCAGTATTAATCAGGGCTGTGTGTAACTCTATGCTTTAAAATTCTGTGCCAAGAAAAGCTGAATTCTTCAACCTGTATAAATTATGCAAATCAAGCAAACTTGCGTGGAGTCTCTTTCATAATTTATTCTGCTTGGGCTAGTCAAAAAGAGGGGGAAGCATCTGTACAGTGCTCTGAGATTCCCCCCCATGGAAATCTTACTAAGCCACTCCTGTGGCTTCTAAAATATCAACAGGCTTTGGACCATACACTTTCAAGCATATCTTTGCAGCCATTAAGGCTAGAAACTTGCTTTAATTTTTTTTTATTAAAAAAATACAGCTGAGATTCTCAGGAAGTGGAATTTGGTGGCCAATACCACATCCTGTGCCTTTTTGGTTCTCTCACAGAATCACAGCATACACACAGCCCTGGTATTGATTCTCTTCTCCATTACCAGAAACAATTCTGTACTGTGATCTCCCCCTGCTGTCTCTTGCAATAAACTGGATTTGTAAACTCTCCGCAGAAGCACCCTCCAGCCGGAATTTTTTATGGAATAAACACGGCACTGAAGGATCTCTTGGGCTTTATTTTCATACAATGCAGATTTGTTTTTGTTTCTTTTAACAAAAGGAAAATAGTCACCTTTCTTTTCAAAGCAGGAATTGACACTAGTGGCTGAACTTGGATTTTTGTAACTGTGCAGTTGCCACAGTGCTGCTGTTTCCCCTGCTTGGAAGAAGAAGTGTTGAAAGGCTGTCCCTGACGGCACACCGCAGCTTCAAAGGGACGAGAGAATAGATGGATGAAACCTTATGTCTTGTGACTGTCGGTCCTAGGAGAGGATGGAGCTAATCGCAACATGAGACATGGTGCTTTAATTCAGTACACAAAGGAATTCATACTGTGGCACACTGTGAGACAGAGGGCTGCTTCATGGGGGCAGAAATAGAAGACAGACAGATGCAGGACCCATAGGGCATATCCTACTCAGAACGCCTGCCATGCCAGCCTAATTGATGAGGTTTCTGCAAAGTACTTCCCACTAGATTCTGTCATGTGTGTGTGTTTAGGGGCTGCTGTTTGGATTTCCCATTCCAGACCACCACTTTGGCTTGGCATGTGGAGGACAGGGAGTTAGAGGAATAGCTCCACCAGCCGGAAGCTTCCACCTAGATCAGGCCTCTAGCTGGAGGAAGGCAAACCCCGGAGTCCTGTCCTGGTCCCAAACAGAGCCTCAGTCCTTGGCACGTTCCTTGCGCAGGGCCACTCGGACGTCGCCGCAGACCTTCCCCACAGCTTCGAAAAGCGGGTCGCAGAAGGTGCGTATGCAAAGGGCATAGCAGCGCCCACAGCACTGCACCTCTATGAAGTAGCTCTTGATGCAAGGCATGGCTCCCCAGATGTGGCAGAAGGAAATGCAGGCAAAGAGGAAGCCCCAGAGCAGGGCGAGGGGCACGCCCAGAGCCCCCGACAGAATTCGGTAACACCAATACTTGCTGACAGTAAAAGTGGTGTTGCTCGCCTTCCACACCCCGTCAAAACTGTGCGTGCCCTCTGGCTCAGCAATCACATCTTCAAAGTCCACCTGGCAAGGTAAGGAAAAAAGCCATGAGTCAGGCAGGGCTTAATTTTAACCAGGATATGAATTTTAGAATAGACGGTCTTGTTGAGCATCTCTGCCTCTGGGGGAGCTGCAACCAGCCTTGCACATCTGGGTTCTAGCGTGTGATGGATGAGTGCTCTTTGCCCTTAGCTAGACATTGCACACAGCTGCATGTCACAAAATGGCCAGGCCAAAGCAGCTTCTGGTATGGAATGGCTATGAGCAGAGAGACAGCAAGAGATGGTGCTTGCTTAAAATCCGCTCCCCAAAGCCGTTTTTCCTCTTGGTGAAGCTCTAAGCCTGTGCTCACCCTCACAGACATTTGTCTTCTACCCTATGTGGGGAGTTGCAGTCGTCAGGATAGGGTTACGCAACCTCCCATCCCAGCTGCTTCAGTACTCCAAGCTGTTCCACACAGGAAGCTGCCTTTTCCCCTGACAAGTGGCCAACTATGCTTTGTCACACACTTTTGCATCATGAACATCTGAAGAGTCAAAAGGAAGCTCTTCACACAGCACATAGTTAAACTATGGAATCTGCTCCCATGAGAAGTGATGACCACCACCTTGGATGGCTTTAAAAGAGAGACAAATTCATGATGGACATGGCTAGCAGGAGCTACTTGCCATGATAGTGCCTCTGAAGACCATGAGGAGAGGGCTCTTCTGTTCAGGTTCTGCTCACAGATGCCTTTTGGGCCCCTGTGAGAACTTGATGGGATCTTTTGTTCTTAGGTGGCCTGTCATTCTGCCCTGGTTCTGCACCCACTTCTAGAAGAGCCAGGAGGTCCACAATTCATGGTCTGAAATGTTCATGAGGATGAAACAAACACCTTTGGGGAAGATTCTGTCCCAAACAGGATATGTGCCAGCCGACTGGCCTTTCTTGTATGTTATTCTGGCTGTGTTCTCATGTTTCATTCTTTCTATTTTCCTCAATCATTTCCTCGGATTACATGGGCAAATTTTTAACATACTGCAATGTAGTGATTTTTAAGGCTCTCTGTGGCCTTGGGTCCAGCTTACCTCAAGGAGCGCTCCTAACCATATGAATCCTTTCGGCTGTTCAGGTAGCCAGGAGAAAAGCTTTGCTTTGGATGGCAATTTCCTGTGTAGAAACCTCAGTGGGCTCCTTTGGCTGGTTCTGTGAAACCTCCTTCCTTGGGAAGCTTGCCTTTACTGACTCTATGGAGCCTTTACAGAGCTATGACTGTTGCTTAAGCACATCTATTTAATCTCCTTGCAGAGGCAGGCCTCTCATGCACCAAGAAGAGGCACCTGCCTCTGTCAACAGAGTTGAAATCCACCATTAGAGGCAGCAGACAGATCAGACTGATGAGACCAAACCCAGAGGAACTTCTGGTAGAACCTCCTGGTGCATTGCACCTCCCCCCCCCCCCCCCGTGTTCATTTGTGGGAGAAGGATTGTCATGTAGGTTTTCCGCCCCAGCACTAAAATAGTCCCTGGACTTCTGTGCAAATTGATCATAATCCATCCTAGATTAGAGAAAGTGTGAATTTACAGACTGCTTTTAATGGTTGGGAGCTGTCCAGGTTCTGCCAAGAAGGGCAGGGTTGGTGCACAGTTGTACCTTGGAAGCTGAACGGAATCCGTTCCAGATATCCGATTGACTTTCAAAACATTCGGAAACCAAAGTGCAGCTTCTAATTGGCTGCAGAAAGCTCCTGCAGCCAATCGGAAGCCCGGTTGGACATTGGGGTTCCAAAGAACATTCGCTAACCGGAACACTCACTTCCAGGTTTGTGGCGTTTGGGAGTCAAAACGTCCGAGTACCAAGGTGTTCGGGATCCAAGGTACGACTGTATTTTAAATCCTGAGCAAAAGTCAGATTAAAATGTAAAGAGATGAGAGCAGACCTCCCAAAGGTAGAGCAACGTGATCAGCATTAAGTGGATTAAACATTAGCAATATTCTTCCAGAGTGCCATTTTCTTTCTTCTTTTCAATCTGTCCTTTTTATAGCCTTGTTAGCTTTCTTGCATGGTGGGATAACCACCCGTTGACAGAGTCATAAAGCTAAAAAGAGAACTGCATCCAGTTCTGCTTCTGAGGGCCAAACATGGAACACAGAGAGAGGAGGCTTTGCTTCCCCACTGCAGTTGGAATGAACAGACACACACAAACACACACAGCTTGGAGCCTTGGGGAGTACAATAAAAAAACACCACACCACTTGCCTGTCACCTATGGGGAGTAAGAATTGCCATGAGGTGACCTGTAAGACTGGAAGCCCTTGCATATGGAAAGGATTGCTTCCTTCTCTTTTCCAGGCTATGCATGGGCTAGTAAAATTCATGAACCCACAGCATTACTGACCATGTCCTTGTCAGTGCACACCACACATTAAAGCACATGGTTTTCCCTGCAAAGCAGTGCTTTTTCTGGAGGTACTCAAAGGTATGCAGTACTGGCACCTCTTTTTTTCTAGAAGAAAAGCACTGCCCAGAACAATCCTGAGAACTGTAGTTTATTAAGGGTGCTGGGAACTGTAGCTCTGAGGTGGGGAAACTACAGTTCCCAGGAATATTTTAGGGGAGTTGTATGCTTTAAATGTATGATGTGGATGCAGGAAAAAGAAGTCACTGGGAATCAAACTCACTTCAGGTGTATGACATACCATATTGGCCTGAATATAAGCCTCACTTTTTTTTCCAAATTCCGACCATGAAAAGTTAAAGTGTGTCTTAACTTCGCGACCTTACAAAAATTGGCTTTTACGATATCGCTGCAGACATAGTGTAAAACAGAACGGGTGTGAGTGTCTGCGGAATTTTAAGGGAGCGGCTTATATTCAGATAGTGTCTCTTTTTCCTTCCCCCCCTTGAATTTTAAAGGTGCAGCTTATATTTGGGTGCGGCTAATATTCAGACCAATATGGTAATATGTGGAATATCACAAGTGTCTCTTTTAGCAATCTGGGGCAAATTAGCTCCTTTTAATCTAAACTACCTCACAGGGCTGTTGTTATGCTGTGAGCATTGCTCTGAGCAACATGCAGGAAGGCAGGATAAACAAGGAATCAAGTGAGGAAGCTGGCTATCTTTTTTATACAACAAATAGGCGAGGTTATAGTAAGTCCACCGGGAGATGAAGATTGCATTACTCATTCTTAGGACCTCCTCCACCCTGCCCCAGTTCCTGAGGACAACTGGAGTGGCAAGCCAGGGTCCCAGTCCGCTCCCCCTCAATATAATGGACAGCAAATCATATGCCCCTGATTTGGCACCAAAGAGTCTTTCTCAAAGGGCCCCATGGCCACCAATTGCCAATTCCTACCTGTGAACTCCCATGAGCCTCTGGTGCTTGGGAGAAATGAACGTGGATGTGTGTCTGAGTTACAGAAATAGCCACCACTCTGAATTTTTTGGTGGTGACCAATTCTTTCTAAAGATGAACTAGGAGGAAGCGACTGCCACTATGGGCTGAAGGACTGTTCCAGCTGCCTTTGAGATCTCCCATTCACTCTCCTGTTTTAATTCTTTTCCACAAAAACATTATTTCATGTTTATGGAAATTTTAGCTGTAGGTAGCTTTGCAGTCCTGCACCTGAGGCTCATGTCTTTGAAATAAATGCAGTGAGGGTGTCAGCTGAGGCATCTGCACTCTGTTTCTGGCTCGGTGAGAGGTCCAGTACATTGGGCATTCTCTCTCACTGCCCTTAGGCCACAAACTGCCTCCTACCTCTTTCTCCCTCCCTCTTCAAATCCTCTTCACAGCCCAACCTTTTCTGTGAAGACCTAGCTGACTCTTCCTCCCCTGCTGTGCCATCTTCACTCCAGCTGCCCCAAAGCCATCCCTTGGCAACTAAGGGCTCAGAGAAAGCAATGGGTCTGGGTGGTTGCCCTGCTCCTTTCCCAGGGAAAGCCACTTGAGCTCTAAATCGGAGCAAATGGCAATCCGCAGAAAACCCAAGCTGCCTTTTGCTCCAGTTGAGTGCTAAAGAGAAGTTTCTCCCAGGGGAAAGCAGCGGCACAAGAGGAAGTATGGATCAGCCCTAACTGTCCACAAGGACGTTGTTCTGAAACAATATAAGCATTGAACTGACAGCAGCATTCGTTAATGGCCATATCCACCCAGACACAGGGCTCAGCCATACTTCTGTGGTCCTAAACCTGCTCTTTACTGCTGTAACCTGATTGACGTTTGTTCCAATTCATCAGAAAAGAACGGGCTTTCCCGGGAAAAGCAGCAGAACAAAAGAAAAACCTCTCGGATCAAGGGAAGTGTGGGTGAGCCCACAGATGAAAGGATTCTTGGAGAATCTACTCTCTTTCCCCGTAGCAAATAGCAACAGATGTTGGGCTTTTGTCTGTATCTCAGTTGGTGAAGTGCTTCATGGATCGAGTGCAGAGGAGCTTCTGCTGTTTATACTGGGCTTTAAAGAGACCTTTGCCTGGGTCTCTCCTCAGGAGAAGGAGGGAAAGGGTGGGTCAGTGCTGGGACCCAAATGGGAAGCAACTGAGGGCCACATTTGGCCCTAAACAGCCACTGACCTATTCTTCATCTAAGTAACTGCATTTGCTGCTCATCACTAGCCATCCCTATTCTTATGTCCTCCCCTTGCTATATATATTATGAACAACAACATTAATGTCCCGCCTTTCTGCCACAATACGAGATGCTCAAGGCGCCTTTAGATTGTATGTTCCATGGGGCATATATGCCACTCTCCCTTTTTTTAGGGGAGTTTTGTGCCATAGCAGAGATGAGCAGAAGGTTGATCAGGATCTACAGGTATTACAGTAGGTCCCAATGGTTTTCACAACAGCAGCAACCCACCCACCCCAGAAAGGCTGGTGAAATGAAGAAAGCTTGCCAAGGAAAGGAGGGATGGGTCTTCTGCCTGAAAGGGCTGTGAGCTCAGTTCTGGCACTGAAAACAAGCTCTTCAGAGGAGCACTGTCCCTTAATCTCCCCCTCTCTTCACAACTTTTGCACCCGGCTCCCGCTTGTGGACTTTAGGTTTCTGGGGAGGTGGATGGGGGACAAAGCAGATCCCTCAAGTTTTAAGTCTCACTTGGTGCACAAATGAATATCATAAGGGGGAGGGTAGAGAGCACACTCTGCTTTCTTTAAGTTACTGCAAAGGAGCATTGGTGCTATCTGCAGAAGAAATGTTCTCTTTTGTTCCTGGGCTATTTTTGAAAGCTTTGCCCACCCCCACCCCCACCTCCTCGCTCCATCTGCTCTCAGTCTAAAGGGAACTTCATCATTTTGCATCCTCAGGAGTGTGCTTCTTTCTGCCATTAAAATAGGAATGCTCTCACCTTTACCACTTCTTGGTTGATCTGCTTGGGGTCTCTTTCCACCAGATCAATCTCTTTGGTGAGGGGGTCCCGGGAGTCTATCTTCCCCAGGGTCACTTCTTCTTCTTCTTCCTCTCTTCCTCCTCCTTGCTGGGCCATGGCTCCAGGCCGTTCCCTGCTTAGCTCCTTTCCCTCTGAAGAGCGCCAGCCAGTTGTCACTGGCTGTCAGGACGGAGCTCCCTTTCCCCAACTGCTGACTCCGTCTGGACTGCAGTCCACAGATAGGGGAGTCTGTTCTGAAAATAGTCTGCTTCAAAGCCAGAATGCATCTGCCTCTAGGGTAGGGCAGAGGTTTTTTTTGGTAAGGCTTAGTATAGTTTATGGTATAGTTAATGGCTCTATCCCTTTTTTATTTCATAGTGTAAAATAATTGCAATAGAATGTTGCTATGAAGGGTCTCTGTATTTGTCCATCCAGCTGAAAACAACTATCCAGGTGGCAGCCAGGATTTCAGAAAAAATTAAAGGGTATCTGTCATATCTGGGTCACCTGTATCTTGTTAAAATGGAAAATATCTCTCCTCCCTTTTTCTTTTGCTCCTGATTACATCATAGTACGGTAATCACCTTAAATGTTAAAGGACAGAGGACCTCTAGATTAGATTACTGCACTGCATTAAACACGGGTCTGCCTCTGAAGAAAGTTCAGAAACTTCAGCTGGTGCTGAATTCAGCAGCCTGTTGCTCTGGACAGGATGGTTTGAGCATATAAGGCTGATCCTGTCTGACTGCAATGACTGCCAATTAGTTTCCGGGTTCAATTCAAAATGCTGATTTTGACCTATAAAGCCTTAAAAGTCTTAGGACTGCAATATCTCAAGGGCCAACTCTCCCCATATGAACTGACTAGGATCCTGCGGTCATCATGTGAGGCCCTTTTTTGTGAGAGGCCCAGAGGGTTGCAGCATGAGATGGGTCTTTTCTGTGGTGGCTCCTCATTTATGGAATACTCTTCCCAGGAAGGCTCACCTGCTGACACCATCATTATATATCTTTAGGTGCAAAGCAGCTGCTTGCTTCTGTAACCAGGCCTTTGAGAAGTGAAGTAATTGAAGAGAATTTAAAGTAAGAAGGTGGAAGCATTGTTGTCCATGGTGTGCTCTCTGCAATGCATTAAACACGGGGCTGCCACAGAAACTTCAGCTGGTGCTGAATTCAGCTACAGCAAAGGCAGCATTTTTCCACCTCTGCTGCGCTAAGCAGTTGGTCCTTTACCTTTCCCGCCCTGATCTTGCCACTCTGATCCACGCGACTGTCACCTCCAGCCTGATTATTGTAACTCACTCTATGTGGGGCTGCCCTTGAAGCTGACCCAGAAACTCCAGCGGGTGCAGAATGCCATGGCGAGGCTCCTTATGGGGGGGTCCTTGCCACAGGACCACATTCATCCAGTGCTTTACCAGCTGCACTGGCTCCCGGTGGAATACAGGGTCGGGTCTAAGGTGCTGGTTTTAACCTTTAAAGCCCTATACGGCCTTGTACTTATGGGACTGCCTTTCCTGGTATGTCCCGTGGAGGACCTTATGGTCCACAAACAATAGCACCTTGGAGGTCCCGGGCTTCAAGGAGGTTAGGCTGGCCTCGACCAGGCCTGGTGGAACGCTCTGTCGCAAGAGACCAGTGCCCTGCAGGACTTGACATCTCTCCGCAGGGCCTGCAAGACAGAGCTGTTCCGCCGGGCCTTTGACTGGGTCCCAGTCTGATCCCCCTCTTTCTACAAGACCTTCATGTAAGTGGCCTCTCAAACTCTTCCCACCGGGAAGACCAGCACAAATAGCTGGGCCTGGTGAGCGCTTAATGTTCCCAACCCCTATACTGTAGTTATAGTTCATGAGTTGCCATCTGATTTTATTCTGATTTTAATTTGATGTTAAGCTGTATTTCAATCAATTGTTTGATTTTATGTTTCAATGTATTATATACTTTGATGTTAGCTGCCCTGATCCAGTCTTGGCCGGGGAGGGCGGGATATAAATAATAATAATAATAATAATAATAATAATAATAATTGTATTTTGTCAAGGTGGCTTTTCAAGTGTGATGCCAGCCTGAGAAAACTGTGAATGTGGATGCACATGCACATGTGAGTTGTAGGGCTGGAAGGGACCATGAGGGTCATCTAGTCCACCTCTCTGCAGTGCAGGACTCTTTCGCCCAACATGGGGCTCGAACTCACAACCGTGAGATTAAGAGTTTCATGCTGTACTGACTGAGCTGTCCCACGTATCTATCATTTTCAGATTGTGTTCAATCGTAACCCAGCAAATTTGGTCTGCAGAATTAAAGCTTATTTGGAGCTCTTGCAAAAGAAACCAATTTCCCCCAAAGATCCAACTTGTTGTAATAAGAAAAGTGACAGGAAAATGCCCTGGAAAATGTGGGATAATGCTCATTTTGACACAACATCATCTAACCTTTCCACAAACCAATCAGGATGACTGTTGATTAATCAGGTCATCTGGAAATGACTTTAGTCTCTTGCAGCAAAAATAACAAAGTCTTGTTGTCACCTTAAAGAGCAGCACATTTAATAGGGCATATATATTTGTAGAATTCAATCTGCGTCATCAGATGCATGAAGTGTTACTCTGAAGTGTAGCAGTAGGTGTTCATGTGTGTCTAAACACACACACTTGTACACATACATACACATACATACATATTTTGGAGGGGAGAGATTGTAAACTGTGATGTCAAAGGGAAATGAAATGCAGAGAAGTACAAATGAGTACTTATGTTGGCTATTTGCAGATTAGTTGCACTGCAGAAGGCGTGCTGGGGAGACAACACATTACAAGGAACGTAAAAATAACTTTTGCTAGGTTTTAATAACAAAAACAAAAACTCCTTTTACATTAATCACAGTATATCAATAAGCATGACCCAACCCATCTACCAGGGTACTGAGAGAGCCCGGTGCTGCTCTTTATATACTATACCCAACAGCTTAATTAACACAACTTAACAGCACCTGCTATACTCCTTCACAGCTGTAAAACTGGGTCACGTTATTTGCTCTGGCCCTTAAAGACATACACATCTTGTGGAACAATAATGAACCTTCAAATTTAAAGAGAACCTGCGGTTCATCATTGTGGAACAAAAACATAAAGCATATTTTTTACATGTCTTTCATGTGTAACCTTTAGAAGTGCTTTAGTAAAAATGTCCGCAATTTGATTGTCACCTGGAACATATTGAAATACAATTATTTTGTCAGCAATTAGTTTCTTTACAAACTGTAAATGTAATCTTAAGACTAGTGCACTGCGTATTGGTCTCTGAACACAGGATAGCGAGTCCGCTCTGGGAATCAAGGTAACTTTTTACTGGTAGTGTTACTTGCATCTGTAGATCTGCAAATACTTGCAGATACCATTTTATATCACAAATGGCCTGAATGCATGCACATAATTCACTCTCTGTTGTGGAGAGACAAATAATAGTTTGTGTCTGGGACTTCCATTCAAATGGACACCTGTTATAACAGAACACCATACCAGACACTCCCCTGCAATTATTTTGTTCCACTGCATGAGATGCATCGCAGAAAATTTCAAAACCTTTGTCTATACTTGACGTAAACTGCAATCTATAATGTTTGCAATGTTGAAGGTATGTTACAACGCTCTTAAGAGCAGAGAAGCATTGCGTAGTGGGCTTTTCCACAAATTTTGCTAGAAAGTGAAAAGCATAAGTTATATCTGGTCTCGAGATTCTTTGAATGAAATTTAGCTTGCCTATAGCAGAATGATACAAAGTTTTGTTAGGAAACCACACACCATAGGTGTTTTCTTCTCATTTGCATTTTTTAAAAATAACATTTCAACAAGATCATCAATTTTTACAGTTTGATGAACCAGAAAAGATCCATTTTTGCCTTTCTCAATTTGCATGGATAAGTATTTTTTAGCTATGCTTAATTCTACCACATCAAATTTGTTCTGTAACTGTGATACTGCCTGTTCATATTCCTGTTTAGTTTTTGTAGAAATTAGCACGTCATCTACATACACACATATTTTTGTTACAGTTTGCCCTTTCCTTTATAAACACACAATTGTCTGCTTTTCCTTGCGAAAAACCAATATCCAGCAATTCTTTTGCTAAAGTTTGGTGCTAATTCCTTCCACTTTGGTGCAGACCATAAAGGCTGTGTACACAATACATTTAAAGCTCATTATTTCCCCCACAGAATCTTGGGAACCGTAGTTTAAGGGTGCTGGGAATTGTATCTTTGTGAGGGGTAAACTACAGATCCCAAGATTCTGTGGGGGAAATAATGGGCTTTCAATGTGCTATAAATGTATGGGGTGCCTGCAGCCTTACATTGTAGACAGTGACCATTCCCAAAAACCACTTGTGCTGGTTACACACCTTGGCACCTTGGCATCTGTAAGGCAATTTTCACATAGTGTGATAAAAATCTATCATGCTGGTTCAGTTCACAAGTGACAGAAGCAAGTGGCCTGAGACTCTCAATGAACTGTAATTCCACAGTGTCCGTTGCAGTCTCTTTTAAAAGTTGTTTTTTTCTATTATGACCAACTTAAGATCAGCTTGCAGATAGTGTCCTAGGAGACACCTACAAGTACCTTGTACTTCACAGGGTTACTGTGAGGTCAGGTGTGATGGAGATAATACAGCCAATCTAAAGTCAGTGGACCAAAACAGCAACAGATGAGCCAATTGGGGGGGTGGGCAGCTGCTCTAAGAACTGCTGCTAAAGCTGCTAATAGCAGTGTTAAAAGTCTGCATCACTAGAGATGGGGGAGAAATCTGATTCTGTTCACATTTAAAGGTGAACTTAAAAAATCTGTACTTTTTGAAACATCTGAACCAAATCCTTTGAAATTCACACTTCTCTGGATTTTGGAATGCAGTGCTGCTGTCAATATTGTTGTTGACATCTGTCTGTCTTGAGAGACAATGGAGTGTGCCTCCAGGGGTGAAGTCAAACTGCTGTGTTGGCAGCACTGAAGTGACCTCCCTGGGGTACAAGCCTAGGCAGTGTGTATGGAGGTCCCAGGCTGCCCAGGACACGCCTCACTAGTGTGGTCCAAAGGAAAGCAGAGCAAGGCGTTTGGCACCAGCTTGGTCGCAGGAGTTGCTGGAAGGAGGCGTACAAGGCACCATCCAACCACTCCAGATTTGTCCTACAGCTGAGGGGGAGGCGGTGAAGAGGCCCCACGCAGTGTGCCCCAGACCCATGGGTGGCTCGCCCTGCCCCTGGCTGCAAGACGTGCGCACCACACCAGGCACCCGAACGGCTAGCTACGGTATGTTGCTGGTGAGAGGCTGCCAGCTCTGCAGGCAAGGGGTGGCATAACTGGGCTCCTGAGCCCCACAGGGGTGCCGCAGAAAGAATGTTGTTGGTTAAGAAGAAGAGAAGAAGAGTTTGGATTTGATATCCCGCTTTATCACTACCCAAAGGAGTCTCAAAGCAGCTCACAATCTCCTTTCCCTTCCTCCCCCACAACAAACACTCTGTGAGGTGAGTGGGGCTGAGAGACTTCAGAGAAGTGTGACTAGTCCAAGGTCACCCGGCAGCTGCATGTGGAGGAGCAGGGAATCGAACCTGGTTCACCAGATTACGAGTCTATCGCTCTTAACCATTACACCACACTGGCTCTCCAGTTAAGGGACTCAAAAAGGTTGAAAACCTCTGCTCTATGTTATGAAAACTATTCCTATGAGAAAACTGATAGAGATATGTTTTTCTCCCTCTCTCATTGTAGCTCATTCATGAAGCTGAATGTTGGAAGATTCAGGCAGAGAAAAGAAAGCACTTTTTCATACACCACATAGTTAAACTATGGAACTCACACCCACAGGAAGTAGTGATGGCCACCAATTTGGATGGCTTTAAAAGAGGATTAGACAAATACATGGATAAGGCTATTGTCTTCCTCCACTGCCAGTTAAGCCTTTGATTTCCAGTTGCTGGGAATCGCAATTTAGGAGTGTGCTGTGGCATTTGGTCCTGCCACTGTGAAAGCAGGACACTGGACTAGATGGGCCATTGGTCGGATCCAGCAGCCTCTTTTTATAACAAAACCACAGTGGTGGGCAGCTGCGGCTGGCATTGAGTGCAACTGTACAGAGCTATAGAAGGGCTCCCAGCCAAGTCCGAGACATGGCTGGGAAAGGGAGGTATGTGCTCGTAATGCTACCCTTGGTCCATAAGTGCACGCAACAGGCTTGCTGCCAGCCAGCGTTTTCAGGGGTACCACGATGATGGGCATCAGCAGCTGCAGCATGCAGTGTTCCGGGCAGCAGCGTGGCATTTTAAGGTGTGGTTCCTGGCACTATCTCTGTCATCTGCCTGTGGGTATTAGAATAGCGAGGGGCTGCCGGAGAAGACAAACAGACTCCGACTGCAGTTTTATGCACACTGGAATCCAACGGGTCTTACATCTGAGCAAACTCAAGACTGAATTGGGCTCCGTATCGCACAAGATGGAGAGGGGTGTGAATTGCAATCTGCACATTCTTGTTAACTTCCATCCGCCCACTAGCCATTCCTCCAGTACCCTCCAACTGCCCTGTTTTAAGCGGGACACTCCCGGATTCACAGAGGCATTCCCTGCTTCTGTTTGGATCCGGGAATGTCTTGCTTTCCCCCTCCAGCACCACCGCCACTGAGCTCAGGGAGGTGAGCCAGCCGGGTGAGCCTCTCTATGGCTGCCGCTGCCAGCCTCCTCCCTTGGCAGCTCCTAGCAGCCGCCGGAGAGCGGATGCTGCCACTGAAGCCCAGCTCCAAGTGACGCGCCAGCGGATGAGAGGTGCGCTGCCACCACCACTTTTCCTCCCTGCCACTTCTGTCTCCAGGTCAGGGCTGACCTGGGAGTGGAGCTGCAGGATGTTGTGGCCTCCACAGCTCCCTGGCATGCTGGAGCCCAGTGGAGGAGAGGCCTGGTGCTGCTGCCACTCCTTTTCCCTGTCCCTTCTGCACCCAGCGTTTTGATGTCCCAAATCCAAAGTTAAGGCTGTTGGGGGATATGTCCTCTGCAACCTCTCTGTGAGGCACAGAACCTTTTCCTCCTTCATCCCGTCCCTTTAACGCCCGTTTGTGCCTGGTTTGCCAGAACAGAATAAAAAGAATTCAAACACAAGGGGAAGCAAATCAACTTTTTTGTTTTATTAAATAAAGGGGGAGACGACGACAGAGCTTTACATTTCAGCGATTGCTGTGGGAGGAGGGGCTGGAGGGAGCGGGGGCTGCCTCCCCCAGAAATGAACATATCTTCTCCCAGAGCCCAGCGCTGGGTCTGGAGTTGCCCTAGTCCCCCTCCTGCCGCCCCCCCCATGCAAAATGTCAGAAGGCTAATCCCAGCGTTACTTTTCCTGGAGGAGATTCTTATGTGGGCTGTCAGTCAGGGTTAGGCCAGAGATGGCTGGAGCTCCCATCAGCCCCAGACAGCATGGCCAGTAGCCGGAGACCGTCTTGTGTGCAAAGCCAGGTGGATCCCCATCCTTGTCTCTGAGATACTAACCGACAGATGAGCCAGCTAGAATCTCAGGGACGGAGGAGGGTAGTTTTGAAAGTTCCTCACCTATTATTATTATTGTTGTTGTTATTATTATTATTATTATTATTATTCTTATTATTATTAAAAAATGTAGACCACCCTTCATCCAAGGATCACAGGGAGGACTATGGAGAGCCCACCCCTAGAATAATGTGGAATTCTTTCTGCAGGTCTGGACAAAGCAGGGTCATGACAATAAGAGAATAGAATACGGATGTTTCATTTTGAGACTTCTCTCTGAAGCACCATTCCCCTCGTCCTCTGGCCTCCTTGTTTTCCTTCCCTCTGACCTGCTCCCTCGCCCACAATTCCCCTTTTCTGACCCAAGTCTAAAAGCTCCCTGTGAGTTCTACTCTCTGCTGTGAAATTCAGCCTGTTTAGTGGATCTGAGTGAAATGGGAAGGAAAGTCTTTGGCACGTGGGTCTTGGAGGGGGGAGGCGGCGTCTCTGTGTCACTTCTCAGTAACGGTGAGGTAGATGGCGCTGCAGCAGCGGCCCAGACTGGTGAAAAGTGGGGCCACCACAACATCCAGGATGCTGGCCCAGAGGGTGCGAACCGGAGGCATTGCCATTGTGCAGAGCTGGATACAGGGCATCACACACCTGAGAGAGGAAGAGGGGAGAGATGTGGCTGGCAGCCTCCAGGAAGCAACACAGCACCCAACATTTAGACTCCAGTTAGGCAACCTAAGGGCCAATATATACTCACCTACAGCATTGTTAATAAGAATGTCTTCGACTGCAGGCAGGCAACCTGCAACCCAGAGACCAGGGGTTGTAGCCAACACTAGTCCTACTCAGAGTAGAAATGTTTTATATTTGTTTTATGGTTCTCTTTTGTAAGCGATATTGATAATCTTGATCTAGATTTAAAATACACATTTTCAAATAAATAAATACATTTTTTAAAGAATAATAAAAAAGCGTAGAAATGCGTGGACATGGCTAACTTAGGTCCATGACTTTCAGTGGGTCTACTTTGTGTAGGCCTAGCACTGGATACAACCCTGTGTGCAGCCTCAGACAGCTCCAGAAGATGCCTACCATTCTTCCAACTTTTTGAAAGAAGGAAGGCTCCTTTCTGGTTCATGTCCTTCTTTTCCTGGGTCCCACCAAGTGACCAATTTATTTAGCATTTCTGTCTTCAGATTCCTCCATTCCTCATATCAGTTTTAGGCAGACAGTACTTATCTGCTCCCCCAACTAGCAGAACAAGGACATCACACAAACAGTAGGTGCTTCCAGATCTAGTGTACAGTGGTACCTTGGGTTAAGTACTGAATTCGTTCCGGAGGTCCGTTCTTAAGCTGAAACAGTTCTTAACCTGAAGCACCACTTTAGCTAATGGGGCCTCTTGCTGCTGCTGTGCCACTGCCACACGATTTCTGTTCTCATCCTGAAGCAAAGTTCTTAACCTGAAGCACTATTTCTGGGTTAGCGGAGTCTGTAACCTGAAGCGTATGTAACCCGAGGTACCACTGTATTGCTATTTTGCAGATCAGATTCAGTCACATCCTGGCAAATTCAGGTTGTGCATTTAAAAGTGGATTTGGCAGTCTTGTGCAACAAACTCACTTCGCCTGCACACAAATGAAGACCCCAAACCTCTCACTGGTGTGTGTATGAATACATGTGAGTGCTGGACACGCATGTGGGTTGCGACACATACTTTAACACCAACTCCCTCTGGGATAAGTGTTTGGCAAAGTGTCTTTTAAGAGATTTGTTTGCCATTATTAGTCCACTCCCTGAAGCACCCACAAAACTACAGGACAAGTCAAAGTGCTAGAAGAGCCTCTGCCAACCTGGTGCCCTCCAGACATTTTGGACTACAACCCCTATCAGCCCAAGCCAGCAATGAGGCTGATGGGAGTTGTAGTCCAAAGGGCCTGGAGCTTGGCAAAGTCTGTGTTAGAGTAACACAGCTTCCTCCTGTTGGTAGTTTCCCCAGGTAACCACTAGAATTAGCCTTGCTAATGGTCAATGAATATGCAACCAACTGGAAGCAAGAGGCTGGTCGTGAGCCAAGGGCCTTGGCAGAGCCAAGGGGCAAGAGGAGGCAGAGCAAAGGGGGCAGACCCTCACCAGATGTGCAGGCAGCCTAGGCAGGCAAAGAGAAAGCCCGAGAACAGGGAGACGGGCACAGCACACAGCAGCGAGATGATGCGGTAGCACCAGAGGCGCGAACTCTCAAAGACGATGTCACTCCAGGTCCAAACCCGGTCAAAGCTGCGAAACGAGGAAGGTTCAGCAAGAATGTCGGAGAATTCCAGCTGCCGGGAAGAACAAGGGAATCTGGTCACTGAAGATTCTCCAGCAAAGAGAGAGAATGTTGTGAGGCAGAGCAAAGCATCTTGGGACCAGGAGGACCCATGCCGTCTCCTTCTGTGTGGTTCTGGGGCATGTAAGGAGCAGCAATCAGCAAAGGGGGTGGAGAAGAATCGGTTGTGCTGCAGGTGAAGGGCTGGGAGGAGTTTGGGGGTGAACAAGGATACACCTCCCACCTTGGGTGGGTAGGAGAGAGCTGCACCCTTAGATTTTAGGAAGTCAGAATTTAGGCATCCCCACCCCACCCCAAATCAGGCAGGTAAGCTCCCTTTGTTACCTTCAGGTGCTGGTTGATCCCACGCGGGTCCCGAGGGTCTGCTTTGGGTGGTGTGTTGATAGCGGACTGCAGGAACATGGGAGATCCCGGCTCCTGCAAATGAGGGTCTTCTGGATCCAACTTGCACTCAATCAGATAATCGTTATTGATCATCCTGCGAGGAGGGAGAAGATCAGCACTCGCAGGCACTGCTGCTCTCTCAGAAGGGGGGATCCAGTAACGCTGTCAAGCACCTCTTTATAATTCTGCCTCTCACTCTTCCTTTTGTTGCATAGGCTTCGTGTTTTACTGAAACTGCCTTGTCTGTTCTTATTTAACCTGCCTGTCCACTCTTCACTTGCACAGTATTTCTCTCCATCTGTGTGCAGGAACTTGACTCCAGTTCTATTCTCAGCCTTGGCCAACATAGATTGGAGGGCGAGGGGAGTCGAGGAGGGAGGATCTCAGCAGTTGCACGCCCCCGCCTGGTATTTGCAGCCATGGGGCGAGCGAGATGCATTGGGACAAGGGGTATAAATATGCCACCGTCCCAGAGTTCCTTTGCTGAGGAGCGGAAACGGGGAATGGCGGCCCAGCTAAATATATGCAAGCACAGGGTATTCTTGGAACTGGGAGAAGAATGGGGTGCAGTGGGTCGCAGCAGCAGGGCTGAGAGCCAGGTGAACTAAATAGGGTGTATACCAATGGCAGCTAAATGGGACTTATAGAAGCAGGGCACCATCTAGTGGCTCTGAGCTACCATTCAACAGGTCAAGAGAGCACACCGTGCACAATCTTGCCAACTTTCAGCAACACTCGTGGGACCAAAACTGCAGGAATTAGAGGTATTTTGTGGCATCTGAAACTTTCCTTGGGTTCTGTAGGACTGGGATAAAATGCTGGCATTTTCAAGGCTTCTGCTGGGTTCTGGGAAACCCAAATAAAGCTGATGATGAACTGCATTGCTTTCTCCAAACCCATAGGTTGTATTGGACTCACAGAGGGCTTCCCGATTCAAGGTCCACACAGTCAGAGAATTCTCATTCCCCCAGGATAGTTCAGTCAGTAGAGCGTGAGACTTTCAATCTCAAGGTCATGGGTTCAAGCCCCACACTGGGCAAAAGATTCCTGCAATGGAGGGGGTTGGACTAAATGACCCTTGGGATCTCTTCCAACCCTACAATTCTCTGATTTCATGATTCTATGATTTGTAGAGTTGGAAGGGTTCCTGAGGGTCATCTAGTCCAACCGCATGCAGTGTGGGAATCTCAACTAAAGCATCTATGACAGATCTAACATCTGCTGAAACACTTCCAAGGTAGGAGAGTCCACGACCTTATGAGGGACTCCATTCCACTGTTGAACAGCTTTTACCACCAGAAAGCTCTTCCTGGTGTTTAGCTGGAATCGCCTTTCTTGTAATTTGAAACCTTTGGTTCCTTCCAGAGCAGGAGAAAACAAGCTTACACCACCTTCCAGGTGACAGCCATTTAGATAATGGAAAATGGCTTTCACATCTCCTCTCAGTCTCTTCTTATCCAGGCCAGTGTTTTTTTCTGGAGGTACTCAAGGGTACGGGCACCCTTTTTTCTAGAAGAAAAGCCCTGATCCAGACTAAACATACCAACCTCTCTCAGCCATTCCTCATAAGGCTTGGTTTCCAGACCCTTGACCATCTTGGCCACCCTCCTCTGCATATGTTCCAGCTTGTCAACATCCTTCTTAAATTGTGGTGCCCAGAGCTGGCACCTGCATTCCAGGTGTGGTCTGACCAAGGCGGAATAGAGTGAGACTATTGGCAGGGCCCTGCATTGGCATCTGGACTGCATGTGGGGGGATACAGTGAACAGGGAAACCTTTCCTTACACAGGTGTTCCTCCTGCACAACAGAGTTCCACAGAGTTTTGGGTAGACCAGTTATAGCTTTAACTCACTGCATATTCTTCCTGGGAATCTGAAGAATGTGAGAAGCTGGAGCCCTCACCCAGGCTCCCTCCAGACATCCTTTGGATTCTGCATTCGTGATGATTTGTGCTCTTGATGGTATCAGGCCAGGGATGCCAACTTGAATGAAGTATTGGGGGGGGGGGCAGGTAAGCCGCGCCCTGCATAATCGATCACATAATGCGGTGCACTTACACCATTTGAATGGCAATGCCCATCAACTTTGGGGGAGGGCTGCCCCCCTCAAGTATTTTATTGGGCATGCAAAGGGACCTCAGTCCCTAGGAGCTGCCTCCAATATATCAGGTGGCTATTTGTGACCCTGCTTTTAATACTATTTTTGCCTGCCAAAGTTTTGGGGAGGACATACAGCTTCATTTCCTGCAACTTCCAGCTAAAATTCTGCTTTTGTTGTGTTGTGTTGTGCTTTGGTTGTACCCTCTGGATAATAATGTGGTAGCATCAGGGAAATGTCACAGAACAATGAATAAAGCAGAATAAATTCACCACCATTATTGGGTCAATAACATGTTGCAGAATGAATGCACCTGCAATAAAGCACCATCTGGAGGGGACATGTCTTTGGGCAAGGCTACCCAACGCTGTGTAAGTAATTCATTCAACTAGCAACTTGTTTTTGTTGCTGTTCTTTTAAAAAGAATTTTATTGAAAATGTTTAACAGAAATAAAGAACAGTTATTTGGGTCAAGTTTGCAGCAGCAAATATAGTCGCCATCTGCAACCGGGTAATGCAGCCACCTCAATAAAACTAGAAATTATTATCAGAGGGAGGGAGGGAGGAAGGAAGGAAGGAAGGACGGAAGGAAGGGCTGTGGGAAGTAGGGATGAGGAAGAAATTTGATTCAGTTTGCATTTAAAGGTGGATTTACCTATATTTATTTTTCAGATATTCTTTGAAAACCTCCCATTTAGAAACAAATTCCTGTTTTGATTTATTCTTTATTTTTTCTGATAAACCATCTAATTCGGCATATTCTGTCAGCTTTTGGATCCAATCTTGTATAGAGGGGATTTCATTACTCTTCCATTTTGCTGCGATCAAAACTCTTGCTGCCGCCGTCACATATAAAAAGATACCCTTCCTCTTTTGTGGAATATCCAAATCTGTTATTCCCAGGAGGTAGGCCTCTGGTTTTTTATTGAAAGAGATCTTCAGCATTTTTTGCAGTTCTGCATGTATACTCTCCCAGAATACCTGTATTTTCCTACATATCCACCACATATGGTAGAATGTTCCTGAGTCTCCGCATCTCCAACAATTACTTGACACATTTTTATACATTTTTGAAAGTTTCCATGGTGTTAGATACCATCGATGTTGCATTTTTGAAAGTTCTCTCTAATTGTGTAACAGTTTGTGAATTTCCAATTGATCTTCCATAAATTTTCCCATTGGGCCATGGTTATTGGATGGCCAAAATCCTGGGACCACCTCACCATTGCCACTGTTACCTCCTCCTCCTTGACTGTCCAGTCAAGGAGGAGTCGGTAAGTTTTGGAAAGAGTTTTTCTTTTAGAGTTTACAAGATCAGATTCGAATCGGGAAATTTCTGCTGAGAACCCCTTTTGTTTGTCAGATTTAAATTTTTCAAATAACTGATGGTATTGGAACCAGTCTGAAATGTGTTCTCTTATCTCCTCAAAGTTTTTTAATTTTATTTGGTTATCCTCATTTTTTAGAAGTATTTTATATGTTGGCCAGCTTTCCTGAGTATTTTTCCGTTTTACTGCTATGGCTTCTACTGGAGAAGTCCACCACGGGACTTTAGGCTCCATCAGGTCTTTATATTTTTCCCATACAGCAAAGAGTGACTTTCTTATTATATGGTTGGTAAATTTTTTATGAATTTTCGCTTTTCCATATATTAGGTAGGCGTGCCATCCCCAACGGTTGTCAAAACCTTCCAGGTCCAGGAGGTCCGGATCCTGCAACGTGCACCAATCTTTTAGCCAGGTGAAACAGGCAGCCTCGTAGTAAAGTTTTAGATCGGGTAGGGAAAAGCCTCCTCTCTCTTTTATGTCTATTAAGATCAGGTGTTTAATCCTAGGTTTCTTCCCTTCCCACAAGAATTTGGAAATTTCTCTTTGCCATATCTTGAGACAACCTGCTTCACCCAGTATCGGAATCATTTGAAATAAAAAGATTAATTTTGGAAGCACATTCATCTTTATAATGGAAATCCTACCCAGAAATGTTAATTTTAGTTTGCTCCAGATTACCAAGTTTTTTCTAATCTCTAACCAAGTTTTGGTGTAATTATCCTGAAATAAGTTTATGTTCTTGGGGGTAATCCAAATACCCAAGTATTTCGCTTTTGAAGAGATTTTCAGGCCCAATATTTTTCTAAGTCGTCCTTTTCTTCTGTGGTTACATTTTTAACAAGCATTTTTGTTTTTGTTATATTCAGTTTAAAGCCTGCCACATCTCCAAATTCTTTAATCAATTCCAGCACTCTTTTCAGACTTTCTTTAGGGTTTTCAGTCATAACAAGTAAATCGTCCGCAAAAGCTTTAATTTTATATGTTTTGTTTCCCAGAGTGATGCCTTTAACAAGCTCATCCTTTCTTATCTGATTGTTCAAGACTTCCATCACCAAGATAAATATCAGTGGTGACAGTGGGCAGCCCTGTCTTGTTCCCTTGTTTATTTTGCACTCCTCAGTAATTCTTCCGTTGATGATCAATTTTGCATATTGTTCTGAATAGATGGCATTTATTCCTTTACAAATATTTTCTCCCAGTCCGATTTCTTCCATTAATTTTTTCATAAACTTCCAGGACACATTATCAAAAGCTTTTTCAGCGTCCACCAACATAATAGCTGCTGTTTAATCAATTTTAATATCCAAATATTCTAATACATCAATCACACATCTAATATTGGATTGCATAAATCGTCCGGGAAGAAATCCGGTTTGATCTTTATGAATTATCTCGTTCAGCACCATTTTTAATCTATTTGCAAGAATGTCTGTGAATATCTTGTAATCGTTATTTAGCAGTGCAATGGGTCTGTAATTGGCCATGTTTGAGGCATCTGATCCCTGTTTATGGATAAGAGTAATAAAGCTGTCCTTCCAGGTTTTCGGAAGCTTTTCATTTGCCAGAATATTACTCATTAGGTCTTTCACACTTCCTGAAACAATACATGACCCAAAATGCAGCCATCATTCAAAATCTACACTTCTCCAAATTTTGCAGTGCTATTCTCCAAGTTGATTTCTGGTCTTCCCTTCATATGGCCTATAGGCATTGTCAGTATTGACTTGCTACCTCTGTGGTTGCTCGTTTGCCTTTGAGATAGTTTGTTCTCTGAAGAGGAAGGGAACCCAACTCCTCACCAGTTTAACATGGGGCACCATCCAGTGGTAGGTTCTTCTGCAGAAGCCACATTGGAATAAAATAGGGTTGCCATATGCCTGGAATTTCCAGGACATAGCCGGCAATCAGCCCTCGTCAACAGCTTCCGGCCATATGGCAACCTGGCAACCAGTGCTGGGAGTGCAGCTCAAAAAGCTCAACAACTTTGTGTCTGGATTTTCAGCTTTTGAAATATGGCAGTCCTAGAATAAAGGGCAAGCACCTGTTGGGCGCTTGGATCAAATCAATGGCTGATATCTAATGCTAGTCCTACTCAGAGTAGACCCACTGAAGCTGATAAACATGACCAAGGGCTCGTCCACACTTCCACCTGTTCTGCCGCTTTCCCAGAGAAACCTGCTGTTTATCGTTGAATCAGAACAAATGTCCATTGGTTTTTCTGTGGATTGACCATTTGTTCGGATTCTGTGGTAAACAGCAGGTTTCCTGGGCAAAGCTGTGGGACAAACTATTTGGACCTGTGCCTCCAAAGCACAAGAGAAATGGAAGACCACTCAGACCTGTGTTTTCTCAGCATGAAACAAGCAGAAGTGTGGATGACCCCTAAGTCAGGTTCCTTAATTTCAGCAGGTAGGAACTAGCTCTGGATATTAGCTGCCTCCTCACCTTCATGGTGTCCAGGAGGCAGCTGGCTTCTTTTGCTCTATGCTAGGGCTGCCTCTCATCTTGCACCTGCCCCTTCTAAGCATGAAAAAGAGAAAATCCTACAAAATATTAGGATGTTTCACTTAAAAAGGCTGCAGTGTTTAATAAGGTGGCTTGGTCTAGCCCAGGCTCTCCAAACCTGGTGCCTTCCAGATGTTTTGGGCGGCAACTCCTACCTGCCCCATCCAGCACAGCTGGGGTTGTAGCCTAAAACATCTGGATGACACCAGGGTTGGGAAAGGCATTGCTTTACAGGTTCCAGAGGGCACTGAAAACAATGGTCTTCCGGCCGTCCTAAGTGCCCCTGTGTCCTTGGAGCCGGCTTCTCTGTTAAGCTGGGCATCCTTCCACCCTATAGAGCTGGCTGGTGAGAGAGTGGCGCTCCTCTTTGGGGTTTCTTTTGCTTCCACCTTTCTGGCCAAGCCCCAGTGCCTTTGAAGCCACTGTTCAGCAGAAGGAACATATTCCTTGCTAGGTGCACCATTGGTGTTAGTGGCACTCTGGCTCAGGAAAGGGCATCCCGTCCCAGGGAGAAGCTGGCAGTGAAGGTGGAGTCCTCATGCAGGAAACTAATCTGCTGACGGGCCAGTCTGGGACAAAAGATTTGTCGCAGCTCACCCGAAATACTGCTGCTAAAGGTGGCGTAGACCCAGGGGTTGGTGCAGCTGTTGAGACTGGCGAGGAGCATCAGCAGGGTGAAAGCTGGACCTGGAGAGGAGAAAAGGAGCAAGGGTCAGCCTGGGAATTGCAAGAGCTCAGCCATGGGACATGCTCTGGAAGACAAATAATAAAGGCAAGGGCACCTCTGAGAATAGATAGAGTACAGTTCTCCCAACACTGGGTAACCACAGCCTGCTCACATGTTTGGGGGCTTCCAGGGGAGGCGATGTTGTTCCCAAAGAGACCTCATATATCCCTAGCTGAAAACCATTGTTCTCCTATAGGGAAGAAATGTGATCCTGTGTGGGATTATCTCCACCCATCTCTCCACTGGCAGGAAGTAAAATCTTTAAGAGAATGCACCTTGGGGGCTGAGACAACCCCCTCCAGTTCTATTCCCTGCCAGCTCCACTGCAGGTTGTATTGCGCTTGCACCATTGTTTTGCTGGTGGCTTTAACTGGCTTGTGAACCATCTTGCTATTTCTTCTCAAAATGAAAAGCAGTATATAAATTCCTTTTAATCCTTCTCCCCCTCCTTATCCTTGCTTGTCCCCAACTCCCAATGGAGGGTCCAGTAGGACTGTGTATTAGGCATAGAATTGAAGTAATATGAGTCCATATGCTGTGCTTAAATTTCATTGACAGATAATGGAATTCAATACAGTGCATGCAAAGTGCCCACCCTGCCACCCGCCTTTTGCCATGTCATGATTTACACCGAGCCCATGAAAATAATATTGCAGGAATCTTTGGTCATGGAGCAGTGAGATAAGAGAATAGGAGGCAGCAGGTAGGTTTCTAGACCACAAATGGGATCCAGCTGGCCAGGCTGAAACTCTGGAGCTTGTTTCAGGCTCCAGATGCACGCTGACAGTCGTCTCCACAGCTGGCCATGGGGAGTCCTTGATCTGGATCATGATAGTGGTGCTTAGCCCCCTACCGTTTTCCCAATCATTTCCCAAAGCTGGAGGAAAGTGCGGGGGGGGGGGGGCATTGAAGTCCCTCCCTGCCATGCTGTGGTCTGGATTGGCAGGGTGTGTAGCTGTGTGTGTGCTTATTTCTTTTAAAGAGCAAACAATGCTTTTATATATGTGAAACATAGCCTGTAGTTTGGATCCACAGTTGTAAACAGAAGGAAGTAAAGAAGTGGCAGACCTTTTTAAAAAAGCAAGAGAAATAGTGTCCTAGCTGTAACCTTGAACTTTTTCATGTGCCCTTGTTCTGCTGCTCAGCATACAATAGGAAGGAAGGAGGAAGGTGCTTTTAAGGGCTCATCCACATTTACCATTTGCTTTCTAGGCACAGCTGCGCACTTTCCTGCTCCTGGTCCAACTGCTTTCTTTTTTTGCCCTGCCATTTCCCCCAGGAAAACACACTCTTTAATGCTGAATTGAAAGAAACAGCAATTCAGGTTTGGGGTGGATTGCAGTTTGTTCCAATACAATGGTAAAGAGGGGTTTTTTGTGGAGGAGGGGAAGCACTTGGATCCATACCTGAAAAGCCCAGATCTGTGCCCAGAAATGCGGGGCAAATGTGTGTGTGGATTGAAATGCTGCGGTGGATGCCAGTTTTGTAGTCTGGAACCTGACACCCTATGCTGCTGCACGACTCACCGTCTAGCGGGGCCTGAGGATCCCACACAGACCACAGCTGGACTAGGAAAAAGGGGGCCCAGCAGAACACGTAGATAAGCACAATGGCTAGGGTCATCTTTGCAGTCTTGGACACAGCCCCGGAAATGGGGGAGGGCCCCTGCCGGCTGTCCCGGCCCCGCAATGCTCCTTCTGGCCCCAGGCGCAGGCTGCGGTGGACCTCACGGAAAATCATGGCCTGGCAGGTAGCAATGAAGAAAGTGGGGAAGACGAAGACCATCAGAGTCACCCACGTGACGTAAGCCCGAACTCCCCAGGGCTCTGCAAAGTGAGCCCAGCACTCGTGGGCTCCGCTGGGCAGCTTGGTTTTGGAGAAGATGAAGAGCTGTGGGAGGCTGAGGAGGAAGGATGCGGTCCATGCCGCCACCACCAGGCGATGCCAGCTGGCTGGGCCCTTCCGGAAAGCCAGCATGGGCCGGCAGATGGCTCGGTGGCGGTCATAAGTCATGGCCACAATGACGTAGGAAGAGGCAAACATGCCAACCACCTGCAAGTACTTGATGGCGCGGCACAAGACATCCGGGCCCTGGAAGCGGTCGGTGATGTCCCAGATGAGCTGCGGCAGCACCTGGAAGAGCGCCACGGTCAGGTCGGCCAGGCAGAGGTGGCAGATGAAGCGGTGCATGGGGCTGGCCCGGCGAGTGCGGCGGAAGAGGGCTCCCAGCACCAGCCCATTGCTCAGAGTGGCTAGCAGGAAGATGGAGGCCAAGATGGCGATTTCCACTTGGGCTAGAGCGTCATCCCGGTCGTCAGATAGAGGGAGGGAGGTGTTGGAGGTGGGGACAGGCAGCGTGGAAGAGGCGTTGAGCATTTGCTTCTGCAGAAGGTAAGAGGGCGAATGGGAGGGGAGAACATCCAAACAATGTTATGGTATACACCCATTAATCCAACTCAGCACTTCAAAGGCAAACACAGGGATGAAACACAGACGCGTGATTAAATGATGCACTGCTGCAACTCAAGGGTACACAGGGATGGAATCAAGGGCAGGATATTAGTCTGGTTTATTGCGATATAAGGTTTTTTGGAGACAGCACTTACTTCGCCAACATAGTGCCCTCTAGAAGTTTTGGACTACAAGTCCCATCATCCTTTGCCATGATGATGGGTGTTGTGGTGCATGCAGAATCTGAATTCATCAACTCAGAATCATAAACAGAGATCAATTATAACAATACCTAAATAGGAAAGGGCAAATCTGCCAACTTCAGGTTCCCTCTACTTTTCGTTTTCTCAGTTGTAGCAGTCTGCTACATTTCCACATCAGTGTGTGATTTTTTTTAAAGGTCCTTGTGAAAATTCATTGGCATTTTAATGTGAATTTCTCTTAAGATATAGAGTCTTTTATGCAACTTAGCCTAGTATACACATTTCAGCAAAGCAATTTCCCCTAATGCAACAGATTTCTGCATGTTATTTTAATATTTGCACTTGTATGCACACTTTGCCCTAGCATGTGCATTTTTGTACCCAGAACATGGCCAGAGAATAGCACTGCAAAATTTGAGGAAGTGTGAATTTTGAAGGGTGGCTGTGTTTTGGTTCAGAAAATGTGAAGTAGGCAAGTCCACCTTAAATGGGAACTGAATCAAATGCCTCCCCCATTGCTATCCCAAAATCACTGCTGCCCCATAGCGGCTGAGCTAGCCTGTCTCCATGCCTGCTGGGGTTCTCAGCACAGTCTCCCGTCCAGCCCGGTATCCCATATCGGCTCTCCTGCAGGCCAGGGACAGAATGTTTGGACACTCCTGCTGGTCCAGCAACCATTCTTTTCTTTCACTTCAGGCTTCCGACACCAACTGCCTTGACCTCATCAACTGGGAATGGCATGCTTTTCATATTTGACAGATTGAAAAAAAACCCAATAAAAACCCAGCTCAGGTGTTTTACTAAAAGTTGGTATTGTAACGGCTGCCATGTTTTGTTTGCATGGGTTGTTTGCTAACAATCAGGGATGGTTGACTGATGTTTCCTCAGCGGGAGCTAATGGCTGGGGATGTTTCCTGAATGCGCAATTGATCAGCAGGGTGGGAACGGAGCCCAATGCACTCTGTGTGTGTGTGTGTGTGTGTGTGTGTGTTTGACTATGACCAGAGAAAATCAGAACTGGCCCTGACTGGAATTCAACTGTTGCTCTTGGGAAATCTGACACAGGATTAGCCTGCTGTTTAACACTGTGTGAACACTAAGAGTCTGAAATGCATGGGGCTTGTTCTCCACCCCAGAATTCCTCTGTTCACATCACTTTGCGATACTGGCACGCTACCCCAAGAGTGCAAAGGGAAGCTCTATGACTGCCCTCCATACACAGCAGAGGGGGGTACGGAGAGTGAACTGTACAAGGAGTGGGGGTCTTGACTGCCTCCCCTCAATGTCTCCACGCCCCATTGTGGGGCATTTGTTTACCTGTGTGTGCACTATTTTTTATCAGTATTTGGGATGAACATTTTCTGAGATACAAAACTTCCACAAAAGTAGAATTTTTTAAAAAGTGTGTGGCCCTAAGCCCTACCAGTTGCCCATTGGTAAAGCAGAAAGGGACAAAAATCTGCATTTTTAAATAATACGTCCCCCCAGCTCAGCATTTTGGCACAAATGTCTTCTAATTTTTCCATGCGATTTTGCCTAAGAAACACATTTTTTGCAAACCAACTGCATTTTATTTGTAATTTTAACTAATAAATGCTTTTTGGTGAGCACATTATGCTAAAATATGCATGGCTGTAGACATTACTTGGCTGCAGAACTACACTGCAAAATTCATAGAAGCGTGCATTTCAAAGGATGGTTGTGTTTTGGAACACACAAATTTGGTAGGGTTAACTTTGAAAGATAACATAAATTGAATTCCCCCTGCCTGTTACAAGCCACCTTAGAGGCCACTGGGCCAGGGTGCCAACTTGAATAAAATAGGGGGGGGGGGGCTAAGTAAGCCCTGTCTTGCATAATTGATCACTTGATGTGGTGCACACACAACTGCTGAATGGAAATACCCATCAAATATTTTATTGGCCCCTAGGAGTTGGATCCTATGCACTGGGCAATGTGAACAGGTGGTTTTCCCTGGCAAGTGTTCATAATTTCCTAGGGAAATGCAGCAGCATATGAATGGACACGGCTAAGTTGGAGACAGCAAGTGATGGCATTTCTCCCCCAGCCCTTCACCTTGCAGATACATAGATCAACTGCTTCCTTCAAGTCTGATGGTACCCCCATGTCAAAGAGGATACCGTGTAGCTGCTGCCTTGCAAGGAGTCAGACATTGTCAGCCCATCCAGCCCAGTCCTGCCTATCCAACTGGTAGCTCTCCAAGGTCACAGGCAGCGCAGATATCCATCAACCAGAGAAGTCAAGGATTGAGCCTAGGACACTCTGCATGCAACACAACTGCATTATTCCCCTCTTTTCCCCACAAGCAACTGGCTCCTCCACAACTTCCCCCAGATGTAGTTATAATTCATTTGCACTTGGGGGCGGAGAGTTCACCAAACACCTAATTCTACAGATGCTGATGAAGAGATCCTGTTCCCAAGGCAGTCAGCATCAAGCCAGCCAGACATGTGACAAAGTCCTGGTTTATCATGCCCCACAAGTCAGGTCTCTCCATTGCCTGCTCTACTGTTAACTTGCCTCATAGTAAGGTTGTTTCTGTAGCAGAGTAAAAGTGGTTTGAGGTTTTCTCTACAATCAAGCGATATAGAAATTTTATGAAATTAATAATGAATAAATAAAAGCAGAGGGTGGGGTGTGAGGAGCTAGAGGCATTGCAGGAGTGCCCAGTGGAGTAAAATGAGGGTGTGTGGGGCAGACAGTGGGGCTGGACTCTCACCGAGAACAAGAATGCAAGAGCAAACCTGGGCCACCTTGGTGCGTTACCTGTTCAAGCAGTTACCTGGTCATCCATGGTCAGAGCATCAGCTGGCAAGTAGCTTCAGAGGTGAAACCTCACCATGTTTGCTGCCCACAGCTCGTTTGTAGAACCCACCAGGGAAAGAGAAGCTGTGGTCCATTCAAAGAGATGCTGGATACATCCCTCTGAGAGGCATCTCCTGAAGCCCTCCGAGTTCTCTCTCCTGAATCTTGGCAGTGAGGATGCTGCAATGCTCCTCTCAGGGAGAACGTTGGTGAGAAAGTCCGTGCCAGAGTCTTGGGTAGCTAGGAGGGAGGGAGGGAGGGAGGGGCAGAGGAAGGGAGGGGGCCAGTGAAGGGGAGAGGGCCAGTTGAGCCGCATTTTTCCCACCCCCTGGGCAACACAGCTGACAGAACTTGACCCAGTGCCAAACACACTGACTCTGCAATGGGTGGATTCTCTCTAGAGGGAAGGAGACCCTACAGGAAACAGGAGGAGCAGCAGGAGAAGGGCTGGTGGACGATCACGCCACCAAATGTGTGAACGGTTAGATCACAACATGGACCTCGGTGCCAACTTCACCCCAATTCTGTGCTTGGAAACCTCAACATCCAGAATGGTTTGGCTTCCGTGTGACTGTATTGGGCCTCCTAGGACCAAAGCATTTTACCTCCAAGCCCCTCATGCTCTAACCAGTAAGACTCCACTTTCCCTCCAGGGCAGGCCTGCGCATTTTATGGCCCACACATTGTGTAGGCCTGAACTAAGGCCATCGCCTTCATTTCTGGCAAACCTTGGTGTGTGCACGCTTTGGCTTTTAGCAGCTCCATGACAGACAGGAAATCAGAGGAGCCGGGGGAAAGCCACACCTGCTGAATGCTCTGCCTGCTCCATGCAGCTATTAAAGGCAAAGGAGTCCGAACTAGGAACCGAATGCTAACTTGAATGGAAGCAAGAAGCCCTGGATTACCAATCCCACGTGTGCACATGTGCTGCTCCCCAAGCCTTACTTTAAAGGAATGAAGTTCCTTCCTTTCTTTTCCACATCAGTTGGCACCTTATCGGACATGGGGTTATGGGGCAGAGAGATTGTATCACCACTGCAGGCCTGAAAATCTCACTTTGGGTAATATGGGAGAGAAATATGAATGCCCACCTCCCTACCCTACTTCCCATCCTCCTCTCCAGGCCCAGGGATTCCAGTTGCACCTTCTAAGCCACAGCTTGGTTCATAGTGTTATTTATGTGTATGGCGGTGGCAGCGGCAGGGGGGGGGAGCTCCCTAAACCCAAGAAATAAATGAATGACAGAATCTAGATAATATCTGGCATACTGTGTACCCTCCAACATTCCTCAGATGAAAATAGGGACATTTCCTCCACCACTACACCAACGGGACATCGCACACAAGCCCTCCAACATTCTGCATTCTGAGAAAACCCCTTCACCCCAATTGTATTTTATTTTATTCTTTCGTAGATTTACAAAAAGAAAAACACACACCATTAAATACATTTCAGAAAGGAGCAAGATTATATGCAGGTGCACAAAGCATTTTCAGGGGGCCCTCCCTTCTGCCTGCCCCTCAGAGCCAGCGTGTCATGTGAGGCTGGGCCTCAGGGGTGGCAGCCTCTCCTCTTCCTCCTCGCCTGCTCTCCCACGGGACAAGAGGAAGTAGTAGAAGAAGAAGAGTTTGGATTTGATATCCCGCTTTATCACTATCCAAAGGAGTCTAAAAGTGGCTAACAATCTCTTTTCCCTTCCTCCCCCACAACAAACACTCTGTGAGGTGAGTGGGGCTGAGAGACTTCAGAGAAGTGTGACTGACCCAAGGTCACCCAGCAGCTGCATGTGGAGGAGCGGAGACGCGAACCCGGTTCACCAGATTACGAGTCCACTGCTCTTAACCACTACACCACACTGGCTCTGGCACTATACCACTGGTACAGATAAGCCCTTTGTCTCCTGAGGTTGCCACCTTTTTCTTGGCCTTTTGGACTACAACTCCCAAGACATCTGGAGAGCCCCAAGTTGAAGACTGTCCTAAGTCAAGGATGGAGAACCAGCTGCTGTTGGACTACAGGTCCCAATCCATTGCCCCATGACCATTGGCCATGCTGGCTTGGACTGATGGTAGCTGGGGTCCAGCAACATCCAGAGGGTCCCCTGCTCTAAGCACCTCCTGAAATTCTGCCCTTCCCTTGCTCCCCACCCCCAGCATTCCCCCAACCCTCTTCTCAGTCCTATCCCTTTTATGGCCTTGTTGAGAGCCGGGAGGGGCAGGGTTGAGAGGAGTGGGCAGCCGGCCAGTGTCTTGTGTGTATGTTCCCACTTTATCTGCAGAACATAATTTATGCAACTCAGGGTAGGTCCTGGCCAACTGGCAGAGGAGAAGCAATTCAGAAAATTGGACAGCACACTAGCCTCCCGGTCCTCAGCACTTGACCCTTGATGTACCAGAGTCCTCCTGCCCTGATCTGCTTCATTCTAGAGGCCTGAAACAAGCTCCTTCGCCTCCCCAACCTCCCCCTCCTTAGAAGTACCAGGGGGCTTCCAGATGTTCTGTTTTCATTTGTCCTTACTGCTTTGTCCAAAGCTGGCGTGGGAGTGATGCCATGCCTGCTGTTCACCGGGCATCCTATCTGCTTTGTTTGGATTCAGGGCCCCTGTGTGCTTATGATTCTACTCCCAAGAAGTGAGGTGACCTCTCCTGCCTCAGTTAGTCATGCTTGATGCAGTTCATACGTCTATGTTTGTGTTATGTTTTTGCTTTTATTGTATTGCCCTGCTTTTGGGAGCCCATGGCCACCTTTACAAATGGGCACCACACACTCATGTTGCAACTGAGCCCACACACAGCCTAGCTGACTGGCTACCATAGAAATGCTTTTTTTCAGCAGAAGGAGGGGCAGGGGCGCCAGGTGCCCTTACAGGTGCCACATTGGCAGTCCTTGATATTTGTTGTATATATATGGTGCATATGGGCTGTATGGAGTGTAAGGGGAGGGGCCGTATGTCTGGTGGGGGGAGATGTCATGCTCCTTCTGAGGCAGTTCATCCACCTTTGGTCCCCACTCTGCATTCAGCTCTCACCTGTGGCTCCTGGAAGCTGTCAGCGTATGACAGGGGCCACATCCTGGGAAACAGCTTTGACTGGCTGGTAAATCCAGGTGAGGGTAGCCAATGGGTCTCAAACCCTTGGTGAGAAGACAGGCTCCGGCAGAATGAGTGGACAAGACCACTAGTGGGTTCAATGGTCAAGAAGACAGTTTCTGTACGTGCTGTAAAGGGAAGTGAGGGGTAGATGGGGTTCGTCCACCAGGGAAGGTAGCCTTGTGGGATATCTCCGGGGGAAGAAAAGGCTCAGGACAAACCCTACACAAATCTGGAGTGGAGTCCCTAAGATGGCTGGATGGCGCTTTGTACGCCTCCTTCTGGCAACTCCTTCAGCCAAGCTGGTGCCAAATATTTTGTTCTGCTTTCCTTTGGACCACATCAGCGAGGCCAAGAGGGGGTCTTGTTGTCTGGGCAGCCCAGGACCACCATACACACTGCTCAGGCTTGTGCCCTGGAAATGTCATTTCAGTGCTGCTGATGCAGTGTTTTGGCTTCACCCGCAGAGGTGCACTCCATTGTCTATTGAGACAGATGGATGCCAGCATCAAACACACACACACACACACACACACAGAGAGAGAGAGAGAGAGCTTAAGTTCCTTCCAATGAGCCCGGCCTTGGCTGGGGAGGGCGGGGTATAAATAAAAATTATTATTATTATTATTAATGATGTAATGGGCATCACAGAGCAACTAATAAAGCAGAATTCATGTGTGGAAGGTCCAGTATAAATCCACCATCATTGCTATCATTCGTCAGTGATATGTGGCAGAATAAAAAGGTAAAGGTAAAGGACCCCTGACAGTTAAGTCCAGTCGCAGACGACTCTGGGGTTGCGGCGCTCATCTCGCTTTACAGGCTGAGGCAGATGGTGTTTGTCCGCAGACAGTTTTTCCGGGTCATGTGGCCAGCATGTGGTGCAACGGAACACCGAAACCAGAGCAGCGCATGGAAACGCCGTTTACCTTCCCGCTGGAGCGACACCTATTTATCTACTTGCACTTTTGTGTGTGTGTGTGCTTTCGAACTGCTAGGTTGGCAGGAGCTGGGACCAAGCAATGGGAGCTCACCCCATCGCGGGGATTCAAACAGCCGACCTTCTGATCAGCAAGCCCAAGAAGCTCAGTGGTTTAGACTACAGCACCACCCGTGTCCCCATGTGGCAGAATACACCTGCAGAAAAACAAAACACCCCCCCCCCAGCAGTCTGGAAGGGCCCGAAAAGACAGTTCTGGTATTAAGTGGTATATAAATATATGAAATAGATAAATAAATGCTGGTTAATGAGGACTCGCTGCCTCAGTCCCCCAATACCCATTTTCCTCCTGAATTGTGAGGTAGGGCTTTTTGGGGAGAGCTGGAAGGCAAAAGGAAGGCTGAACAGTCCTCTCTCCTGCTCAGAAGTTCTCCCTTGGAGTTGCACCACCATTGGCAATAGGACATAGCGTGACAAATGCAGGGTGAGGAGGAAACCAGCAAGTGCTGTGTTGCTCTGCCTTTAGTTGCAATGCGGAAACTCAAGCAGCAGATTTCCAAAATGTTAAGGAGGCTTTTAAAGTTTGAGAGCCCTGTAGGAGATCTGTATATTTCAGGCTGCCCTCTCCCAGGGACCCTGGCTGCTGGCTGTCGCCGGCTTCACTGAACACATGGAATCCCCATTAAAACAATTTCCTCATCTTTCACCTGTTTAATCTCTCATTCACCGCACTCAGTAGATACAGATCACCCTGAGGGGTTATCCATTTTCTCACAGCGTACTCCTGGGACAGCCTTGAAGGTTCCTAGCAAGGCGCAGCCTCCTGTAGCATGGCTCAGTCCTCAATTTAAGTTTAAATAAAAAACCAAAAATAGACAGATACACAGAGAAGAGCTAGCAGCGGTCTCAGTTATGAAAACCAAGAGGAGCCTCCAGGTGCAGGCGCAGTATACTTTGGAACAGGGTTGGTTCAAAGTCTTAGTGGGCCCTCAGCAAAGTTTTTGCTCTATGTCAGTGGGTCCTGCCACAGACAGTGGGAGGCAGCACCTTTGCAATCCATGATGTGCAGCTTAAAGCAGTCAGCATTTAAATTTCCCACCACGTCCCTGGCATGCGTTAGTAGACCAAGGGTTGCCTGCTACTGCAAAAGAGGAATGTCCTCTGTAAAGCAGGGCACATGGCCACAGTAGCCCAAGGAGCAGAATGGTTTATTTCAAGGTTTGGCAACTGGTGGCAACAAGATGTCTTGGGTCTACTCTCATTCACACACACACACACACACACACACACACACAGTGCCTCCAGACTGCCAGTATTTTGGCGAAGGGATTCAAGCACATCCCTGAGAACTTTAGGTTTGCACCCTTAAATTAGATTAAAGGCTCTGTTGCTCTAGCATAAGAAATCTACTTTTTCCAAAACAAACACCCACAGATAGGCTTTTCACAGTTTAGATTGAAAGGAACATGAAAATGCATTGAAAAGTGTTGAGTGAGCAAACGACTAACAGAAAGAGATGTAAACACCCTCAAGCAAATCAGGATAAATGCAGAACAAATATTCATTGTCATATAATCAGCCAACATCCTGAGTGTTGTTCTTTGCCTGCTTCATTCTCAAGCTTGTAACCAGTGAGACGCTTACTGTCGTCTGGGAGCCTCACCCTGCAATAGCCCACTCCCTGGATCGCTTGCCCAGCCGGCAGCTCATCATGCCTGCCTCCTGCTGATTCCTTACTGAACTTTGCAGCCTGCTTTGGTGGGGACACTTTGCCAAAGTCCCCCTAAGAAATGGAGCCAGCCTTGTTCCAAAGAATACCTGGAGGATCCATTCAGTCTTCATGTTCAGTGCCATGAATCTGTCTCTTTAAAAAAAGCATGGTGGGGGTTATCATCAAACCTGGGCACTTATGGGCTGGACGGACTAACACTCAGCATCTCCTCATTCTTCCAACCCCAACTTTCCTTTTCCATTCACTGTTCACTGTGGAAGATGGTGCAGCAATAAAACTGTTAGCACATTTGCAAAGCTAAGCAGTGTCTGGTATGGTTTCAGATTGGATGGGGGAGCGTGTGTTAAGATCCCTGCATTGCAGGGGGTTGGGTCACCTCAGGCATAGCTGTCAACTTTTCCCTTTTCTTGCGAGGAATCCTATTCGGAATAAGGGAATTCCCCTTTAAAAAAGGGAAACGTTGACAGCTATGCCCTCAGGGTCCCTTCCAACTCTACAGTTCCAGGGTTCTATGATTCTAAGTGGTGCCCCTGGAAAACTGCACTTGGCTCGAACACCACAATGGTCCAAGCAAGGACTGCAAATGGTTTGGTTCCCTGGTAGGCCAGTAAACAGGGAGCGATAATCATTCCCTGATGCCGATGATAGGAGGAGGCATGAAATTTCCTGGCATAAAGCTATTATCTCACCGCAAAAGTTTCTGAACTTCAGAAAGACTGGAGGAAAGCTCTAGAGTAGCAACAAACAGTTGCAGCTATGGGAAAGTCATATGTTTGTGCCTTGCGGGTGGCCACTGTCAGAAATTGTGTAGGATCATAACATTTTAGGGTTGGGAGGGACCTTAGAGTCAACCCTTCTACTTAATGCTGGATCTGCAATGCCTGCAATGCAGGATGCAACTACAGCATCCCTGGCAGCTTCCCCCAAAGAATCCCGGGAGCTGTAGTTTCTCAAGGGTGCTGAGAGTTGTTAGGAGCTCCCCATACTTGTCACAGAGCTACAATTCCCAGAGTTTCCTGGGAAGAGAGGTTGACTGTTAAACCACTCTGGACATTGTAACCCTGTGAAGGAAATAGGGGTCTACTAACTATTCTCAGCACCCTTAACAAACTACAGCTCCCAGGTTTCTTTGAGGGAAGCCATGACTGCTTAAAGTAATGCAATAATGCTTTCAATGTATAGTGCCGATGTAGGGCTGCTGTACGTCTGTAATTTCTTGGACATATCTAGAATACCGCAGTGAGCAGCAGAAATCAGTTAAATGTTCAGGGGAAATCTGGATGTATGGGGAAACTAAAAAAAGCTCAACAGCTTTGCTGTCTGGATTTTCACTGTTTGAAATGTGGCAACCCTACGGCCTAAATGGTCTGAGCAGACTCAGCAGTTTCTAGTAAGGCGAGGCAAGTGGACCAACACTGTACATCTTTTGTTGTTGTTTAGTCGTTTAGTCGATCTTATGCCATAATAAATTGGTGAATCCTTAGGATGCCACTTCACAAGGCTCTTTTCTCACTTCCAGGCAAGCTGTTTATTGAGCACACATCCTGATTTGTTTGTAAAAAAAATGTGGGGAATTTCTATGACAACCACTGTTTATCGCGCATTCATTCTGATTTCTTTGTGCAGCAGTTATAAACCATCACATCAAACGATAGTATCCCACACTTTCCAGGACATTTGCCTGTTATGTTCCTTGTTGCAAAAGGTGGGCTAGGCAGGCTGCAGAGGAACAGGAAGGACAGGGCAGGGCAGCTCCCCAGGAACCATCCTGATCCGCTGCTGCCTCCCTCCTTCTCAGGGGCCAGCACTGCTGAGGCCAAAATGGCAGTGTTGGTGTGAGCTGCATGGTGGCAGCGGAGCTACCTCAGCCTGTCCTTGCTGTTCATCTGTGGCTTTCCTGGGCTGCTTGCCTGCTGCTCCACCATCCCATTGTACTGTGCGTGGCCATCTATTGGTGGCAATGTGAACTGCAGGGTGACAACAGTCTTACATTTCTATGTATACAGCAGGCATGTCGAACAGGTTGATCGCAGGTTGATCACTCCCCCCTCCCCCAGTCAAAAAAGCTCTTGGCAATGACAATGGGTAGATCACTGCCATTTGTTTTAATACTGGGAGTAGATCACACTTGCTTGGGAGTTGGACATGCCTGGTATACAGGAATAAAGAGTGGTCTGCACCAGTAACAGGAAAGACATAAGAGCCAAGACCAAGAAGAAGCATTTTTAATTTATTCAGATAGATAGATAGCTTTAACAGTTTCTTAGTATTTTCTTAAAGCGATAGGCCATTTTGGGGCCCCTCCCACAAGGAGAACCTCCAAAAAAGCCGCTGTGGAGGAGAGTTTCCTGCTGTCACTCAAAGAAGAATTCAAACTCAGGCTGCAGTGTCTACCAAAATCTTTAATGTTCAGATCAGTGCGATACTTGGGCAAAATGTCATTAAAAGGCACAGCACGTTCTACAAATAGCCAAGCAAACAAAGACATTGATCCAGCAATGATACATACCCTGGCTTAGGAGCTAATTCCTCTTAAGCCCGCACCCCCCCCAAAAAATTGAGGGGGCCGTGAACCCCCTCCCCCGCAAGTTGATGGCCATTGCCATTTAATTGTGTGTGCCATGTCATGTGACTATGTAGGGCAGGGCTTACCCTACACTTAAATCGCGGGATTGCTGTACAGTGCTTTCTACCAAAAGTGATTGGCCGGTTTTGCTTTTGTGTTTATTGCTCTTCTGCGGAAAAACCAACAAAATAGATTAAAAATAAAAGCAAACCCCAACCCTCCACACATTGGGTCTATTTCCCTCTAATATTCATAATCGCCTATTGCTCCCCGCCACCTCTTCTCCAACGCTGCTGCAGCTAAGGCTGGTGGATTCCGAAGGATCCCCCCACGTGGGCCGGCCGCTCCCTGGGATCCACCCCCGGGGGAGGAGGGGGAGGCGGCGATGGAAGGAGCGGCGGCGGCGGCCGGAGGGAGCGCTGTGTCCCGGCCAGGCCTCGCCTTGTATCCGGCGGAAAAGAAGCAGCACTGCGCCCGCGGAGGAGGGGGCGGGCTGGGCTCTCGGACGCCTGGGTCCCTTGGAGAAAGGCATCGCGGTCCCCCCCCCTTCCTTGTTTTCAAGAGGGGCGGGCATTCCTGCTGGGGCCTCCTTTCCGGGGGGGGCAGTAGTTTCCCGGACTAGGTTGGGGGGGAGGGCAGCGGCGGGATCGCGGGGCGAGAGCGAGGGGAGGGGGGATCAGGCCCCGGCTGCCCCGGTGCGGCCGCATCCTGCCTGGAGGAAGCTCCGCTGGGCGCCGCGGGACTCGCTTCTGCGTCAAGGCGCCTCTGGCAAGAGGCAGGAGGGGCAAAGGCGCTTGAAATGGGTTTCCCCGGTTGCAGATCGAAACGGGATTTAAATTAAAAGTGCGATTAGGATCCGGCAGGTTGAGCACTCTTGCTGGGAGGGGGGGCGGGGGCCGGAGTCCCTGCTCACTTGCCAGGGTGGGGCTGAAGCGACTCTAAGCGCAGACCCACCACATGCATTTGAATGAACTGCACGTGTGCTAAGTTGCATTTCCAGAGCTGCTGGGAAATCCAGGTGATGGGTTGCTAGGGTTTCACCCGCAAAGTATTATGGGCACTTTATAGCTTTGTGAGGGGTAAGCTGCAGTGCCCAGGATGCTTTGTGAGGAGAGAAATGGGGATAAGTTGCCCTTTAATGCAAATAGGACAGAATGGTGACTGAGAGGGGTGAAGGGAAAGAGGTAGGAAGGCCTTGAATTAAATCCACATGCCCTGGGCCCCCTCCGGTTCTAGTTATAACAATACTTCCCCTGCTTCCCTGATGCAAAACCCCCCTCTGAAAAAGAGTAGGCAAAAGAGGTTGGCACAAAAGTGGCCCCCCTCTGCCCTCCACCCTGCAATTTGAACATTGGTCTTGAGTTTTCTCACATCCACAGTCATGGAGAAGCAGGGATTCTAATCCGTGTCAGATCTCCTCAGTCAAAAACTAGGGACTAGAAGCTCTCCCAGAAATATTAAACCTGTGAATACAAAGGTGACCTTGAATCAGAAAGTCTCTTGTTGGAAAGGTGGGCAGTGTGTGCCTGTGGGGGGGGGGTTATTGTACGTTTTATGCTCCTTATCGCTACCCCCAACATCAGTGAGCTGAAGATCCCTTTCCCATCATCATCATTGGCCCAGATTGCGCTGGGCTCCCTGGCCCCTGACCCCGAGCCCCGCAAAGAAGGGATCAGCAAGGAACTGGACGTGACGGAGGACATCTTGCATGTGTGAGTATTGGCCAGGCGCCCCCTTCTGCAAGAGGCAAGGTGTGGTGGCAGTCGGGGCAGATGGTGGGCTCTGAGTCCTGGGTGCAGCCTGCAGGAAGGTCTCCTGCACAAGCTGCAGGAGGATGAGAGAGCAATGGATGGCATGTTGGACTTGAACCAGGGTTTAAACAACAACAACAGTTTTATTATTTGTACCCCGCCCATCTGACCAGGTTGCCCCAGCCACTCTGAGCAGCTTCCAGTAGATATAAAAACATAAAACATTTAAAACTTCTCTATACAGGGCTGCTTTTAGATATCTTCTAGAAGTTGTATATTTATCTTCTTGACATCTGATGGGAGGACGTTCCACAGGGCGGGTGCCACCACCAAGGAGGCCCTCTGCCTGGATCTCTGTAACCTCATTTCTCACAGGAGGGAACTGCCAGAAGGCCCTTGGAGCTGAACCCTTTTGAATGAGTCTGTTTCTTGGCCTGACCTACCCCGCAGGGCTGTTTGGAGCATAACGTGGAGGAAGAGTGGGGTGCAAGTAAAATAAAGTGGGGTGCTGAGCAAGACCTGCGTTTGGATCCTTGTGCTTCTGCACACAGGACAACTTCCTGGCGACGTAGGAATCTGCCTACCACCCATTTAGCACCATCTGCAGTTTTTCAGCTGGACAGACAGGCGTAGCTCCCAGACCGACCAGGGATTGACCATCTGCATGCAAAGTGGCTGCTCTCCCACTGAGCTGGGCCCCTTCTGCACCCCGACCTTCTGTTGTCTCCCCTTGCTGACTTAGCTGCCAAAATCATTCATCTCTCACAGCACTCCGATAACATGATGCTCCTCCCTGCCTGCTCCCGGATGCATCACAAACGCCTTGCTCTTGCCTTCAGAGCCCTTTGTGGCCATGCTTTCCCATCCTTAGGACAGCATTCTTGTATCCTGATATGTCTCTGCCTGTGATCTTTGCTCCTCAACATCTAGACGTCTTCTGTTCCTCGAAACAAGTCTGCCTTTTCCTCCCTGGTGCCCCATATGCCTGGTACCCCCTCTCAGAACCCTTCTGTGCATCCTCCTCGCTTATTTCCTTCAAGCCCTCCCTCCCATCACCTTTCCCATGAAGCCCTTGGAGCAGGGACACTGCAGCAGCCAGGCCTCTAACTAGAGCTCAGCACTTGTCAGTCGAATCATCGCCTCCTTCGCCTGACCCCACGTCCCCCTCCTTCCTCTGTTGTGCCAAATTTTAAACTGTAAGCCTGTCTGGGCAGAGATCTATCACCTCGTATTTTCTGTAAAGTGCTATACATGCTATATAGATGAGGAGGAGGATAATAAGAATAATTCCTCCCTTCCTCTCTGTTGAGTGCTTTACATTCAGGTGGTGCTATGATAAAAATAAATTAATTAAGTGAGACAGTATATTTTCTGGCCTCAAAATGTATTGGACCAGGTGCCCAGTGTCTGCCAAGAGTAAAAGGGAAGCTCAAGGACTGGAATAGAATGAGGATATTGGCAGAAGGAGTGGCATGTTCATTGGACTCTTAAGTGTAGTGCAAGTGTTGACATTTTATGTTAGAGTCTACACAATATATATATATTATTATTATTATTTTGCAGTCGATGGAGAGCAGATGAAGCCCGGATTCTGCGTGTGTCCATCAACTCCTTCCTGGAGCATCTCTGCTTGGTGGTGGAAACGATGGACCTGTTTGGGCCTCCTGTGGCTTGATAGCTTGATAGGAGGTTGCAACAGGAAGCTTCCCTATAGTCTTGGCTGGATTCTGGACTTGCCCATGGGCTACTGATGTCAGAGGAGGCGCTGAACATGCCATCCTTAGAGCCAAGATGTTGCTTTGTGATCTGGAGCCAGCGGAGAACTCTTTGGTCTCGGATACTCTTGGACATTGATAGATTTTGGGTGCTGAGAAGCAGGCAAGCCTGGGACTGCCTTGATATAATACAAAGTACATAGAACTGGAGCTTTAATAAATTGTCCAGTGTGCTTTACTTTATAGTCTGGAGCCGGCTCACCATATTGATTAATCAATTACACAAACACCAGCAAAATCTTAATCATAGTGTTTCTCCAGGTGTTGCTGGACTCCAGTTCCCTTCAGCCCCATCCAGCATGGCCGAGGGTCAGGGCTAATGGGAGTTGTAGTCCTTGCAGCACCTGGAGAGACACAGGTTCCCCATCCCCCTTGCTGCGTCTCTCTGTCTCTCTTGCCACCAGGGGGAAAGCAGCTAATAGCTGGCAGTGAGGAAGAGGAGGGGGCCAAGCGGCAGAGGAGCCAAAACGGATGGCATGGCCTTGAAGTCCTATTTATATAGCAAGATTTACTTTCATTTTTTCTTTCTGGCATGGCTCCTACTTGTTAAACAGCAAGCAAAACTTCCCCACCTCGGTCACCATCTTTGCATTCTGGTGAAAGCTTCACCTGTTGGATTTCTGTTTGGCATTTGTCGTAAGTTACACTTGTAGCTTGCAGCTCCCTCTTGAAGGCACACCTGCTGAAACCTGGGTTTGTGCTTGTGTAAAAAGACCCAAGAGCGCTTCTTGCCAGCCATTGCTGTTCCTGAACCAGGATAGTTTTGCCCCAGTTACCCATGCTCTGGTAACCTCCAGAGTGGGATTACTGCCATGCACTGTAAGTCGGGCAATCCTTGAAGACCGTTTCAGAAATGATTAGTGCAGACACAAGTATTTAGTTTTGTAGTTTGCTTTCAGGGCTGGTACACACACAAATATTCATCACCAGATCACTGCAACACCCAGCAATCAGTTTCACCTGTGAATGGACACCACAGACTTGGACTTTTACCATGCTTCCAATGGCTTCCAGCGTCTGGAGGGTCACAGCTTCCTGGCTCCTGCATTAAGAACCAACCATGCACGTGTTGTGTGAACAGGCCTGCCAAGAAGGGGGGGGGGGGTGGCTGGTTACTTGTCTCTCTATTGCATTTGCAAAGCCCCATCCCAGTAGGGAACAAATGGTGCAAAAACATTTGTGTACCATTTTGGCAAAATAAATAAACAAATAAATCCTGAAATCAACATAATTGGTTATAAACTCAACAGGGATCCGTGGCTCGCATTTTCTGGTTCTTGGGTGGGAGGATCTCAACCCCAATATTCCTTCTTTGACCATGGTCACTTTTCTGATAGCCACTGCCAGAATGGAAATAGCTGTCAGGTGGGAAATGGGGGGAGGCCCTCACTTTACGATCTTGGTTTTACTTCGGTATGGGACATGGCACTATCTGGGAGTTTAAATCAACACAGCAATGTGATGATAAATGGGCAGGGTAAGAAGGATAATTCTGGCACTGTCGCTATGGCCACCTGCCATGGGTGTAGCCAGGATTTATTTATTTTTTGGGGGGGAATTAGGGTACGAAGATTCTCATTTTAAATACTCCTACTATACGTAGGCTATAGAAGCTGTGATATATTGCTGAGGGGGGCAGGAGAAGAGAAGGGGTAAGCAAGTCTTCAATCACCAGTCTTGTCTAGGACTCATCCAGACAGTATAGCCAGAGACATTTGGGCAAATTTTTAAAATGTTCCCCCTGAAAAAGAGGATGTGTCCTGGAAAAAGAGGACACACGGCAACGGGGGGGGGGCAGAATTGAGTTACCTGTGACACAATTGGTCAGTTAATTGTTTTTTTTTTTTTATTTACTTGATTAGGGGGGCAGTTCCCCCCGACCCCCTTGCCACACCACCTGCAACCAGGGGTGGAGTAAGGGGGCGGTGGTAGGTGTGGGGCTACCCCGGGTGTCACCACTGAGGGGGTGACAAAATGCCGGACGGCACTCAACACGGGGCCTGCAGCGTGCCCAAACCACGCATCTCTCCTGGGAGAGACACGGCGGTTTGGGCCTCAGCTGTAGGGCGACTGAGTGGGAGGAGGCAGGGAGACTCCGGAGGCTCCACGGTGCACCCCGCCCCTATGGACACCTCACCCGCCCTAAGGGCACTTCGTGTCCCAGGTGCCCGAGCGGCTGCTTCCGCCGCTGACTGTCCCTGGCAGTAATACTGGTTTTAGCCCTCTCACTGGTCAGAGCTGAAGTTGTTATTTACAACTTTAAAACGAGATACAACAAGTTTTCACTTGTGATCTCGATAGCAGGCAATTTTAAATGTTGCTTGTAGATAGATAGAGGTTGTTACGGAAATTACGGGGGGGGGGCACATCTTTAAAGTTAAATATTACAAATATTATGCCTGAATATATCCTTCCAACTTGACAGCTCAGGGAAGTCATCTAGCTTTAAAAATAATATAAAATCATCTCCTTTCCCTGTCCCCCCCATTCCAAAGCTATTTTCCCCTTGCAAAAGGACTCCAGGAAGTTATAAAAAACCCTAAAACTTAAAACTTAAATCTTATTTATACCAAATTCTTTTAACCATAACATATTCTTACATAATTCTTTTTAACATTTCTGCTAAAGCCAAATAATTTCATTCCAACATTTTTCTAATACTCATTAATTTTACGATACTTTTCTAAATAAATTTTTAAAACTTTCTTCCAATCTTCATCCATCGTCTCTTCTTCCTGGTCTCGGGTTTTCTCAGTCCTTTCTATCCCATCCATCTAGTCCATCAACCTGGTGACCTTGTATCCGAGGCTCTTAAGTCTTTTCCATGTCCCTTCCGCAGGTCTTCTTCATGTTTATACCTGTACTTTACTTTGTCTTCTGCTCCTTTCACCCGGGGAGACTCCAACTTGACAATATTTTTCTCCCTTCTCGACAAGTCAGCCCCTTTTCCATAGTCAACACTGAAATCCATGTGATATTTAAAGGCATGTTTCAAAGTCCCTCCAAAGTTAAGGGCCCCCACAACTCCGAACTCCCCCCGGCCCATAGCCAGACTTGAAAGGTCAAAACATCCCTGCATAGGGGGATCCATCCAGCCCCCCATCTCCAAGCCAAACAGAACTCCATCTCTCCAAATCTGACTTTTTCCAGGTTCATTCGTCAAATCCAACAACTCATGTTCCTGCTGGGCCACAGCTCTCTCCATCTCTGCCACCCGAGGTTCAGCAACAACCCCCTCCCTCATCTGATCTGTCAAAGCACATTCCTGGATTAATTCCTGAGTGGGTTCTATATAGGTACCCACTGCCTGTCCAAAATTTCCGATCGCAACAGTCATCAAATCCATCTTCTCATGTAACTGTTCCAATAAAGCACTTGTCTTGCAAAAAGCAAGCACCAAAACCTCCTCTGAGCACATTCTTGTTCAAGGTTGAAGTCTGGTCCCACGATCTTTAATCTCTACAGCTGCAAAGCTCCCCAGTTCGACTTTAATAACAGTTTCACAAGCTCCCTCTTGGGGAAACAATTTCTATTTGTATCCATCTTTTTTTTTTTTTAAAGCAGATCTAGCAACAAAGTTTTCCTTTTTCGGATATTTTGTCGATATTTTGTTCCTTTTAAATGCGAAAGGGAACAATGGAATCAATATGTTTCTCTTCTTTTAACTATCTGTCAAAAACGTTTGTCCATAGTCAATGAACTTCCCCAAAACGTCTGTCCTGACACCCCGCTCCCAGGTTCAAGACGGTGGAAAATTACCTTTCTTTACTCTCTCTTCTGCAGGTTTAGACAGTCTAAAAAAGAAGGTTCCCCGCTCTTCTCCTGCTTCCGAGGGGGGTTCAGTAATTTTAAATGATGAAAATTTAATCCTTTACAAACGACTTTCCAGACTCTAGCTTGTCGTGTCTTTGCTTCAATCTATCTACAAAAGCGGAAGGCGGACTTCCTGTTTAGACCTTCCCAGTGGCGTAGCATGGGTTGTCAGCACCCGGGGCAAGGCAAGTAATTTGCGCCCCCTAACCCAGTAGGGGCAGAGAGCTGCGAGTGCGAGTGCGCCACCCCCAGATGTTGTGCCCGGTGCGGCCAGCCCCCCCTGCACCCCCCACGCTACGCCACTGGACCTTCCCGCTTTCGGTACCTAATTAAGAAATTTCATAGTCCAATTTTCCGTTCTAGTCACGGGCAGTTGTTTAAAATCCAATTGTCCACAGGAAAAAGTCAGCGCTCTCTGGCAACAGCAATGCGGCTTCACTCCGTGAAAGAAGCAGCCGATTCAAAGCACCGCGCCACTCACCCCATGTCGCTCCGAATCCCCAAAACAGGGTTTCCCCGCGAGTAGGGGGGGGCACAAAGGTGCCAGCCGAATCCCACGTCCACAGGCTTCTCCTGCCTGTGGTTTTTGATGGGTCTCCGCCTCGCCGTGGCGGTTCAGACCCTGTTTTCCACGGAGCAGATTCCTCCCAATCGGAGGAAATCCGCCATTGCCAGAGGCGCCAACCCGGAAGTCAAAGGAAGCCAAATCTCATCACCTGACTCACCTCAGGCTCCAGACATGCAAAGGAACTTCTATTGTACTTTTGGGTGGTGGATTGTTGTTGTTGTTGTTTAGTCGTTTAGTCGTGTCCGACTCTTCGTGACCCCATGGACCAGAGCACGCCAGGCACTCCTGTCTTCCACTGCCTCCCGCAGTTTGGTCAAACTCATGCTGTTAGCTTTGAGAACACTGTCCAACCATCTCATCCTCTGTCGTCCCCTTCTCCTTGTGCCCCCCATCTTTCCCAACATCAGGGTCTTTTCTCTTCTCATGAGGTGGCCAAAGTATTGGAGCCTCAGCTTCATGATCTGTCCTTCCAGTGAGCACTCAGGGCTGATTTCCTTAAGAATGGATAGGTTTGATCTTCTTGCAGTCCATGGGACTCTCAAGAGTCTCCTCCAGCACCATGGGTGGTGGGTACTTAAGACATATTTGTCTATGCTAATCTTATACCTGAGTCTTGCCCTGCAATGTCTGCTTATGCTAATCTGGTACCAAGGACTTGTCTGGACATGTTTGCCAAGGTTAACCCCTCCCCTTCGAACTGTATTCTGGGATGTGGTGGGAAAGTTTTAAAAGTCTTTGTCACCCCATCCTCGGGGTTCAAAATTTGCTCTTTGAACCTATTGCGCAATAAACTTTGGTCTACAGCTATTTGCTCTGGTTGGCTGGACTCCTTCCTTTATTCCGCAGGGACCCGCGGGCTCTGCCCGACGAGCTGGGTAACTGAGCAGCCTCACACCTAGATTTTTCCTTAACAAGGTATATAGCTTTAACAGTTTCTTAGCATTTTCTTAAAGCGTTTTCTTACAGCGATAGGCTATCCATTTTGGGGGCCCTGGGGCCCCTCCCACAAGGAGAACCTCCAAAAAGGCACACTGTGGAGGAGAGTTTCCTGGCTGTCACTCAAAGAAGAATTCAAACTCAGGCTGCAGTGTCTACCAAAATCTTTAATGTTCAGATCAGTGCGATACATGGGCAAAATGTCATTAAAAGGCACAGCACGTTCTACAAATAGCCAAGCAAACAAAGACATTGATCCAGGAATGACACCTACCCTGGCTTAGGATTTAACTCCACTTAAGCCCGCACCCCCCCCCAAATTTGAGGGGGCCGGGAACCCCCTCCCCCGCAAGTTGATGGCCATTGCCATTTAATTCTGTGTGCCATGTCATGTGACTATGTAGGGCAGGGCTTACTGCCTGCCCTCCCCCCCCCCCCATATTTTATTCAAGTTGGCGACCCAGGAACCCTGTTATTAGGGAGTGGGGCCGGCACTAATTTCTCACCCATGCGCAGTGATCCTATGTTGAAAACAAACCCATTTGTATCCACTGTATTAATGCGCCAAGGGACTATTTTATGTGTCCTTATGACCAACAGGTGGTGGAAGGAGCGAGCCAGAATCTAGTGAGTGAGACTGTCCCTGGCAATAATACTGGTTTTAGCCCTCTCACTGGTCAGAGCTGAAGTTGTTATTTACAACTTTAAAAAGAGATACAACAAAAGGTGATCTCCATAGTTGGCAATTTTAAATGTTGCTTGTAGATAGATAGAGCTAAAAAGTGTTAGGAGAGGCAATTCATTTTTAATTAAAAGGAAACTGAAAGAAAATAAGAAGATCAAAGAATTAATCATAATAAAACAGGGAGAGTAAATTGTGGACAGATGCTGGACTTTGAGAAAGCCCCCAAAAGAAAGCTTAGCCAAGAAAAATTTAAACTGAAAACTCATAAAAAACCCCAAGATGAAGATTTTAAAGAGAATCAAGAAAAGCAGATGCACCTGATGACTAGATAGGCCAAGGGAAAACAAAGAAACATTGAACGTCAGGGGCGAAATCAAGTTTATTTCCCTTTCAACCAACAAGTCTTTGGATGTACAAAGGAGCAGAGGAAAGGGTAGGTGGATATGAAGCCTGCTTCAAGCCGAGTGAAGAATAATTGCAGAAAATAGAAGGCTTTTCTTTTAAAAGGCAACTGGAGAAGCCATTTCATAAAAAGAAGGCTGGCGTTTCTGTTGTTGAAGTGATTATTATGATTATTGTTATTATTTATTTAATTTCTATACCGCCCTATACCCGAAGGTCTAAGGGCGGTTCACATAAAATATCAACTGCACCAAATAAAAACAAAAAGAATGACCCAAGAACGGGTTCCCAGAGCAGAGACAGCAGGAGTCAGGCTGTCCCTGTCCAGAGAGGGGCGTAGCTGGGCCACCAGCCAAAGCTGATGGAAGGCACTGGGGGTCACTGAGTGCTTTCCCTTGTCTCTCTATCAACAGAGGTCATCGTACAGGGCGACCAAGGCCGTTTCCGTGCCAAAAGCAGGCCTAAACCCTGATTGAAATGGACCCAGAAAAGCAGCTTCTTCCATGAGCACCTGGTTCTGGTCTGCAACCACTCACTCCAGAACCTCGCTCCAGAAGTTGGAAAAACCAAGATGGGTAAGATTTTAACACAGGTAAGACTTAGAATTGAGAAGGGTAGGGGGATCCAGGGGGAAAGAAAGCTGTGCATGTGATAAAGAGCAAAGCAGAGGCGCAGAGGACTACATAGTTCCATTTAATTTCGTGTTAGCTCAGGATGCCTTGTTGACAAAAATGCCTTGCAGCCACTTTGTGATAGCTTCTTAGGGACTATAGATAAGCTCCTTCGCTAATGGGCAGAACTTCCTTTTATTTCTAATGGGGCTTCAAAGGAGTAGAATAACAAACCCTCTGGAGCAGCAGGCTTAACAGTGGTGGCATTGGGCATCTGAAGACAAATGAATTGTACTTACTGGGCAACTGCAGAAGAGGGTCACCAAAATATTGTTGAGTTTTTGTTCCTTCAGATGTGTATAAATCCAGAAGGTTCCAAACATGCCAGCATTTTGGATCCTCACCAGTAATTCTGTTCCTAAGGGTATTTAGGTATTTAGAATACCCATTTTAAAAGCTGATGCATCAAACTGCTTCCGATATCTGTAACAGTTGCCTTGCTGATTTCAATGTGAAAAAGCAAATAAGGCATTTTGAGGGTGAATCTACTGATGGCAATGGGAGAGGTGGCCTGGGGGAGGCCTTGGAGTGATTAGAGGTTTTCACCATTTTGCCGGCCATTTTTAAGCAAAAAAAGTCCAGCAAACGTTTAAGCACAAACATATTCACAATTAGGAAGGATGAGCCGTAACCATTTTTTCCTGTACATAAAGGGCAGAAAATGTTGTCTGCTAATGGGAAGGCTGAAATGACTGAGAAAATATCTGAAATCTTATGAATCCCGACTGGCCATTTTTACTCATACATAAGGGGGTGGCTGATTGTTCCACTAATGACCAGAGCAGGGCCACACAAAATCATAATAACCCACATTTGTGAAACTTTTTGGAATAGAGGTCTGTACCCTTCAATCCTGTAGATAAAGGAGGCATGTAGCTCCCAATTCTCTTTGCCTGGGGTACATGTATAATTGTTGAATGCAGGGAACATGATCCATAAATGCTGAGACTTTATTCAAAATTTAATTTGACCCAAATGGTATTACTGGCTTTTTGGTGAAAACTTGCATGATAGGGTTGACAGTTGCTGGTTTTCCAACAAATACTAAAATTTGGATCCTCGCCAGTTCTTCTGTTCCAAAGGTAATATATTTAAAAACCTGGTGTAGCAAACTGCTTCCTTTGCCTGAAACCTCTCACTTGGTTACCTTAGAATTCTCAGAGGTGGCGATAGGCACTAATAACTAACAAGTAATCTCTAAATGCTCTATCGGAATCATAGCAGCAATAAAGTTGTGTGTCTTCTGGCTGAAGGTGAGTATCTTGTGCTTGGCTGAGGGGAAAATCTCTATTGTGTTCTGCCTGCAACTCTTTGTACAAAGATTCTTTCAGGTCGCAGTGAAGGGGACCATTCAAGCACCCTGAGCCTGTTGGAGAAAAGGTAGGCTCTAAATGAAATCATACATCAAATATGCAAACTAAATCTTCCAAAGAGCTTGTATTTAGCAATGTTGGTTATTCAATCCCTTTTTCAGAAGAGCTGCGAACTCGAAAGCCGAATGCAGTCGCTCTCCGTACTTCTACCTGGAGGGACTTCTCTTGTCGGGACACCACTGCAGGGGAGGCCCTTTCCTGTGCCATCACCACACAATAAGGTACATCTTTGGGCGGGACAGCCAGCCTTGTTTCGTTCCAGATCTTTTTTTACAGACCTCACAGAGCTATCTGTGCCGGAAGCAGATCTGCTCCATTGACAAGTAAGAGGCAGTTTCAGAGCTCTTGATCCATCAAGTGAACATCTGCAGTGCAGGATTGAGAGACGCCTGCGTCTTGACTGCGCTGCTTTAGGTAACTGGCTGTTTTTGCTCCTGTGTCTGGAGGGGAGGGCTGCTGAAGACCCTAGTCTCTTCCAGGTGCATCTCAGTGACGCAAGAAATAGAATTTTGCAAGCCTTCAGGAAATTTAACGGCAAGTGAACTTCACACTCCACATTTTAGTGATCTTTTTCAGTACAATCCTTTTGTGCTGGCTTCTCCATTTCCCCCTGCTTGATCTGTTCACAGTTCTGTCCCAGAGCCCACCACACTCAGGGGAAGCCAGCTCTTCCTGCAGAAGTCAGGTCAGTAAGAACAGCTGGGTTCCAAAAACATTTCTCTGGAATTGGCGGGAAAGGGCCAGGGACAAACTAATGAGTCCAGATTGCTTTTCACAGACCGGCAGAAGGAACTTCCAGGCCCATGAATTCACACTTCAGAGGAACAAACAAAAACGTGAGCATAAAGGCAGAGTTTGAAGACTGGAACCAGTCTCTCTGTTCTGCCCTGCAAATTAATGGCAGTCAACATGGCACTCTGTGACGTAAACACATCTAGGTGAATATCCCTTGCTCATGGCAAGGGATAAAACCTCGATTGTGTTCTGTCTGCAACTTCATAATTCTTAAGGGTTTTCTTTTTTCCTGAGAGAACATTCTGTATTCAGAGTGTCCTCTCAGGTTTTGCTTTTCACCTTGTTGCATTGGCCAAAAAAAAGCAAAAGACGCTGGTGGTTGGCGCTCCTGGTTTCCAGGACGGGGTTCAAGCCCCTGCGGTGTCCCTGCTTACTTCCAATGCAACCTCTCTCTCTCTCTCTCTCTCTCTCTCTCTCTCTCTCTCTCTCTCTCTCCCCCTTAAGGACTAAATGAAGCAAAGTGCTCCTCTGATGCGTCACTGGTGTGTGTCTAAGACAAGGTGGATGACATGGATGCTTCCCAGTCTAGCACACCAAGCCATAGGGAACAAAATACTTCTTTTATATATAAATATAAAAGACCGTCTCTTAATTTTTCATTGTTTGTTTAGGAAGTAACCTACATATACAAACAAACGGATCCTATTTAGATTATGCAGAATGTGGAAAAGGCTGGGATAAAAGAGGAAATGGCATGACATTCACTCATTAGCAGAAGCAGAAGAGCAAATATAAGATGCTCAGGTGTCCAATTTTCAGAAGACAGTTCTCAATTTTCAGGGCTATCAGAGGCTTAAGATGTGGACAGGTGACAGTCCTCTGTATGAAGGTGTCCTCTATTTGAATGGCCGGGCATTCCAGGTCTGGCTGAAAGATACAGAAGGAAGAGCAGCTAAGTCATACTCGGAGTCACTGAAATCAATGGTTCTAGTGACTATGACTTAGTAGGAGATAAACCACTAATATTTTTACATGTGCATCTACACACAGCGTATGCAAATTAGTGTCCATTCCTTTGGCCAAGTGTCAATGGCCACTCTAAGCAAAGACGTGTCCTATTTCTGCAATCGGGGTTATCTAGGGATGCAACATTGTATGTTCAGTCAGGCCCTTTTGTTTTCTCCTGATCAGGAGGAATGCAGTTTGACCCTAAGTAAGTTTACTTTGAAGGAAGTCTGAGTGCTTCCTCAGACTTACTCCCTAGTAAGTGCACGTTGGGATAGGGCTATAGCTCTGTTTCAGAGTGCATGCTTTGTATGCAGGAGGTGGGGTCCCAGGCATTTCCAGATAGGGCTGCTAAGAAAGATCCTTCCAGAGCTACTGCAAGTCAGGGATACCCAGGCATTAGAAGAACTATCCACCCAGATCTTCAGGAAGGCCAGAATTGCATTTTGCAATGTTTTCCACTATGTAGTTTGTGGAAATTTCTTTCTTTCTTCAGGGCGGTATGTTGCTGAAGGTAACGGCACACCTTCCTCTGCAGTGAGAATTCCTACAAACACACCACTCACACTGTATATTGGGGAATGGGAGCACCAATGACTCACACTTCCTCTTCCAATTATTTTAGTGTGTGTAATTCCCCTTTGAGAAAATTCCAGTATTACTGTATTAGAATGAAGCGCATGGGACACTAAATGTGACACTCATTTGGTACCAATGTTCTGGGCCTGGTTACATGCCACAGAAGTGCTCTGGCCTGGCTGTGTCAGAGCTCCGCAGTCAAAAACCAGGGACTAGAAGCTCTCCCAGAAATAGTAAACATAGAATACAAAAGTGACCTTGAATAAGAGAGAGTGTCTCTTGTTGGAAAGGCAGGCAGTGTGGGCATGTGTTTGTGTGTGTGATTTTCTTGTACATTTTATGCTCCTTATCGCTACCCCCAACATCAGTGAGCTGAGGATCCCTTTCCCATCATCATCATTGGCCCAGATTGCGCTGGGCTCCCTGGCCCCTGACCCTCAGCCCCGCAAAGAAGGGATCAGCAAGGAACTGGATGTGACGGAGGACATCTTGCATGTGTGAGTATTGGCCAGGTGCCCCCTTCTGCAAGAGGCAAGGTGTGTTGGCAATCGGGGCACATTTTGGGCTCTGAGTCCAGCCTGCTGGAAGGTCTCCTGCACAAGCATGGGGCCTCCAGAGTCTGCCTGCCTCCTCCCACTCAGTCGCCCTACAGCTGGGGGGGAGGCAGTGGGTGGACGCTTTGGACGGCACAGAGCCTTGGGCATGCTGCAGGCCCTGTGCTGAGTGCTGCTCGATAATTTGCCCCCCCCCAGTGGTGACATCTGTGGCAGCCCCATACCTAGCGCACCCCCTTTCCTCCACCCCTGGCTGCAGGTGGGGTGGCCGGGGGTTCGGGGGGGGGGACTGCCGCCCCAATCAAGTAAATAAATAAAAAAACTTAACTGACCAATTGTGTCGCAGGTAACTCAATTCTGCCCCCTCCCCTGGTTGCCATTTGTCCTCTTTTTCCAGGACACATCCTCTTTTTCATGGGTAACATTTTAAAAATTTGCCCAAATGTTTCTGGCTATACTTTCTGGTTGAGTCCCAGACAAGACTGGTGATTGAAGACTTGCTTACCCCTTCTCTTCCCCTGCCCCCCTGAGCAATATATCACGGCTTCTATAGCCTACATATAGTAGGAGTATTTCAAATGAGAATCTTCATAGCGTCATCTTTTTTGCTCTTCAAAATATGGCAACCCTAATTCCCCCCCACAAAATAAATAAATCCTGGCTACACCCATGGCAGGTGGTCATAGCGACAGTGCCAATTTGTTGATATAATCAATGAACAATTACCATGAACTTAGAAATTTATCCTTCTTACCCTGCCCATTTATCAACTCATTGCTGTGTTGATTTAAACTCCCAGATAGTGCCATGTCCCATACCTGGGTAAAGCCAAGACCGTAAAGTGAGGGCCTCCCCCCATTTCCCACCTGACAGCTATTTCCATTCTGGCAGTGGCTGTCAAAAAAGAGACCATGATCAAAGATGGAATATTGGGGTGTTTTTATCCCCGCCCCCCACCAAGAACCAAAAAATGTGAGCCACGGATCCCTGTTTATAACCAATTACGATGGAGATTTATTTATTTGTTTGTTTATTTAGCTAGCTCGCTAGCCAAAATGGTACACAAGTGTTTTTACACCATTTGTTCCCTACTGGGATGGGGCTTTGCAAATGCAATAGAGAGACAAGTAACCAGCCCCCCCCCCCTTCTTGGCAGGCCCGTTCACACAACATGTGCATGGTTGGTCCTTAATGCAGGAGCCGGGAAGCTGTGACCCTCCAGACGCTGGAAGCCAACTCTCATCATCAGCCCCAGGCAGCAGGGATGAGGGAAGCTGTAGGCCAACAGCAACAACTCACACCTCAGAATACTGTGCTTTTGTTCCCACAATGTTTGTCACTAGACACTGTAACATGAGAGGATGAATTGCTTGTGTGAATCAGCTGTCTGGGGTTTAAGTTCATATATGAGACCTGCTAAAACAAAGGAAAGACTGTAATTCTGTGAGCAGGGTCTGCATTGTTTTAGAAAATGTTAAAGAGAAAACATTAGACACTTTATAATGAAAATAAAAACCCTCTCCATAATTTCGCTTCTCTGCATTTACCTGTTGAATGTGCGAACTGATTTCATTGAGGGGGAACAATATTGCATTTGAGGCGTGGTAAAAGTCCATTCACAGGTGAAACTTATTGCTGGGCATTTCAGTGATCTGGTGATGAATATTTGTGTGTGTACCAAAAGACGCTGGTGGTTGGCGCTCCTAGTTTCCAGGATGGCGTTCAAGCCTGATGCGCAGTGTAGATTAATAATGCAGAGTTTTTAAGTGAAAGAATAAGAGCTTTACTGAGTTAAAATAAACTTCTTCATAAACAACATGCTTTCAAACAGTTTGACTGAGATTGTAGCCTTATGAGGCTTTGCCCTCGGGTGGGAAAAATATTGCGCCCGGGAAAGGGAAGTGCGAGTCAACAGACACTCAAAGAATAGTTTCGGAGAAAAAGCTTTTATTTCTACCATCCATGAACTGGTAGAAGGAGCAAGTGTGATAGTTCACAAAAAGCATGCACGAGTTCACAGTCATTTGCACAGAGTATATGTTTCCCTTCCAGTTCCCTCCCCCTTTCTCCTCCTTCTTCCAGAGTCCTGCCCATGAGTTCCTCTGAGCATGAACAGAAAGCTGTCTTGGGACTCTTGGCACCCTTCCCAGGAAAAGGGGAATGAAAGCGGTTCAGCATGTCCAAAGATGTTGCAACTAGAACGAGATAAGATTCGTTTCTCAGGCCTGCTTTGAACAGAGCCTCTACCAGGGGTCTGCAACCTTTAAGACAAAAAGAGCCACTTGGACCCGTTTCCGAAGAAAAAAAAAAACTGGGAGCTGCAAAACTCGTCATTATAAAAATAACTTTTTTGTCACTTTTTAAATTATTTCTTTGTTTGACCCCTCAGAATTACTCCTCCTCATAGAAATAAACGTTAAATTAACAAGTTACCTTTGTGTGTGTGTGTGTTCTTCACTCCCCTTCAAAACAGTGACCAGCGTACATGCCCCCTTTCAATGCAGTGACCAGCGTACATGCCCCTTACAATGTGGCGGGCGGGCGGGAAGGTGACGTCGGGACGGTGCGTGACTAACGCACGCACCGCCCCCATGCGACGTCACAGCCAGTACAGCGCCCGCCACAGTGGGGAGTGTCGGGGCGCACAATGCGCCTCCTCCCCTCGCTAGTATCCGCCCCGGAGCCGGGGCAAAGGTGTAAAAGAGCCACGTGTGGCTCCGGAGCCGCGGGTTGCAGACCCCTGGCCTATTCATTAGCTTTTTGAAGCCTTCTCGTGCTGATAAAAGAATAACATTTTGCCTTTGGAACAGCACCGTGTGAGAATCCACAGAAAAGCTGTAGCTGTGGATTTTTAGAAGACAAAAGGAATTTTGGACAGTTTTGAGGCCTGGTGTGATTATTGAAGCCTGGGGTGATTTCACAGACAGGATTTGGGTATCCTGTCCCTTCAAGATTACATACTGACTCTGCTCACAACTGAGGAGGACAGACTCTGACTGAAATCTTACAGAGAGCAGAGAGAGAAAATGGCTGCTCTTATAAGGGGAATGAGTCACATGCCAGAGTTAGGCCTGAATAACGTGACTAGGCCCAAATGATTGTGCAGTCCCAGCATTTCCCAGCCTGCTGTGCTGCTTCTGCTCTCATGTGTCTTTGGCACACGACTAAGCCCCTGCCATGTCCCTGCTTACTTCCAATGCAACCTCTCTCTCTCTCTCTCTCTCTCCCCCCAAGAACCAAATCAAGTAAGGTGCTCCTGTGATGCATCACTGGTTTGTGTCTACGACAAGGTGGATTACATGGATGCTTCCCATCCTAGCACTCCTTGCCATAGGGAACAAAATACTTACTTCTTTTATATATAAATATAAAAAGACTGTCTCTTCATTTTGCATTGTTTGTTTAGGAAGTAACCTAAATATACAGACAAACAGGTCCTATTTAATTTAATAAGACATCTGCAATGCATTTTGGCTGCTGTCAGCAGAGGAACGCTTTCCAAAGTTAGATAGATTGCTTCTCCCTCTAAATATCTAATGTATATAGGTGGTATTGAAGGGGGGCATATTACAATATATAATTGTATTGTTATTATCCCAAAAGGGGAGGTTTTTGCACCAACCAGAGAGTAAAATGGGCCTCTCTTCGGAATGTCTAACTTAAGGCAGTAAAGAGAAGAGCAAGGTTGAATGGGCCCCAGTCGGGGGGAGACGGAAGACAAGGAGAAGGGTAAGGCAGGAGACAAAGCCCCATTTTATTGCTACTAGCATAAATCACGTTTTACATTTGAACACGTGTCGAGGTTCATGGCGTGGAGAGGCTGGTGCAGGAAGGAAGGGGGGGGCAAGCCCATGTAAGGACATAGGAAGTTGCCATAACTTTCGATTTCCCAGAAATCAGGTGGTTTACAAGAAATCAGGTGACTTACAAGAGATCAGGTGGCATTCTATTCTGCAAATCTATAAAAGGGGGGCGCACCCTGACTGGGGTGTACAGATTGCAAACTTATTGCTCTGTACCTTTGTTCTGCATATACACTTCAAATAAAATCCTGTTAATAACCTGCAAGGACGTTTTGCCGCTTTGTGTGAATCTGTGCTTCAGGGACCCAATAGCAGATGTTGTTGGTCCTTCAGTATGACTTCAGACGTGACTTCCATGCCATCATAGAGCCAAATGCACTGGGAATGACAAATTATAACTGGACCTTACTGGCTTTGCTTCTCTACAGTTTATTAAATCTCTCCTTGATTAAAATGTGACAGGGCTGCTGAGAGTGTGCAGCAATCAAAGATGCTTTGCGGACAGCCTCCAGCCTATAGGTAAACACCACTTGTGCCATCCGTTCTCAAGGAACTATAGAAATCAGGGCTGCTTAAATCTTTCATCAGCCTTGTAGCAGATTAATAAACTAAAGCACTAGTTGAACAATAGCTGGGAGCATGATTTTAACTGGAGGAGGCAAATTTCAACTGCTGAGATGGGAGGGCAGATTATTTATTTTTTGACGCCATTTTGGCTTTGTTGTGGCCTTTGTGCAAAGAGGTACTTTCTGCAAAGAGCCTATCTCTAAAACATACATGGGAACTTGAGCACTGATCTTCACCTAGGATCCTAAGCACCTCATTTTGGCACTGGATGTAAACACACACCAACCACAGGTGGTGCCAGGACAGAGCCCTTCCCATGGGGGAAGGGAGGGGGAGAAACGCAGGCTGCAATGCCAGGGTGGGAAACTGCTCTGAGTCTGGCACCATGGACCCAAAAGTGGCCAGGCCATTTTTTGACAGGTAGCTGAGTCCACCCACTGCCCACCTGTCAATCACCTGTTTCAGCCTGCATTGATTGGCTCTCTCTGTGTTATGTGAATACCAGCACCAGCACCATGCCTGATGGGTGGGCACTGGTGATGTTTCAAGGGTCCCTGAGGATGTGTCTCCAGTTTCTATGACACTTGGGGGCTTTTCTAAGTAACGTTTTTTCTCCTAGCTTCCTGAGCTGCTCTTGAGTGTGTACTGGATCAAGTGGCCATTCCAGGTGCAGTGGGAAAGTATCCCTCACCTCCCCACTCCTAACCCCCCAGTGCAAAGTAACTCGAGAGCAGTATAGGATGGTTTGCTAAGTTACCTTATTTTCCTCAGTGCCTCAAAGGGACAGTAATACTGAGATTTCAGCAATATGCATATCAAAGAAATGTAGATTAATGTTTTAAAAGGCAGACAACTACCCAACTAAGAAATCTCCAAGGGTTTGATAACTAACAAAAATGGCAACATCGTTAGATAATATCACCATGCTTGTTTGTTTGCTGTAGACCTGCTACCTGGCGTGCCCACCCCACCCCTCAAGAATTAATATCTAACTTCCTCACATAAAGGGCACTCTGACCTGACTCTGCTTTCCTATAGTTCTAGGAGACCTGAAAGGCTTTGCAGATACAGATGTACCTTTGCTCTTGTTTGCCAGATTTTCAGAGGAAATGGTGGTTGGTTTTTTTCTTTTCTTTTCATTTAATGCTTTGTCCCTGGAGGGAGTTTTTGTTCACTGAATATTACCAACATGGCCTTTTGGTAACCTAATTAGCAGTATCTGCATTCAGCTAACTTCCTGCTTCATTGTTTTCAAATGCACCAGATATCTGCCTAACAATGCAACATTGATTTCTCTTCTTTTCTTCGCCTCCCCATCTTCCTTCTGAACATCAATACAGGATGAAGAGTGATTGAAGATCTGAAAGATCACACCCAGCATTTTAAATTCTGTAGGGGACCATCACACAGTATCCAGTATTTCAGGGATGAAAATGAGACACCCTTTTGTTGTTGCAATAAGTCCCCCCCCCAAAAAAAACCCCCTTCACTGTCTGAGCACCCCATTGCCAAAGATTGGACACAGCTTTTCATTAAAAAAAATTCAAGACTGCTTGCACTTCCCTCCCGCTTTCTTCCCGCCTAGGGCAGCCTTGTCCTCTGCCTGCCCCTCAGAGCCGGCTTGTCCTGTGGGGCTGGGCTTTGGTGGCTACGGCCTCCTTGCCTGCTCTCCAGCAGCCACTGCAAGCTGCCCAAGGGAGGAGGCCAGCAGGGGCGGAGGGGCCACAGGATGCTCCCTCACAGCTGTCACTGCCACCACCGCCATTGCTTGAGCTCAGCCTCCTCCCTGAGCTCAGCAGCGACAACACTGGCAGGGGAAACAGCAACATTCTGGGATCAGGTCAGAAGCCAGGATGGCTTTTGTAATTTCGGGGCTGTCCCTGGAAAATAGGGACACTTGGAGGGAAGGCTACTGCATTGGGCTGTTGCTTGTTCTAGGCCAGCCCCTCGCACACCTGATGAGGGCTGCTTCACACGCAGGTGGTGCGTTCTTCTTCACTTGTTGGTTGCCTGCCTGTAGCAAGTGGTGTTTGAGGACTTGTTTATAGGGTGACAAAGAAATAAATGCTTCCAAGGAATGAACGACTGCCCTGCATGGACAAACATGCATGGCACAGATGCCTTGCCACAGACAAAACGATAACACCACCTGGTGCCAACCCAACCTGATGCCTGTGATTTCCCCTCCACAAGATGTGGAGCCTCATCTTGCATTCAGCTGAGAGACATCAAGCGGCGCGAATCCGCCTGAATGAACTGAGCTGCGGTCACTGCCTGCTTCTGGCAGGAGATACTCCGTCTCGGCTGTTTGGGGGCCCGGGGGGGGGTAAAGAGTTATCAAGGACACCCATGTGAACGACCACCGGGCGGAAAGCACGTTTTGGTGGCCTTGTTCTGAGAGCTCGAACCTATGCAACCTTCCTTGGCCTGAGCACTAAGAAGAATAGTCCGCGTGTTGCACGAGGGAGGGAGGGGAGTCACCAGGATCACCCCGCGGAATTACTCGCCCCCCGCCCGCTTTTCTTAATGTGCAAAAACCCGGATTCCCACTAGATGGCAGCAGACAGCAGCACAAATGGGCCGAGAAAGGGCGTGGTGATGCTGAATTCCCAGCAAGGCTGGTGATGGGCGAGGAAGGGGGGGGGGAGTTCATCTTTCCTTCCTACCCACCTCTTTCATATCACCAGCGCCCTCCTCTGCGTCTCTCGTCCGTCCCGCTGCTTCCTAAAGCTCGTTTACAAAGAATGAAATAATTCAATCTGCGAGCAGCTGAGAGAGAGATGGAGAGGGCGAGCAGGAGCTGAGGGAGATTTGCAAATCTAGGGGAGAAGCAAGGGAGAGACAGAAAAGGGAGGGGGAAGAAAGAAGGCACCGGTGCAGTGTGGGCGGAATTGGGCGCGGAGGATCGCGGGGTTGTTATGAGATGCTGCAGCCAACGCTAGTGGCGCCTGGTGCCTCCTGGGGTGGCGTGGCGGGAGGCCAACAGTAGGTGGCGCCAGAGACAATGGCAGGCAGAGCCAACTCGTTCTAGCTTTGCCCCCACTGTCCTGCCTACTGAGTAAAGGTAAAAGGACCCCTGACCATTAGGTCCAGTCGCGGACGACTCTGGGTTTGCGGCGCTCATCTAGCTTCACTGGCCGAGGGAGCCGGTGTACAGCTTCCGGGTCATGTGGCCAGCATGACTAAGCCACTTCTGGCGAACCAGAGCAGCGCACGGAAACGCCGTTTACCTTCCCGCCAGAGTGGTACCTATTTATCTACTTGCACTTTGACGTGCTTTCGAACTGCTAGGTTGGCAGGAGCTGGGACCGAGCAACAGGAGCTCACCCCGTTGCGGGGATTCGAACCGCCAACCTTCTGATAGGCAAGTCCTAGGCTCCGTGGTTTAACCAACAGCGCCACCCGCGTCCCTACTGAGTACTGCAAGGGAAATCTTGAGATGGAGGAGGAAAGTGGTCCACTGGTGTGGGCTGACCCCACACATACAAAATGCAAAAACACAGGCGGGGAGCGCAGAGCTGATGCAGGGATGACTGGAGGGCCAAGGACTGCTCCCTCCTGCCGCCTCCTCCAGCATCTTTCCCTGTTTGCTGCCGCCTTGACTAGCATTGGGGCAGGCTGAGAAAACGTGCACGTGGTTTCCCCAACCCAAGTCCCAGGATATTACATCCATAGGGTTTGGGGTAATAGGGGGCCACTGTGTGCTCCCTCTGCCCCAGTCATGAGGCCTTCCCTTTCCTACAATTACTTCTGGAAGGGCAGCAATGAGGGTGTAAGCATAGAACACTGTAAAAACATGTGTTTCAAAGAACACCTATCCCTTCTGCCTGCCATGCCATGTGGTTGGGAGAAGCAGAATTCATTTTCACCTAAGGCAGCAGTACAGCTTAGCTGACCCAGCCCTGGAATGGACTCTGTAGCCACATGCAAGGGATGGATTAAGGACTCGCTCCACCAGGCAAGTGGTCCAATTTCAGTTTCCCCACAATCTACCGTACATATAGCAGTCACTCTGCCCCAGCCCAATGCAAGACCTCGAAGAAAACTATACACTACTGCTGAGTGGAAGGTGTTAGGTTGTATTTATTTTTACCAGTGTTCAAATTTATAATATGCTGCTCTACATAATTTTCACAAGGCAGCTCTCAGCTCAGATATGAACAGCCATGCATTTAAATTACAAAGATAATATAATTTAAATATTTCCTTTTCAATGAGGGGGAAACAGAGAGAGAGAATAACTACATTGTGCCCTGTCTCATCGTATATTGTCTAGATGGGGGTAAGTGTGGGAATGGTTCCTTTGTGAAAAGGAGGAGGGTTTGCTACTCACCTCCCAAATCCAGTATCTCTGGGCACCACGTATTTTGCTGTGCTGCTGCTCAGGGGATGCAGACCAGACTTGCAACTGCTTCAGGGGTTGCCTGCTTCTCTCCTCTTGAGTCAGTGCAGCTGCAGCCAGAGCTGGGAGGCACTGGAAATCTCTGGGACTTTTCTAAGCAATTGGACCTGTCAGGTTGGATTAGCTGCTGACACTGGCCAGGCTGATGCACCCACAAGGCAGACAGAGAGAGACCCAGCTGGGCAGAGTCACTCCCCATCAGCCGAAGACAGCTTGTCCCAGGATTGGAGTTGGCATGCTGTAAAATACCATGCCAAGCCGTAGCTGGAAGACAGCAGTCGCCCTCCTAGGCTGTGGGGGCACGGCGGAGGTTTCCTGGGGTAGAGTCGCACAGCAACAGACATGCGTTGTGTCATGTGTCATGTAGCAGAACCTGTGTGAACTGAATGGTGATAGTCCTCATGAGGACAGGTGAGTTTCCAGGGTGATGGAGCCCACATGCCGGATGGGGGTGCTTTTCCCTCTCGGGACTAATTCTGCCATCCCTGGTTATATTTCTAAGGATTGGGCTGCACCTGATCAGGAAATGTGGGTGTAAGTCAGATATGCTTCCCAGCACAGATTTCGGGTTTAGAAAAGTGCAAAGTCCTTCCTATTTTTTTGTGTGGTAACATGCCTCAAACCATTAGAAAATGATACAAAAACAACAAAACACAGTAAAGCATGCAGCCTGTTGTATGTGTCTGAATAAGCCTGCACAAACAAATGTTTTCAGCTGACTATTAAAGGAAATACACTGATGGCACCTGCCTGGTGCCAGTGCTTCCCTTGAGGTCATGGTGTTAACACCAGGCAGTTGGATAAGACTTCTGTGAAACACATGTTTTTACAATATTCTATGCTTACTAAGTTTTGGGGGAAAGCATTGGATTGGATAAACATGACTGTGTGGAAAAAGGTAAAATTTTCAGAGGAAAGTGTTCTTTTTGAATTACGTACCTACTGTATGGAATTTGACAACTGGACAATGTAAATGGATTCTCCGTGCCCTTACTACGGCCAAAGGACTGATATGGATGCACTGGAAAGATAAATCTAGGGCCCCTTCAGCCAATGAATTGACATTGTGACAACACTTGCAAGTTATGAATGGATTGCTTATGTGTATGGACAATATTTGGAACACATTTATAAAAAATATAGTAGGTTATAAATATCAATATATGTATTTGGATAATAACAACGTTTATATACCTGTACTGCACCTAATATTCTAGAAAAAAAGCACTGCCTATGTGCTAGACAAGCATACAGTGGTACCTCGCAAGACGAATGCCTCGCAAGACAAAAAACTCGCTAGACGAAAGGGTTTTTTGTTTTTTGAGCTGCTTCGCAAGACGATTTTCCCTATGGGCTTGCTTCACAAGACGGAAACGTCTTGCAAGTTTGATTCCTTTTTCTTAACACCGTTAATACAGTTGCGACTTGACTTCGAGGAGCAACTCATAGAACGCGGTGTGGTAGCCTTTTTTGAGGTTTTTAAAGACTTTGGTGATTTTTGAAGCTTTTCCAAAACTTTCCCGACACCGTGCTTCGCAAGACGAAAAAAATCGCAAGACGACAAAACTCGCGGAACGAATTAATTTCGTCTTGCGAGGCACCACTGTATATGGAATTGTAGTTGTTTGCATTTATAGTGATATAATATACATTTCCTCCTTTCCCCCCTCTTTATGCACTTTTTATTTTTATTTAATTTTGTTCAATTGGAATAAAAAGCAAATTTAAAAAAATCAGGCAATTGACAGGTGAGCAACTCTACCTACTTGTCAAAGTGGTCCATGTGGTGGAGGGCATCAGGATCTGGCCCACTGGCCAGATCAGCCCCTCCCCGACTCATAGCAGGATAGTCAGTGGCCACTTATCTTTGCTTTTCATTCTGCTTTTATGATAGTGAATAGTGCCCACTTACTCCTTCTCTGAGATAACGCGGCATGACCCATCCGCCTGTGTAGGCTACGATCATGCTGCTGTATGTCAACGGAACAATCTAGCTGTTTTCCACTGAAACCACTTCACACAGGCTTTCCAGTGTGGTTGTCGTGCTATGTTCACCACCTGAAAAGGTTGGCTGACTACGCATGATTATTTTTATCAGTACATGCACACTTAAAGGCCTTTGCTTCAAATGTCTCTTCAGACACATTTTCACTCAGTACTTCCATGCAACACACTGTTTGCTCAAAAGAACATTAATGGTACCTGGCTAGGTTGCTGTATGGAATATGCTGTTGGCATACCTGCAGCGGTAGAGGAAGCTGCTCGGGCGGCGTGCCCAGGGGCGGGGCAGGGTGAGGGTGGGACCTCCGGAGTCTGCCTGCCTCCTCCCACTCCGTTGCCCTACAGTTGGGGGGAGGCAGCAGGTGGATAGTTTGGGCAGGAGAGACACGTGGCTCAGGCATGTTGCAGGCCCCGCAATGAGTGCTGCCCAGCATTTTGTCACCCCCCCTCAGTGGTGACACCCGGGGCGGATCGCACCCACTGCATCCCCTTCCTCTGCCCCTGCATACCTGCAGAGGAAGAGCACTTTAGATATGCTATAAAGTACCTACATGCAGTGGTGTTGCGCCCTTTATTGGTGCCTGGGGTGCACATGTGTGTGTGCACCAGACAAGCAGGGAGTGAACGAAACCTGCCACGCCAGCCAAACCCTCACTGCTGCCAGGCTCACGGGGCTGTGGTGTTTCGCCTGGCCAGCTGCCGTTGCCCTTGGTGGCTGGGGGCATGGTGGCAAGGCCAGGCTCCAGGGCCAAGAGACCCCCAGTGATGGGCAGGGCAGGGATTCCTGCATGGGGGCGCCTGGCTCACACCACCGCAAAACCGGGTACCCGGGGCTATGGCTCCCATAGCCCTCCGCACTCTACACCTCTGCTTACATTGTGACAGAATGATGGAGGATGTTTAAGCTTCTCAGTCTTGGGAATCTCTCTCTCTCTCTCTCTCTCTCTCTCTCTCTCTCTCTCTTTGTGTTTTAATTTAGAGAGCTAGACCACATGCAGCAAATTCATGGTAACAATGAAGGCTGCTGCACAAGCAGTGTAGACATGACAGTTGCAGCAACAGGCAAAGTAGAAGAGGTCATTTTATCAGTACCAATAAGATCCAACCCATCTTGGTCACTGAAGAAATGCTGCCATCTTGTGGGATGCTTCAGAGATTTGGTGCACCTGCAGTACAGCAATAGCTTCCTCAATCTTAGAGTGGAGGGATTCAGGTGACTCCAGCATCAGCAGCAACTCAGAGTTATCTGTCTCCAGCAGCATACCTGAGATCTTCCCAGCCATGGAGGGGTGTAATGAGTGAATCAGAGGGTAGAGATGTTCACCAAGCCTTTGCTTCTGCTCCTGAGGAGGGGCTGCAGCCAACATGGATGTTATCAGGGGCTCCTGTCCATGGACACAGACAGCTGCTTCTACAGCCTGATGCATTGGTAGAGGTGCCATGATGGTGTCCAGGGGCTGGACATTCCTCACAGCTGAAGTGTACTTGTACTGGGGAACACCATGAGAGAGGGCTGTTGAGGAGGATGCCCTAGTGCTGATAGTCTGGCTTCCTATGTTGGCCACTCTCTGGGCATTGGGAGATACCCTGGGAGCTTGAGTGGAAGCTTGTCTCATGGTGCTTCACCCCCCCCATTGTTTCATTCAGAGGGTTGCAAGTCAAGGTGCAGATTCACAACTCACTGGAATGTGTTTGCTTGGAAGGACAAGTGTTTGCATAGCTTTATCCTGTGGTATACAAAGCAGCATATAGGAAGAAGATAACCTTGGCCAATGCATTCCCCTAAACGACCATTTAGAAACAGTGCTGATTTTTTTATGGGTGTGAAGATGGAAGTGTCTGGGCTGAGGTGGGCAGTTCAGCAGGATGCCTCCTGTGCCAATACATTTCAGTGGGATTTATTGGGCATTGGGAAGGGCACTTCTTTTCTGTATGGCCATTTGGAGATGGTCCTTGAAAACACTTTGAAAGCAACAAACCACCTTTGGTTTAATCATCATTTCCTCTAATAGCAAACTTAGCTGCTTGAGTGCCAATAGCATTGCAGCCAAAATTGGACCTCTGGGAAACAAGAGGAAGGGATTGCCATGCTTAGATGAACCCCAAGGCTTGCAGAACAACAAAGCATTAAAAAACACTCCCTGTATGGGACCCTTTCAACATCCCCAAGAAGGGCTAGCCGGACCCTGAACAGGTGTAAGGATACACTGCAACATTTTGTAGTTCATAGAATCATTAGGCATGCCATTGTATTCCCACTGGCCTTTGGATAGTGTTCTCGAAGCTACCAGCATGAGTTTGACCAAACTGCGTGAGGCAGTGGAAGACCGGAGTGCTTGGCGTGCTCTGGTCCAGGGGGTCACGAAGAGTCGGACACGACTAAACGACTAAACAACAACAACAATGTGTGAGGCTATAAAATGCCTGCAACAGAGATGGGGAACCTCTGGGCCCTCAAACATTCCTGGGAGTCTCAACAACCATCAGCCTCATCCAGGATGGCCAGTGGTCAGGGATGATGAGGGCTGGAAGCCAACAACATCTTGAGGGTCACAGATTCCCCATCCCTGGTTTATTAGTGCAGTTAGAAGTCATATAATAAATGGAAAACAACAACAATATTAATGATAATCATAATCCTAATCGAATGGATTTGGTCACACAGAGCATATAGCTGTCTATTGTTTTACATGGCTGCAAAGAGATCTCGTTAGACAATTTTTCAGCAACCTGGTGCCTTCCAGACAGTCTGTGAGTGCTAACTGGGACTGGTGGAAGCTGTAATTGAAAATGTCTGGAAGTGGAAGGCACCAGGGCTGCTGAAGGAGAAGCATGGACAGCTGCTGCTAGGAATTGTTTTTGAATGCTGATGTTGTTCATTGCTCCATGCAGATTTAAAGTGAAAAGGTAATTAATAAATATGGTGAAGGCTACACACACACACACTATAGCTTTAAAGCTATTCTTTCCCTCAAAGAATTAAGCCTGGTTCCTCTTGACCCGTGTCTCAGCTCAGTACACTAGAGGCAAAACCACCCCAAGGAACAGCGGGAAGCATCTGTCATGGGCCTCAGAATTGCCTTGTTTTACACTTTTTACCTGCCTTTTTTACTAGGTCAGACTGTTTGGACATGTGCACACTAATCCTTTACATCATACTTATTCCGTCAAAGACTTACGGGCTCTGTGGTTTGCCCGCTCATAGAGATACAGTTCCCAGCAACTCTTCATAAACTGCAGTGCCCAGGAGTCTTTGAGGGGAAGAATATGCTCCGAATGTGCTCTAAAGGTGTAGCGTGTGCTCAGCTAAAGAAATAAGGGTAGTGGGGAGGAACTGGGCCCACAGATTTGCTTATCCCTCCTTCAACAAAGAAAAAAAGTGGTTGGGGAGGGAAGGCCTCCCTTATATTGCTCAGATTTGGTGGGGGATCCAGTCCTGAGGGGGTCTCATCTATCCCTGCCTCAAGTTCAGGGCTGCTGGTAAAGTCCAGAGAGGGGAGGTTTCTTGTTGGTTTGTGCAGCCACAGGGAGGGCCACTTAGCCACAGTTCCTTTTGTTCCCACTCCTTTCCCCTGGCAAAAACTGCTCTTTAGCACTCAATTGGAGCAAACAGCAATTCGGGATTTTTTTTTGCGGGATTGCCATTTGTTCCGATCTATTGCTAAAGAATGGGTTTTCCCTTGGAAATACGGTACCTCTGGGACCTGTGCTTTCTAGGCACGGCACACGCAGAAGTGTGGACAAGCCCTCAGGCTTCAAAGAGATGTGTACACCTGAAACCCAGAACCTGGAACAAATGCTTGCTTCCTGCTCTGCTGCCTCCTTTCTGTTGGAAGAGGAAGATGCCAGCAAGACATTGTGATGCCTGAGGCAAAGGAAAAGGAGAACACTTTGAAAAGGGCTTCTGAAGACTGACAGCAAGTGGCTTGCCAGGTGCTCTCCTGCCCAGCATTTTGCAGGCGGCTTTGCAGGCACCATGGATCAGGTGGCTGGCAGGGCCTGCAAATCCCTTTTTGGTTGAGCCAAGGCTTTTGCCCCACATCTGATGACACGGGCGTAGCCTGGGGGGAGGAGCTGCCCACCCTAAATCAATGAAAATAAATAAAAATCAATACAAAAGTGAGGTTCTGCTCCCCCTAACAAAAGCCTGCCCCTCCCCTGACAAAAATCCTGGCTATGCCCATGTCTGATGACATTTATAATTGTTGATGATGATTTAATTTATACCCCACCTTTCCTCCCAAAGAGCCCAGGGTGACAAACACATCCATAACAAAACTTTTTTATTATGATTTAAACACTCTAAAAACAGTTAAAATAGTCTAAAACAAGCTACAGTTCAAACATTCAAACTTTCCCTCATCCAGGGTTGCCAGGAACCAGCCATCAAATGCCTGGGTACACAGGAATGTTTTCAAATTCTTCCTGAAAGTCAATAGGCAGGAAAGTCAATAGGCAAGTCGAAATGGACTTGTAGGGCAAAATGGGGACTAATTTTGCTGTAAACAGAAGTTAACAGGACTGTCATTCAACTTCTGCACTAGCAAAGGGGCAGTGTCTTCCACCACACCTGGTGACCACAGGCTCACTAATGAGGCAAATCACAGCCTGATTTCTGCCCACGCAGCCCTGTCTTCTAACACCTTGGCACTGTTCTCCACCTTCCCCCTGAGGTAGCTCCCTCACCCTGCCTTCTGGTAGGGCTGGCTTCACATGCTCAACAAGATGGATATGTTCCACCAAGGCTCTTCTTACATTCCCACCTCTTCTCTAGATATGATCCTACTAATGCCTGCACTCCTGCAATTCACAACTTATTTCCTGGTCTATTTCCTAGCCCTGATTCTGTGAGCACCCCGCTTCCTGGTCCTTTTCTTAAGGCTGTCCTCTGAGCACGTATGACGGCCGAGCTTCCAGATCCCACCCCTGGTTACAGCAGCCACTTTCCAAATGCTGCCCCTGTGCCTTCCATGCAGGTGTTTAGCAAGTGAAGCCTTTGTCACATTTTGCTTCCTTGTCTGGGAAAGCTGCCCTGGCTAAATGCCTGTGGGCTAGCAAAATGCCTCCCCTTTGGTCTGCCGTTGGGCACAGGCGCAAGGGCAGAGGGCAGAAAGTGGGCAAATGTGCCTCTGTGCAGTTGGCCAAAGTGAAGCCATTGACCTGCTGAGAACGGAAGTCCCCCATCCCAGCACCCCTCCCTCATCCCCAGAGCTATCAAGCTGGCCAAACAGATTGTGAGTGCATTAGCCTGCGGCTGGCTGGCTAAGTGGCTCTGAGCAGTGGGCTTGCCATTGCTTAGACACACTTTGCCAGGCAGTGCCTGGGGAGGACGGATGAATTATTCAGACTGCATCCTTCCCGCTCCCCCCCCCAGCACCACTTCTGCTCTGGGTCTGAGATACTCCCCATATTTTGAGATCCTCTAACCTCCCTCTGGGCATCCCTGGGCACATGTCCAGCCTCTTAGGGAAGGAGAAGTGGTTGGGTGTGTCGGAGTGTGCGTATGGGTGGGTGAACGGGGGGGTGGGGTGCCTTGGGGTGGGCAGAGGGGGGTGAGGTGGCTCCTTCTCTGTCCCCTTGCCTTTCACAAGCCAGTGACTCTAGAGCGGTGAAATCAGTCGTGAATGTGCAAAATCACACCCACTCTCAGCGTGTGGTGGGGACAGAAGAGAATTAATGCCTGTAGCTGTCAAGGATGCAGGGCCAGGAAGGTGGCGGGTGGTGAAGACAAGGGTGTGTGGTCTGGAGGAAAAGATGGCAACAGATGGCAACAGAGAAAAGACCTCCAGAAGAGGTAGGCAAAGGGGTCTCCGAAGAAGGGGGCACCTTTTTATACATCTCCTATTTCTATGGCTGCTTCTCACAGGGAAATGTATCATACTCTGCAACATTTCTTCAATGAAAATAGGGACATTCTATTCCATAATAGGGACGCGGGTGGCACTGTGGGTTAAACCACAGAGCCTAGGACTTGCCGATCAGAAGGTCGGTGGTTCAAATCCCCGCGACGGGGTGAGCGCCCATTGCTCGGTCCCTGCTCCTGCCAACCTAGCAGTTTAAAAGCTCACCAAGTGCAAGTAGATAAATAGGTACCACTCCGGCGGGAAGGTAAACGGCGTTTCCGTGCGCTGCTCTGGTTCGCCAGAAGCGGCTTAGTTATGCTGGCCACATGACCCGGAAGCTGTACGTCGGCTCCCTCAACCAATAAAGCGAGATGAGCACCGCAACCACAGAGTTGGCCATGACTGGACCTAATGGTCAGGGGTCCCTTTACCTTTATTCCATAACAACAACAACAACAACAACAACAACAACAATACCCCACCCTTCTGTCTGGGTGGCCCCAGCTACTCTGGGTGGCTTCCAACATATATGAAAACATAATGAAACATTAAACATTTAAAAACTTCCCTAAACAGGACTGCCTTGTAGCAGGTGGAGAGTTTTTGCCCAAATCTGCATCATGTTGGGGGGGGGCAACCTTCCCCTGCATGACTGGCTTGAAGCTAGAGGCACAGGAGCAAGCGCTGTATGAAAACAAGGGAACCCCAGGATGGTAGACAAAACCTAAAAGAGAGCTGGGTGGAATGGTCTTATGTCTCCCCCTTTACCCACA